ATCAGCAATTTAAAGAAAAAATTCCTAAGTCCCAATTGTAAAGTAATGACTTAAACCCATCCTGTTAGTAACCTTCACTAAACAAATCTGTATATTTATTGATTATTAAAAGCAAAGAACTTGAAGTATTTATTAATTTTAAGTATTCACTCGTTAAATTAATTAAACATAAAATCATTATTTAAATATCAATTATAATCTTGTGAAGTCTTCCTATATTTCATCATATAATTTATTATATGTGATATATTTTATTCCTCTTTTATAGTGTTCAAAAAGTCATTTTTTCAATTTTCATGTTCTTTTCCCGTTCTTCAGCCCGACGGCACCTGTCTTCAGAGTGCTCTCATTCAACTACTATGAACAAATGGAGATTAAATCTTATGTCATCTTGTAGAATAAAGCCTTGTGAATCCAAAACTGTGTCTAATCTTTTTACAGGACAGTTTTTAGCACATGGGCAAGGTTACTTTTCCTTCATTTCTGAAAACAGATATAATAAACGCCCCTTTTTCGACTTCCAAAGGCCTCAGAAAATGGACCAGAAATGGGCTTCACACATTGGATAAATATGGGGAATAGAACCAGGGTCTCCGACAGAGACAAGAATGAATGTCACAGTATTTCAGTTTTACCATAACATGTAAGGGAGTCTGAGAGTGAGTGAGTGAGTGAGTGAGTGACTTCTGTTTATTGCCTCTTTGAACAGTAATTTATCTCCTCAGCATCCCAAGATTTGTAGGTCAATGTAAAACCCTGATTATGTTTTCATTTAGGGGTAGTACATTCTCTTCCCACAGAGGTTACTTGTCATTTCTTCCTACGAAAGAAATGACAAGTAACCTCTGTGGGAAGAGAATGGGGGTAGTAAAGAAACTTCAAAGTTCAAATGTCACAGGACTGAACCACAGGTTTTTTTTAGTTAAGTAATCGTGTACTACTTAGTTCTTGCATCAAGTACAAACACAATCTGTTATACCCATACGCAATCAGATAAAATATATGCAAATTTTCACTATTGGTTGAGGGCGCTTATAATGATTAGCTACAGATTTCACTAGAAGTTGATCGGGGCGCTTAAATTTGTGGAAAAAGAGACAACAGCTAAAAACGAACTAAACATAAACTACAGTGGGACCCCGGATACCGGAACCTCAGATATCCGGAACCCTCGCCTATCTGACACCGAGTGAATTGTAACTGGCAAATCAAAACGACCACGCTGTTTGGAATTGATTTTAAACCAGAAGTGTATGCTCACTACCGTTTAAACACCAAAGCCTGGATGACAGGAATCCAGATATTCAGTTTTCCGGACGATTTACGCCAAAACGAATGTGTCCGGGTATCAGGGGTCTCAATGTACATATAATATTTTTTATTGATTTTAACAATAAGAAAACACATACATTGTTCATGTTGACTGAAATGGAAAGTATTTTCTTCCAAAATGTTATTCTGCTAATTGGAATGATTCCAACCTTTCCATTCAGATAGAAGACACCAATAAATATGGTTTAGAACTGCAAATGGTTATTAATATGGTCCACACACAGCTGTCAACAGCCATCAATCAGGGACGATGAGAGACTGTCACATATGGTGATAAAGCTCACTACCTGCTGTTAGTCCAATTACAGACTATTTCATGAACATCTGTCTATCTTGCTAAATTATATGTGTGTATCCGGGATCCATGGATTTCCTTTACCATACAATCAACTTCTCATGATCAGAATGATCAAATTTCATTATTTCTTTTATTCAGATGAGATACTTCTCTATGAGATCTTTTTAAACAGCGTTAAAAATTCTTGGTATGAGGAAGAAAGCTTTCAGACAAGGATCTGATTTCATCATATATATGATATAATCATGGAAATCTGAACATGAAAAAGATTACCGCAGTATTACATTGTTATATTTTATACTGCCTGTCAAAAGCTGATGTCTGATTGGCTCAAAAATCAAACATTCTTCATTTCAATTGGGCATTCAAAGAGCACTTAGGGTTCACAAGACGTTACCTTCTGTGGAGCGTCCTCATATCCTGATGCAGATAGGTAATGAGGTAAGGTGAGGTGAAATTGGGTTTAACGTCGTGCTGGAGAATATTTCGCTCATATGACGACGTGCATGCGTGTGTATGTGTATGTGCGTCTGCTTGTACTAGCCCAGACTGAAGCTGGTTTTATAGTGCTAGCCCACTGAGATACCATGCTGCAGTGAAGCATGAATACCCCACTCAGACACATTACACTGACTCAGAGCCGACCAGTCCTTGTTGTACCCATTAATGCCGAGCGCCAGGCAGGGACCAACAAGTACCATATTTTAACGTGTTTTGGTATGACGCGGTCGGGGATCTAACCCGCGACCTTCCGCTCTCCGGGCGGACGCTCTAATCACTACACCACGGAGGCGGTCCGATAGGTAATGAAGTAAACTTTGAGTTTCATTGACAATCAGTAAAGGCCTCGGCCTACACATTTCAAAGCGTTTTTGTAGTTAAATTATGCCGAGTTACTGCAAGTTCCAGTGTTAAGTGGTATGTCTCATAGCCCCTGAACTATATTACCGCCTCCGCTCAGCCCACTCGACCATGCAATCTCTAAATGAAGCAAGATACGTTCAGAGTCTCACTGGGGATCCTTTCCAATTCAAATGGAGTTACTAGGTTCTATCAAAATTATATTTCAAAATTAAACATACAATATTTTCAGAGACTAATAAAATATTCCACTAATTCTGACTTGTATTAGACTTTCCATCTGGTAATTAGTTAGGTTGTTGTCACATTACAGCGACTTACAAACAACCGCAGCTGACTAGAAGTCTTACATTTCAAGACTACACTAATAGGTGTGGTGAGGTGGGGTGAAATCGGGTTTTACGTGGTGTTTGAGAATATTTCGCTCATATGACGACGTGTGTATGGCTGCTTGTACTAGCCCAGACTTAAGCTGGTTTTATAGTGCTAGCCCACCGAGATACCACGCCGCAGTGAAGCATGAATACCCCACTCAGACACATTATACTGACTCCGAGCCGACCTGTCCTTGTTGTACCCATTAATGCCAAGCGCCAGGCAGGGACCAACAAGTACCATATTTTAACGTCTTTTGGTATGACGCGGTCAGGATCGAACCGAGGCTCTCCAGGCGGACGCTCTAACCACTGCACCACGGTCCTACAGGCGGTCCTACACTAATATACTAACAACCATGAGTGAGTGAGTGAGTGAGTGAGTTTTACGCCGCACTCAGCAATATTACAGCTATATGGCGGCGGTCTGTAAATAATCGAGTCTGGACCAGACAATCCAGTGATCAACAGCATGAGCATCTATCTGCGCAATTGGGAACTGATGACATGTGTCAACCAAGTCAGCGAGCCTGACCACCCGATCCCGTTAGTCGCCTCTTACGACAAGCAACCATGAGATAAATCTGGCTGTACTTAGTATTAGTGCACTAGCCTCATTTCAAACAAGATCTCTTTACCGGTTGTGTGTTGAAGTAACATCTGTGCAGTTGTTCTAAAACGGTGGTACTAATCATGGCTTTCTTGTTGTCATGGGGATCATGTATGTGGTTGTATTGATGTCCTTATTGAAATTAAAAAAAAAAGATAAAAAATAATAATAAAAAAACAAGCCATTTATATCATTAGCATCATGCTATTTCTGGGATCAGATGATCAACAGTCAACCTTGTCACCGAGTCCATTGGTGGATCCAGAGGGGGGTGTCCCCCATTTGGACAGGACTTAAGTCCACATTGAAGATTTTTTTGTGTTGGCAGAGTCAAGGTGTGTGTGTGTGTGTGTGTGTGTGTGTGTGTGTGTGTGTGTGTGTGTGTGTGTGTGTGTTTCAACCCCCTAAAAACACCACCAACACGACGCGACGCGACGCGACGCGACGCGACGCGACGCGACGCTACGACGCATACACCACGCACGCACACACACACACACCTCTCTTTCAAAATTCCTGGATGCGTGCATGGAGTGTGACCACCATATCCAGTAAGTTACCTTGGTGGCTGGTTACCCATTGGAACTGGTAAATGCCACAGGTGTTGTATCATAGCAACCACTTGATAAATCAACAGTTGATCACCATTTATAAACCTCATTCAAATCAGATCTTTACTGCATACTATACTTTTCAGAAGTACTATATGTATCAGCACACAAGGATCACTGATTCACAATTCCTGGTATGAGTTGGCAAGTTATTGAGACAAGCTTAGCTGATTGTAAATACAAAAAGACAAATTTAAACTGCCATAAAGTTCAGTTGTCTTGCTGTGTGTCATTTCTAAACAATATGGTATCTACATGGGCGTAAGACAAAGAATATCTGTTTTGCAAGCGGGTTTAATTTTGAACAAAATAAAAATTAGAATTCGGGCAGAAGAGAAATGAAGATAAATCATCTAAGAAATCTGTAAAAACACCACATGCTTCATTGTGTATAATCTAACATGACTCAGGTCTTGATATCAGTGAGTGAGTGAGTTTAGTTGTACGCCGCTTTTTGCAATATTCCAGCAATATCACGACAGGGGACACCACAAATGGGCTTCACACATTGCACCCGTGTGGGGAACCAAAACCAGGTCTTCGGTGAGACAAGCGGACACTTTAAGCACTAGGCTACCACACTGGCCCCATTTTGACATCAAGAGGCAAGGTGAAACGCGGTGTAATATCACAAGGCAGGGTAACAAGAAGTACCATACCTAACACAGAGATGTATCGTAATGCAGTAAAGGATCTCATCTGAAGGACACTGACCCTTTGTTTACCAATCTATAATGAAGTGTAACATAGACATGATAAACGCCTACTAGAACATATTAATAATTTCTTCATCTGACCAACAAATGGCCAAAAATTTATTTGAACACTCTTGATGTTAATGCCGGTATGGATGGAATGGTTCTCCGGCACATTTTCCCCCAAAGGGGGTAAGTTGGCTATTGAATACACAAGAGCATGAGGAATGTTTTTATTCCTTTTCCACAAACTCACACAATTGGAAATTGGCCCTTTAATTCAATGTAAGTTGTCGAGGATGGATATCTTTCATACAATGCAGGAAAATTGAGAAACAAAATTGAGGCTCATAACTCAAAGTGATGTAAATAAAACTGAAGTGAGGTGCTGATGCCGAGTAAATATTTCAGGCCAAGTTCAATAAGGTCAAAAAACAACATGTGTATTTCCTATAGCTGCCAAATCCCAAAATTTGTCAAGGTACTATTATCTGGTATCCGACCCCTATCACAGAACTAGGGCTGGGTAACCCGGATACCCGGGATGGGTGGGTAACAGTCTTAGTAAACTTAGGCTCAGTATTATTCGTTACACTGCTATACTGAGTCTAACAAAACCTTGTAGAAGGTCGCGTCAGCTAACCTTTGAGCGACGTATGACCGTCCAATCAAACGCGAGACGGCCGAACGGATTTAACCAATCAGACAACGATTAGTTGTTAGAGTTCAGCGGGACTTAAAAAACGTTTTTTTAATTTTCTCTTCCCTGGTCGTTGACACTTATCTATCAACAAACGAAAATCTGCATAAAACACATATATTTGACCTGCAGTATTATACACTTATGGGTTTCTAATGACATGGTGACTATTTGCTTATATTTTCGCAAGATGACATCCTTGAATATTGACAAAAACGCTATTTTCAGCAACTGTTTACTCATTGCGTGTATCACTCGCAAGCGATCGTACGAAAAATAGCACTCGGAATTGTTCGAGTTTTTGAGGTAAAGGTTCAAACAGTATCTGCGAATGTTAACTTTCGCGATTTAGTAAGCTGTGTTCTGATTGGTCAGTCCAGAAGGTTAGCTGACGCGACCTTCTACAAGGCTTTGTTAGACTAAGTATAGCAGTGTAACGAATAATACTGAGCCTAAGTTTACTTAGACTGGGGTGGGTAATGAGTTGGACCCGCGTAGCCGTCTCAATACCGGGCCGTTATGATCATGTGACCAATAGATTAAACAACATAACATTCTATTCTTTCATGATTAAAAGGTTGTATAGTCTTTGAAGATTTGGACATAATTACAGTCACTTCTTTTGAATATAATACATGGTTAGGATATTGAAAAAAATGTTAATCTCCGATCTGAATATTGCCATTTCTTACAAATTTGATGTCAGGAATCCGGGTAGGATAGGGTAATAGGGGGTGGGGTACCCAGATAGAAAATTTTGATCCATCCCGGCAATACACAGCACTCTACCGTGGTACCAACAGCAGGTTTTAAGAGTCGGGTACAAAACATCCAATTGGGAACTGTTTGACCATACCTGACAAAACCTATTCAGATACATGTATTAAAGAATAACTATATTCAAGCAATATGTTGGCAAGGGCACCAGACCTGGGCTTCACACACTGTACCCATTGTGAATACTGAACCAAGGTCTTTGATGTGATGACACTTTTAGCTCCACATTTCCCACCACCCCTTTTATAAATGAAGATCCGACTATATAGATGCACAAAATACAGTTGTGTAAAATACAGACAATACAAGGACAAGATGAAGCTTTAGTGTAGCCATCGATCAACAAGACAGGTACAGGTTCACAGGCTCCTGAGCAGGATGAGAAGAGTGAGTGAGTGAGTGAGCATGGTTTTACACCACCTTTAACAATATTCCAGCAATATCACTGCAGGAGCCACCAGAAATGGGCTTCACATATTGTACCCATGTTGGGAATCAAACCTGGGTCTCCAGCATGACGAGTGAACACTTTAACCACTACCCCACTGCCCCATGGGTAAGTAGAGAAACTGCATGGTAACACACATATTCTTCTTCTTTGACCCTACCAAGACAGCAATAGGTATAAAATAACATTACTCCCAAAGACACATAACAAATATTGTAACCAATGCATACATGCACAAACAGAGCCCAGATCTCAAGGATAACATTATGCGTAATAAATCATACATAGATGGAAAAGATCTTATTTAAAAAATAATGCAAGAAATAAGTCTAGTCTAAATTCTATAACGATTGGAAAACATAAATTCAAAGCTTACTGATATTCTAATAGTTCCAGATTCTAAAAAGCTTTTATGCAAATGACATTCTCAAAGACAAACACTGTCTGTACAAAAGCAATTATGCAAGCACATTGATCCTCAGGTAATATCACAAAATATAGAAAGTATTACAAAAACAAACATTAACAATAAAAAAAACACTTTTAACAATCACCAATGCATACTTTTTAAAATACTTTGTTCTTTAACTGATGATTTCAATAATCACTGTTCACAATTCTAGATCATGACAACCTGGATATTTGAAGTTTATAATATGATCCCACCAAGTCTTTAATAATCCAAACAAACTCTTAAGTTGCAGTAAGCATGCTTATGATTAGAACAAAAACATTTGGAAATAATTATCTACGAGATTTGGAAGAGATTGTGTAGCACTTTGTAACCACTTGTTACCACTTCATACATGTCATATCTTATACTGCTATCATGAAAATATATATTTTTATTTTTGCATATATTTAACACAGTCTATGACTAAAATGGCTATGTATATAATTATGCACTCATCTCTCAAAATAATAAAATAATTAAATTGTCAACTTTGCTCCTTTGGCATCTGACATTTGGACATATTTGAAATTTGGACATATTTTGACATAAATAATCAACTACCCTGACTATACATTCCCTTGTCCAATCGAACTTTGAGATCTGAACTTCCAAAAAGAGGACAACTGTGACAATAGCATTGGTCACAAATCCCAGATAACCGAAAGAAGGAAAGCCAATATTTTCCAACATGTAACCTCCAAGCGTTGGCGACACACTTCGCACGAGCGAGTTAACTGCCATGTTGACTCCTAACATAGCACCAGTGTCTGCATCTGGGACAGTTTTTGTTAGAGCGCTGCTGATGATAATGTTCTGCGTTGTTAGTCCTACAACTAAGGGGAGACAAACCAGACATAACTCGCGTACATTTGTCACAAAGGAGAGCAGTAGGTATGACCATACTAGGATAAAGGTTGACCACTTCAGGATTTTACTTTCGCTGAAATTCTTTGTTATTACTCCGAGTCCGATCCCTTGCACAACCATGCTTGTGATACCAATGTAGGACATGAGATAGCCATTTTGGTCAGGTGCCAGTTTGAATGTATTCAGAGCAACAACTTGAAACATGCTCTGAAACACTCCAATGGGCACACCTGAAGCTAGCCGAACTAGAAGTAAAAACAATGCTCCAGGACCCATGATTAACTGTATGATTTTCTTTAGATTAAAGATGCTCTTTTCAGAAGTATCTGTTTGTACGTCTGATTTCTTGGTGTGTTTTGGTACAAACATCAGAACAAGCGCAACGCTTAGCAAAGATCCAGCACTAGCAATAAATGCTGCTTTTTGCTCTCCCAATACTTTTGTCAAGATTCCTCCAATCAATGGGCCAATGACCATTCCAACGCCGTACGACATGCCCAACTTCCCGAGTGCGTCAGCCCTCTTACTTGTATCGCCGATATCTGTCACAATCATCTGACCACCTTGCATTGCATGCATGAATAGCGATGGAAGTCTTGATATGAACAAAATCGGAACATTTGTTGACATACCGAGAAGGAAATATGAAAGTGTTGCCGAAAGGAAAGCCAGTGTCATTGCAGCTCGGCCACCAAACAAATCACCAAACCTTCCAAACAGTGGTCCTCCTGCTAACTGGACCACTGCAAAAGTTGTCTGAAGGTATCCAAACATCACAGGATCTACTCCAAGTTTCTTGGACAGATAGGGCAGGGTTCCATTTTGGATCCAAAAACATGTGGCATACAGAAATATATTTAAATGAGTAATAGCAATTACTCGATGTATCCTCCAGCCTCTTATCCGAATAAACTGGCTGTCATCCATTTCAGTTTTTAGCTCTTCAGTTCCTGTCATTGTCTCTCTGGGTGTGTTTCCACGAAAATTTAAGTCAGTAAAATCTTTAGCCGGGGAGTCCTTAGTAGGCTTCGATGAAGCGACGTTTCTCTGCATTGTAGCTGTTGGTTTGTGAACTATTCGTCAAGGGAAGCAAATTTAGATGAAGGCAACCGCAAGCGACGAGCATGCAGCACTGGCTAGCAATGACTAAGGACTTTGTAGTACACATGTTATAAACGATAGCCGAGATATGTGATTGTGACGTGTCCCACTAACACTGATCCAAAACAAAGTATCACGTGATTATGATCCAGAGTCCATTTGCCGGTGTTTTCACGAGGTTATGTCAAAAGGACATGCGTAGAGATAAGACAATGTTTGTTATCATTACATTCTTAGTTCTTGCATTCGTGTTATGCGTTGATGATGCCCGAGCACCGAACATACCGAGCACCAAACTAGAGTTAACTCCCTTAGCTGCCATTATAGACTGGGTTCCTGTCTCCACGATGTCGCGCAAAGTATAAGCGGTGCCAGTATTTATAAGCGTCTTCCGGTGAGGAAGAAACAAAACATCTTCATTCTATGTCTTTGTGACACCGTGTACGATGCCGGCTGACCACACTGTCAGAATATCTCTTAGATCCATGTATGTTATTTGTTAATTTCTTGTTTCGTGCAAGATACACATGACATGCATAAACACGAACGAGCTGAGTTTGTTATTCGATAAGTGTGATCATAGTGGCTTCATGGCCGGCGCCGGTGTCGATTGTGCAACTTCTCCCACTTTTGGTGCAATAAGTGTACTAGCCGTTCAGAAAAAAATGCTTTAATTTTGGTTTTGTAGGTCATGTCTTAGATAAGAGGTTAACTATGTTTAAATTTCTTAGTATGACATCACATTGATATAATTAGAAAGAAGTATAAGAAGGTAAATGATGATACTATAAAGTCTATGCAGACACCATATATCCGATAATAATATTATATGGTCTCTGATCTATGCAATTGTTAGTCTTTTTTTTAAAATTCTAATAATCTGATGTGGTACAAACCAATATTAACGTAAGTGCATCCATCATGGGATCGTACGTTCACAAGTTTGATATTTTTGTCAAGTTGGTTTACAAAAAAAGTTGTCTAAATTTAACAAAAATATCTAACGGGACTTCACCCTCTGGCACAGCAAATGTTTTTTGGGTAGGGACATATATATCCAAATTGCATTGAGTTGGTTAACCAAAGTTTAGACAATGTATGTCTGATAAGAACTAAATTTTCATGCATTGTGCTGGGGTACATTTTTTAGTACAGAAAAGTACCATGAAAGTGAGTATGTTAATATTATTACCTGTGGTACCTTTCACAACTTGTTCTTCAGCAATGCATGTTTGTTGTAAGAGATGAACAATGGGATCAGTTTGATATCATATTCCAATTTCATGATTGATGCAACCCGTGAAGGTCCGGGTTAGAATATTGGCCTTCAGTAACCCATGCTTGTCATATGAGGCGACTAACGGGATCGGGTGGTCAGGCTCGCTGACTTGGTAGACACTAGTCATTGGTTCCCAATTGCGCAGATTGATGCTCATGCTGTTGATCACTGGATTGTCTGGTCCAGACTCGATTATTTACAGACCGCCGCCATATAGCTGGAATATTGCTGAGTGCGGCGTAAAACTAAACACACTCACTCATGATTGATGCTCATGGTGTCAGTCACTAGACTTATGTTCAGGCCGTTATATAGCTGAACATATTCAACATTAATCAACAATCAAATCTATAACAACTATGTCCTTTTAGTTTGATTTTACCATGACTAAATAGATACTGTTTTCTTGTTCATATTTTATGTTCTTTATATTCATATATTTCAGAGAGAGAAAGAAAGAGTGAATGATCAGAAGTCCTCGTCAGATCAGTTTCATAATCAGAGCCATTTGCAGCAACCTTCATTGTAGAACACATCCATGTCACTTGGCCTCATTCTGTGTTCGGACACCTGTTTTCAATTATACATTCCTTAGCAAAAGTACATCATTTAGTAACCCTCACCTAAACTGTTACAGTTTCATTTCAAATCAATATAGATATTTCTGTTCTGACTTCATAATGTCTGAAAACAGATACATTGTTGGCTATGCAAAAATGGGTACATCCAGCTGTAAAAAATGCAAACAGAAAATTGAAAAGGGAGCATTAAGAGTTGGAAAAGTGGTTTCCAACCCATTTAGTGATGAAGGGGGTGACATGAAACAGTGGCACCATCCTGCCTGCATATTTGAAACATTTGTCCGAGCCAGAGCAACGACGAAGAAGATCGAGGACCCTGATGATGTGGAGGGGTTTGATGACCTACAACAGGAGGACAAGGATGTCATGCAGAAACTCATCGATGGTGAGGGCTGCTGCAGATCCACTGTACAATCTTTGAGATGTAATACTCATTATGTGTCATGGTTTTCCCTCTCACAGTGTTTACGAATAGCGTCTGACCCTCTGACAAATCCGGCAGATTCGCCAACGGTCCGATAGAAGTCTACAACCCGCCAGCCCCAGTGTCTTGACTGTATATTTCACAATGACTTTGACAGAAGTTGCTATATGTGACATGTGACACTTGTTTGCTGTTTATAAATCTTATGTGTGTTAATAATTTCAATGCCAATTATAAGAAATGTTAAATCTGAAATGTGTGTTTAATTTTATTCTATGGGTCCTGTGAATTTTCAGTGGGTCAGACAGACATCTGAAACTTACAGGACCCAATGTCCTGTTACTTTGAAACACCATTCGTGAACACTGCTCTCATCTAAAGCACTGCAAATGCCCATGCAAAGTTGTGTGGTTGCCTGTTTGAATCTGTAGTGGTTTATGAGCAGCATATTCATGTTCATAGGTTTGACCATAGTGGGATGCCAAGTGTTAACCTGGTGGCACGTGGTCCTGTGCACAGAGCTCAGGTCACAAATCAGTTGAAGTTAAGCAAAGTTGGGCTCGGACAGCCCTTGGATGGGTGACCAAGTTGAGTTTCTAGGACTTCAGTCCTGCCCCACAACAAAGCACATGTGATACATGTGGTCTCACCTTAGGCAAGTGAGTTTGTTCACAATTGCCTCTGTTCACCCAGCAGGAAATGGGTACCCAGTGAAATAAGCCGTGAGACTATTATCCTTCTAAGCCTAACAGGCAGCTTGGGTTATCCGGGGTAATAATGATCAGATTGTGCGCTTTGAGCAGGATTTCTAGCCTGGAAAAGGCACGTTATAAATATTTTCATTATTATTATTATTATTAACCTAATGTGCTTATGGTACCTATAATCATTTCATTATAAGTAATCCCTGTCATTATCATCACACCAATACAAGTAAAAACATGAGTGTATGATTCCTTCTCCCGTTAACCTAAGAACATGTAAAGGGTTCTGTCACTGACTGGTACTCCTGGCTGCTGTGAATGACTCATCTCTGGGGATTCAAGGTAGCATTGGTCCCGAACAACAATCTGCAACCAAAATTGATCAGGTGGTCAGAATTTGTGACCTTTTCGATAGTACCCTAGAATGTCTTTCTATTACAAGGGTAGATCATTGCAAATATTATCATTCTCAGGACTATCCGGTTCAGACTCACTTATTTACAGGCCACTGCCATGTACATGATATACTGGTAGCTGGAATATTGCTGAATGGAGCGGTATACAAAAAGCAAAACAAAGAACTTTGAAAGTGTCTTGTCTTCATAACAAGCTATGTAAACATATGGAATAACTACCATAATACAATCCACATGGTTCTATCTTAACCTGCAAACTTCCCCAGTTACTCATTTCAAGGGTCCTTACTTGAAATATGAGGGATCTGTTATAGAAAATTGTACTGTAACATTTAATAATTACATCAATTACAGACCTTTCTATTTCTTGTAAAAGATTTGGTACATTTGCACGTGCTAAACATGTTTCAGCATTATAATGCCATTGCGTAAGACCCTGTCATCACGTGACTGATGGCAAATGGGAACTTCCTGTTTCAGATTTCCTGGCCAAGTCAAATGCAAAGGGTAAAGGCAAGACCCCAAAGAAGGCTGTTGCACAGAGCAAACTGCCATTCTCCCCACCGAAGGTAAAGAAGGAGGAGGATGACAGCTTCGGTGCAGGTGAGTCATTCATCAATGTCATGTCTTGGTTTTATCTGGACCTGATTTGATGCAGGTAGACATTCATCTGTGTCCAAGCATTCAGCTTTATGAATAATACCTTCTTTTATATTTACTCTTCAACATGGTTATTCTGATCAAACAATTACATATATGGCGTGGCATGGTTTTCTCTTGACCTGCTCAAAAGCCGATAGGTCTGTTGTAATTTGTAAACGCTGGTACAAATTCCAAAGTGGATTGATTCCCCAACTGATGTTAGTGTTTATAACTAATATCATGGCTATGTCAAGACAACTTGTTTTTCTGTGAAAACAGGGCCAGTGAAGATGAAATGATATAATAGTACTTTGAAATCCCTTGGTAATTATGAAAATCAAATGCTTTTAGAAATAACCGGTTTTAATTAAGTAACAGATATTCCCAAACTGCATATAGAGAGAACTGGATTTGAATCCTAGATTAATCCCTTTATGGGATTAAAATTAATCTCACCTCAGGTTTACTGACTTCCTTGGCGATAAGATAGGCCTTGTCATTAAAGGAGATAACTCTGTCTAAATATTATATGTTTTGATGGGTGAAGATTTGTCTAAACAAACCAGCACCTGCTTCCACCTGTACACTGTTGCCATGGTTACAGGTACTTCAACAAACTCTGATGCTAATGGTCATGCACCACCCAAGTTTGCGGATGCCGATACAGAGAGGGACAATTCCTTCAGGCAGTTCCGTCGGCTCTGTGCCGATATAGCCGAAGAAAACAGCTACACCGGCAAGACTGCTCTCGTGTCCAACTATCTCAGGAAGGGGAACAGTGGCAGTAAGTTGATGAGGAACAAATCCTCAGCACGTGCAATGCCTAATAATGTTGTCTCTGCTTTAATATGGTTGTATATTGCAAGTCTCAAGTAAACTTAGTCAAAATTTCTAAAACTACCCATGTTCAACACTGTGATGAAAATGATATGATAGTGGTACTGCCAGTGTCCAGTCAGTTTCACACTCGTAATAAATGTTATGATCATTGTAATGTGAAGGTCCGGGTTAGAATATTGATCTTCAGTAACCCATGCTTGTCGTAAGAGGCAACTAACGGGATCGGGTGGTCAGGCTCGCTGACTTGGTTGACACATGTCATCGGTTCCAAATTGCGCAGATCGGTGCTCATGCTGTTGATCACTGGATTGTCTGGTCCAGACTCGATTATTTACAGACCGCCGCCATATAGCTGGAATATTGCTGAGTGCGGCATAAAACTAAACTCACTCACTGTAATTCGATCGTCCTATTTCCTGTCTCCCACCATTTTCAACACACTACCTCACAGTACCAGTCATAATAATGCATGTTACTATGGCTGCATATAACTAATGTTTCCTATGTGACGTCATTCCACCACAATGTCTGACACTTGCAGCTGGCTACAAGGGTGATGTCTATCTGTTGATGAAGTTGTTGTTGCCTGGTGTTGTGAAGACCGTGTATAACCTCAACAACAAACAACTTGTCAAGCTATTCAGTCAGGTTGGTATCTAGTTTTGGGAGGAGGGAAAGTTTCAATGCAGCAGAGTTGATATACTGGATGACTGTTTAGATTTCAGTTCATTTGTTTGAATTCCAGCAACTCAGCAAGAGTTATGTCCCTTGGTAATTTTGTTTCCCCACTCTTCAGCCCAGTATATTCAGCCGTAATCCATCTCCTGTAGTTTAAAGATCAGGTTTAGTTTCATGATTAGTCGGGCGGTGGGGTAGCCTAATGGTTAAAGCGTTGGCTCGTCACGCCGAAGACCCAGGTTCGAATCCCCACATGGGCACAATGTGTGAAGCCCATTTCTGGTGTCCCCCGCCGTGATATTGCTGGAATATTGCTAAAAGCGGCGTAAAACTAAACTCAGTCAGTCAGTTCATGATTAGTCATGGAAATGATACAGTGTGAAAACGTTTATCATATGAGCTGAAATTCAACTCAGTGTTTGTTTCCCCGGTTGTTTGATGCTAAATATGCTGAAGGCATGTACGTACAGTTACACCAACTTATACCTTGCTGGCGAAGATAATGTTGAATGTGAGGTTGATGAAAAATGAATTTTGTCTGCAGATATTTGGTACAAGTTTAAAAGCAATGGTAGAAGATCTGGACCAGGTATGTGTTTTAGTGTCAGCATGTTCACTTAAAGGGGGGAGATCTGGACCAGGTCTGTGTTTTAGTGTCAGCAGGTTCACTTAAAGGGGGAAGATCTGGACCAGGTATGTGTTTTAGTGTCAGCATGTTCACTTAAAGGGGGGAGATCTGGACCAGGTATGTGTTTTAGTGTCAGCAGGTTCACTTAAAGGGGGGAGATCTGGACCAGGTATGTGTTTTAGTGTCAGCATGTTCACTTAAAGGGGGGAGATGCAAGAAGGTTCTTGTTTCAGTTTGTTCAGTGATGGACCAAAAGGGTAGAATAAATGTGCTAGTTTCTGCTGTGCTGAAACATTGCCAAATGAAGAGATACAGACTACGTTATCCATAAAGGTGTACATTGTGTTATTGTGACCTCTGTGTGTGTGTGTGTGTGTGTGTGTGTGTGTGTGTGTGTGTGTGTGTGTGTGTGTGTGTGTGTGTGTGTGTGTGAGAGACAGAATATGTGTATAATAATATGTGTGTCTCCACAGGGGGATGTAGCAGAGACTGTCAGGGTGTTTTTTGAGACTAACAAAAACGTGGAACCCTTGAAGAAGAGTGTCCTGTCCTTACAAGAGGTGAGTGAAAGAGACTAAGGTCATCTGTTTCTGATATAGATAATGATAGGTACTGGTTTCTCAGGGTCACTAGGCGCCAACATTGGATACAGAGTTGCATCCCTGTAGCATGCCAGAACAGTATGATCATGGTCACAATCTTGGTTCTTGATTATGTTTGTTTCTTGTGAGTAGTTTTCTTCAGCAAAACAAAATATTATTAGCTTCTTCAACTGAACAAATTGCAAAATTAGCTGATAGTTATTAGCCTGTTGTTGAAATATTTTAAAGTGTAAACTTTGGCTGCACAAGGTGATTGCTACGTGAACCAGGGGACTATTGTCAATGGGAAATCAAACCCTGACTAATGAGCAAGAGTAATTCTGTGTAGAGTCGAGGAGATGACTCCTGACATAGTTATGGTGGCAGTGGGATCATAGTAGAACGGAGATGTGATATCTTTGACAGTTGAGGATGGCGGGAGTTGTTTGTTCGTGACATGCATCAGACGTGTTGTGTTTCAGGTGGATGGCCTCCTCATATCTCTGGCTAAACTCACCAAGGAGGACGAACAGCTCAGACTGTTGACAAAAATTACTAAAAGGTGATTAGAGATGTACTGCATCCGAGCCATGTCAGGGCAGACGTCCCAATCCGAGTCTTGTAATAAATGTGTGCAGAAATCAGGATCTGGTGTTTAAGTATGTGACTAGGCAGATTGTCTTGTGACACTTCTTGTGTTGATCAATGTGGATGTTCTTACAATCTCACTATATTCAGATCTTATATTCCGATATCATACCTCTCTTCATGAGGATCCGGGAACATTACCGAGAAGGTTTGTTCAGGGAAATCTTTCAATCAGCCAGTCAGTGCCAAGGCTAATAAATTATTGGTATGAGTGAATGAAGTGTTACGAATCCAGTATCTGTATCTGAAAGTTCCCAAAGTAGATCTGGTCTTAATGAGCTTGAGGTTCTTAAATATCAAGATATTTTAAATACATGTACTGTAATCGTATATATATTCACAGGGTGCAATTTTCGCGGAAAGTGCACAAAAGACCTGTTAGCGCAATTGTTTTTTTCCGCACATTTCAAACACCTGAGTGATGGTATCACAACCGATAGACATGCAATGATCAAAGCTAGCCGCCATAATTGAATCGTGTTTACTAAAACAATCAGAGAGAGAGGTGGGATTATACTTGTGTCAACATGACAACACCTGTCCCATATGCGAGATCAACTGACAACGAATTAAGGAAGAGTGTATACTATAGTACTTACGATAATTAAACATAGAAATCATAAAGTAATCTTGTCTCTACTTGAGTATTTGTCATGACTTGACCATGAATATTTCGCTTGATGTGATTATTGACGCTCAATCATTTTGCGCTAAAAACGCGAAAATTAATCCAACGTGAAAATTACTACGATTACAGTAGATCATTGTCTTAAATATATCTCGTAATTGTCTATGAGGTACACACACAAATATCCGAAGCATGTACAGACCGCCCTGATGCAGCTGAACCATTGTTGGGGCAACTGTAGGTAATCATACATTCACTTCTTCCATTCAATTTGGATCATGTTATGGGCTTGTTTGTTTCAGATGTACTGGAAATGATTTGAAAATGGTGATTCGTCTCATCAAACACGACCTTCGCATAAACTCAGGGGCAAAACATATGTAGGTTTGAACTTCAGTATGTAATCTTTTATCATGTATGGTCTTCATTATGTATAATATGTTTAGCCGTGGTAGTCATCAGTATTAGGTTCTCTGCTTAAACTGTCATTGAGAATATAGAACAAACTTTATGGATAACAACTTCTTTTTATTCGTGAGTGCAACGTTTCGATACAGATTCTTGTACCGTTGTCAAGCATAATGGAACATGAAGAACGGGGGGGGAGAACTTTGTAAAAATAACCCAATCCATAATTGTATAAATTCACAGAATTGTAAAAAGTTTTCGGTTTAAAATCAAACGTCAATACAGAAACCTCATGTACATATCTGTAGTTGGTACGTCATTCTTTGCTATTCTGTATAAACAACAACATCTTCATCTTTGATCTCAGATTAGATGGCCTTGACCCAAATGCATATGAAGCATTCCAGGCTTCGAGAAACCTGAAGGATGTGGTGGACAGGGTCCAAGCTAATGCAGAGGAAAGCAAGCCAGGCATGAAGAAGAAGTTGAGTGTCCGAGCCTCACTCATGACTCCTGTACTTCCCATGCTGGTCAGTACCTTGTTCATCCCGAGTTGGTTAGTCTCTGTACCTGGGCGGTGGGGTAGCCTAGTGGTTAAAGCATTCGCTCATCACGCCAAAGGCCCGGGTTCAATTCCCCATGTGGGTACAATGTGTGAAGCCCATTTCTGGTGTCCCCTGCCGTGATATTGCTGGAATGATGCTAAAAGCGATGTAAAGCCATACTCACTCACTCACTCACTTACTCATTTATCTCTGTACTTAATGTGTTGGGGAATATTGTTTTTATCCCAGGTCAGTCTCCCATACATCTCATATTGATCGGTATTTTGTCCATCAATGGCTGGTTCATTACAAGAACATGGGGCAGTAGGGTAGCCTAGTGGTTAAAGCATTCACTCGTTACGCTGAAGGCCTGGGTTCGATTCCCCTTATTTCTGCAACATAAGAAGCCCATTTCTGGTGTCCGCTGGCGTGATATTGCTGGAATATAGCTGAAAAGGGATAACATAATATTCACTCATTAAATACAAGAATGAATACTTGATTCACTACCATTCTATTATCAACCAGTCATAAAATAACAGCTTTTAGTGGTCAAAGCTTCAGGGCTTCTTTTTGTCATTTTTCCACTGAAATGCCACAGAATCACTTGCAGTTTATTTATTCACCAAGCACTGTCTGTCCAGGCTGAGGCTTGCAGGTCGGTGGAGCAGGCCATGAAGAAGTGTCCCAATGGATTCTACGCCGAGATCAAGTATGACGGAGAGAGGGTGCAGGTCCACAAGAAGGCCGATGAGTTCCGCTACTTTAGCCGCAGTCTGAAACCCGTCCTGCCTCACAAGGTGATAATGTGAACAACTGGGGTCTTTGTAAGGTTTGTCAGAAAAGAGAGAGTAGGTGAAGTTTGACAGCTTGAGAATTCATGTTTCAAGAGAAGCGCAGAGAATTAGAGTAAACCTTATTTCATTGGTCGTTGGGGCCATGGGTTGTCCAGTGGTCTGTGGCACCACAAGTTGCTGTGCAGAGTTGCATCCCTTGGACATGTCAGAAACCTGGGCATTCGTAACTACTCGTGTCATTCCGGCAAGCCGGATGACGTCTCGTACCCCTCTCGTGGCCATGTTTACGACTGGGCCCTGTCTAAGCACAAACGGGCATAGAGATGAAAATAGTCTAGTACTATTACCAAGGAAAGATAACTCTGAATTTCCAAACATGGCTCCTAGAATATCCTATATCCCGTGGGCAAAAGAGCAATAGTCATTTCCTTTGTAAATATGTTTCAGTGCTTAAAGTTTCTGATCCTTTAGCTCAAAGTTTCTGTTTAAATTGTGCTTTGCATAGTTTAGCGAAGTTTCAAACTTCAACGGTGCCGCCATTTTCATGCTTCGAAATGCGTTTTACTACGCACGATTTGATTGGTTTGCCACGATTCTTGGCAGTAATGGTGTATGATAGGGGTACGAGTCTTCTTGTAGGTTACGGAAAGAGGCGAGTAGTTACGAATGAAACCCGGGATCACAGGTTTGAAACCTTGGAGTTCGCCCCATGGCAGAAAATGCTTAATAACTTTGTGCTTTTCTCCCACATTGTGGATATACCATGGTATAACTAGATAGGTTTGTTTCTCTGACTCTCAGAAGTTTTATTGACTACCTATTGTCTTGAACCTTGAGAAAATAGTGAAAAGGTTGAAGCGTGCTTAAGAATCTTTATTATTATTTAACAAATTAGCATAATGACTGATCAATTTCAGTGATTGATAAGTTCTGATGTTCAAGTTTTAGTTTTACAATCATTTCCGAACTCTAAATTGTTGAATGCTGCAGTCTAACATGAGCTCTGTTCGCAGATGTTTTGATACAGCTGTTGTTGAAATACCAATGTCCAGCATCAAAGACTTGAGAATTCACTTATCCCTCTTCTAATCTTCAGGTAGCTCACTTCAAGGAGTTTATCCCCAAGGCGTTCCCGTCAGGCGACGACCTTATCCTAGATGCTGAAGTGCTCCTTGTCGACACCAAGACAGGCAAACCCCTGCCATTCGGAACACTTGGCGTGCATAAGGTGACCTTCATACAAGTAATCTAAGAGTGTAGTGAATGACTATTGAGATTCTGTAGTTTCAACATTTATCTCTATTTATTTTTTGTTTTTTATTAGAGACAGATGTTACACTTGTGATGCATATGTACATATATAAAGCGGGTGTTACATTACACTACTATGTGAATCCAAATATATCCATTTCACATACAGATGAAAATATTATCCACAGATGTGAAAGTAACATCCTCGAAAATGTACAACATTTTCTTTACATATTATTATAATGGGATATATTAGAGCAAATATAGGATATAAGTACTGGAAGTGAAAGTGTGGAAATAGGTAGAGAAAGACAGGAGAGGGGAGAAGACAAAGATGGGGAAATGGGTGTGTTTCAACATTTCAATAGGGTTTCAGATTGGTTGATAGACATGATCGTTATCCTAAATCAACTATCCTGGCTGTGTGTTCAAGTTATCAAGTTAATACACTTTTGGGAAATGCTCCCCCTTTCTCGTGTTACATCTTACATGTCCACCATGTTTGAATAGTTACTTATTTCTTGGTGTTCACCCAACATCTTTTGGCTATCTGTGATTTGCATTGGACATATAATGCCATAACAAAGATGGAAGAACATCAGAAAATGTTCCGGAATATTTCACAAAGGACTCACAAAACCACTGCATTGTCGGTCATTTTCAACAGACGTGATACAGTCACCTCATCAATGGAATATATGTGTATGTCTTTGTTTCAGAAAGCTGCCTTCTCGGAAGCCAAAGTGTGTCTGTTTGTGTTCGACTGTCTCCACATCAATGGAGAAAACTTAATGGACAGGTAAGCCCTAGGAATAGTTTCCCTGTGCTGATTCTTGGTTTGTGAGAACTATCACAATATTTATGGCCTTCACCAAAGTGATACACTGTGATATGATTTTAATATTCATCAAGCTTTGGGGGCGGTGGGGTAGCGTTCACTTGTGGTTAAAGGGTTCTCTCGTCACGCCCAAAACCCGGGTTCGATTCCCCACATGGGTACAATGTGTGAAGCGTAAAACTAAACTCGCTCACTCAGTCACTCACTCATCAAACTTTGTACTGACTCACAGTTACTGTAAATATGATTCCAGACCCATCAAGAAAAGGAGGTCAATACTGCAAGATAATATGCAGGAAATACCCAACAGAATCATGTTCTCAGAGTATGAACACATTATGGTAAGTAGTAGTAGGTAGTAGTAGTAGTAGTAGTAAGCCCATTTCTGGTGTCCCCCGCCGTGATATTGCTGGAATATTGCTAAAAGCGGCGTAAAACTAAACTCAGTCAGTCAGTCAGTCAGTAGTAGTAGTAGTAGTGGCAGAGTAGTAACATGAGATGCGGTGACCCGTGAAGATCCGGGGTAGAATAGGTCTTCAGCAACCCATGCTTGCCGCAAAAGGTGACTATGCTTGTCATAAGAGGCGACTAACGGGATCGGGTGGTCAGGCTCGGTGACTTGGTTGACACATGTCATCGGTTCCCAAATGCGCAGATCGATGCTCATGCTGTTGATCACTGGATTGTCTGGTCCAGACTCGATTATTTACAGACCGCCGCCATATAGCTGGAATATTGCTGAGTGCGGTGTAAAACTAAACTCACTCACTCACTCACTGTGAGATGCGGTATTTGTATAATCAGTAGCTTTAGTAGTAGCAGCAGAAGTAGTGTAGCATTAGGTGTAACAGCATTAGCTGTGTGTTACCCAATCATCATCATCATCATTTGATCTATTTACTATGTCCCTACTTGTAATATTATATGATTTTAAGGGGTGGTGGGATAGCCTAGTGGTTAAAGCGTTGGCTCGTCATGCTGAAGACCTGGGTTTGAATCCCCACATGGGTACAATGTGTGAAGCCCATTTCTGGTGTCCCCCGCCGTGATGTTGCTGGAATATTGCTAAAAGCGGCGTAAAACCAAACTCAGTCAGTCAGTATATGATTTGACACCGGAATGAAAGAGATATGAACTGTACCCTACACATGTTTGCAGAAACCAAGTGACCTCCAGTCCATGATGGACAAGGTGTTCCGAGAAGGCCTGGAAGGACTTGTGCTGAAGGATGTCAATGTGAGACATTTTTACCATGTTTACATGCTGTGAATGAATGTTGATTACACAAGTGGCATTTTAGAAAAATAGAGTTGTCTCCCCTATTGGGCAGCATACAGTCCTCCATGTTGTATTAGATTTCTGACTTTGAACAATATTTTTGTTTTGTGGGATTCAAACACACACACATTTGTTTCTAGTGGCAGCATAAAACCCAACTCACTCACTCACTCTTGGGGGAAGGGGCGGTGGGTAGCCTAGTGGTTAAAAGCGAAGATCAAGGTTCAACTCCCCACATGGCTTCAATGTGTGAAACACATTTCCGGTGTCCCCCGCTATGATATTGCAGGAATAATGCTAAAAAAGCGACATAAAACCCAACTCACTCACTTGCCCACTTTCAGGGGAACAGAGAGGTTATCATATGTAGCATCAGGAATACGTAAACTCACAACTCATATCTTGTGTTGCAAGTTTTGTCTTGAGTTGTTGTCTTTAGAATGCTTGTAATCAGTCTTAACTTACAAAAATAATATGAAAAGTTTGGACTGAAGAGGGACTGAATATTATTTTTGGATGCTTTCCAAGTTGACACCTGTCTTCATACAAGGAGAAACATAAAATATGGAACTGTATGCATGTGTTTCCAGAGTCACTATGAGCCGGGGAAGCGGCACTGGTTGAAGGTGAAGAAGGACTACCTTCATCAGGGCAGTATGGCCGACTCCGCCGACCTCGTAGTCCTTGGAGCGTACTTTGGCACAGGAAACAAGGGTACGTAGAGGTGTTACCTTGTGGCAGTGCTGCATGGGTTGTTGTACAAGGTTGGGGGTGGTGTGGTAGCCTTGTGGTTAAAGCGTTAAGTCGTCATGCCAAAGACCTGAGTTCAATTCCCCATATGGCTACATTGTGTGAAGCCCATTTCTGGTGTCTTTACACACGCACGCACACACACACACATACCGTGATATTGCTGGAATATTGCTAAAAGCGGTGTAAAACCATGCTTACTCACTCACTCTACAAAGCTATTGTTGCACCAAGGTGATCATAACTGGCATGTTTTAACCTAGACTGCAACTGTTATTATGTTACAATGGCCTTGTGTAACAGGGCCCGAAAGCAGTATGTCATGAAATCATTGCTCATGTCACTGGCTTGTCTGACACGGAAATATTTTTAGTATGCCATGATCATGATGATATAACTTGATTATTGCAGAATGAGGGGTAAGATACCAAACAAAGGTCATCTTAAGAGCAGACTGGCAAATGATATGACTATGTCACAGGGTGCCCTCCCTCCTCCCTCCCTCCCTCCCTCCTCCCTCCTCCCTCCCCCCCTCCCCCTCCCCCCCTCCCCCTCCCTCCCTCCCTCCCTCCCCCTCCCTCCCTCCTCCCTCCCTCCCTCCTCCCCCTCCCTCCCTCCCTCCCTCCCTCCCTCCCTCCCTCCCTCCCCTCCCTCCCCCTCCCTCCCTCCCTCCCTCCCTCCCTCCCTCCCTCCCCCTCCCTCCCTCTCATGTGGTGTAAGGTAGCAAATGGTTCAGTACAATGTCTGAAACCTTTTGCTATGATATCGATATTTTGTCATGATAATGCATAAATACTGCAATGAGCAGCAAGAATCTGATCGCTCATGATGCTATGATACAGGAATGTTTCTGAAAGTAATGTAAGACTTCAGTCACACAGTCATTGATGAACTACCTCCAGGGCTCCAGATAAGTTTTCAACATCAGGAGTACGTACCCCTTGTTTTTTCAATATAGGAGTACTGGGAAAATTGAGAACATTTAGAGTACTGAATGGAATTTAATGGATTATCAGTAGTCTTGTGTTTCCTTTCATATATGCACCACAACATTGCTACGCTTGTGTAAACAGGTCAATAAACAATTAAACAAAACTTTTTCAGATAAATACGTCTGTAAATGATTCTAAGACCGTACACCATCTAAATTATTTCCTTCCGTATCGTGCATATTTTATATCCGTACATACACCGATACGGCCCTTATCTGGAGCCCTGACCTCACTCACTCATCATCTCACTTGCTGTTCAGATATTTCAAGAAGGCTGTCATTGATGTTTCACAAAACACAAAAAGGTTACAGAAAACACACATTATCTGACCATTCATTCATAAACACACTCACTCATGACTTGATGGACAGACAGGGTGAAGCTAGCCCTAAGCTTTCTCTTATTACAATACTGTATGTTTCTTACCCAGGTCTTATACAAAGAATCCAAGGAGAAGACTGACATTGTCGTCCCCAAGAAGACAGGAAATGATGAAAGTAATGGTAATGCTGCCAAGCACAGCAGCGGAGGCGACAGTGACAGCATGGATGTTGACATCCCCGTGAAGAAGACACCGGTCAAGAGACAGGCAGAGGATGAGGGGCTGACCACACCCACCAAGAAGGTGACTAGACCATTAATTCAGTAATAATATTAACACACAGAGGATTTTAGGCTGATATGATTGCTCCTCACTCCATTTTAGTGAGGGAGGAAGGGTGTCCCAGTTATCTGTGGTGCTGCTATTTTGCTGTACAGAGTTGTGTCCCTTGAACAAACCAGAAACGTGTGATTGTGAGCTCAAATCTTGATTCGCCTCAATTATATTTCTAGGTTTATCAGCACTACAAACATTCCCATAGGTTTCACCAAAGTGGTGAACTACTTCAGGATTTTGTCCTTAATTACACTGGAATACTGCTAAAAACAGCTACAAAACAAAAGAGAAGTTACTCAACACCCTGTTCTTTGATATTTACTGCAGTGTATGAAATAAGTCAATTTCCCAGCCAGACATCAGGGCTGGTAACTTCAAAATGTTACCAGCCAAAAATGGATTTAACCAGAACAAGTATGGTGAATTTACTCAGATGTATAGAACATCTAAAAAATGTACCAGATCATCGGGCTGGCTAGCTGTAAATTTAGACCATCCGTCAGAAATCTAGACCGTCTCAGGCAGTCGGGCGGGCGACACAGTTTACTGCCATATGAGATCACTGTAGTAATGTGAAAGAGTGGAATGTTTTGAGTAGTATGTGTAGATAAGCTGAAATTGGTCCCAAAACATTACTCAACTGTCAGCACCCATCAACACTGACTTGATGTTAACACATCTCAGTTACACGGATCTACTGGTCAAGGAACAGATACTGTATACTGTATTTGTGCAGACACTGGGTTCTGGATATGTATGGCATATATATGTATGATGGTGATGGTTTATAAATGTATTATGGGATTGTTTTCTTAAATGTATTATGGTGATGGAGATGATAACACGGGATGTTCAGAATAACAATGTTTTTTGGGTCCCTCAAAGACTTTTGGGCTGCTCCTTAAACCAGGCTGAAAATATTGCCTCAAATAAAAAAAGTCCACCTCTATATCATGTAATTCTTATGCTGTTGTATGATTATGCTCAAATTTCTGGGGGCGGTGGGGTAGTCTAGTGGTTAAAGCATTGGCTCGTCACGCCGAAGACCCGGGTTCGAATCCCCACATGGGTACAATGAGTGAAGCCCATTTCTGGTGTCCCCCGCCATGATGTTGCTGGAATATTGCCTAAAAGCGGCGTAAAACCAAACTCAGTCAGTCAGTCAAATTTCTGTTAGTATCCATGTTCATTACATTATCTACATGCAACTGGCTTCAGTAGATGGGAATTCTGTTGTATCATAAGCATCCAGTTGTAGGTATTTGTCCTAGGCAGAATGTCTAAAACAGCATGCTAAGGTATTATTGTGTTGTTTCTGAGCTTTATCCAACAGTAATTAATCATGTCCTATTTATTTCAGTCTAAACCAGGATGCAAGTATGGTTCCACTTGCTACCAGACCAGCCCCGCCCACAAGGCAGCTTTCCATCACACTGCTGGTGGCAGCACCCCCCAGAAGTCACCGTCCAAGCCCCTCACTCCTGGGGTAGCGAGTTCCTCCAACAAACTACCCGACATCTTCACAGGCTGCAAGATTTACCTGCCTGAAGCCACAGAGCAGTTCAAGCAGCTCAAGCGCTATATCGTAGCGTATCCTTTACATATAGGTAGTCGACCGCCTCCGGGGTGTAGTGGTTAGAGCGTCCGCCCGGAGAGGGGAAGGTCACGGGTTCGATCCCTGACCGCGTCATACCAAAAGACATTAAAATATGGTACTCGTTGGTCCCTGCCTGGCACTCGGCATTAATGGGTACAACAAGGACTGGTCGGCTCGGAGCCAGTATAATGTGTCTGAGTGGGGTATTCATGCTTCACTGCAGCATGGTATCTCAGTGGGCTAGCACTATAAAACCAGCTTAAGTCTGGACTAGTACAAGCAGCCGCACTTACACATACACACGCATGCACGTCGTCATATGAGCAGAATATTCTCAAGCACGACATTAAACCCAATTTCACGTCACCTCACATATGGGTAGTCACAGTGGGGATTCTGGGTTAGAACAGTTATAACATGTGACTCGACCCCGTTCCATGATGCAATCATAGTGCTTCAGTGATCTACCTTCAGTTGTTGGCGATCTATAGCCCATGTTTTATACTGTATTGTCTTCTTTAATTGGAATGTTGTAACTTTGCTCGCTAGTTTTATATTCACATCTGTGATTCTCTAGTATTTTTACTGTCCATCGTCGACAGCTTTTAATCCTCCAAATGTTTTCACTCTTTATTGTATAGGTTGTTTTCGTCACGATATGGCTGAGATATTGCCGATGTGACGTTAAATATCAACTCACTCACTCACTCATAGTGCTTCAAGTGTCATAAGTTGATGTTAAACTATGGGAGTTTGGATCACCTAAGGGCTAGGATCACAAGTGTCTTCAAAACATATGTCACTGGATTGTCTGGTTATCATTGGATTATTTACAGCCTGCCATCATATAGCAGAAACATAGCAACGTGCAAGCAAAGCACTATCATCATAAGATTAACTATGATCTATGTGCCCGACAGTAACAAATGAGGTGTAAATCTGGACCCACTTCCACAAATCGATTATTGTAACTCCCATTCTCCAACATAGGCTTAAGATAGTCGTAGCACTAAGATCGCTTTGTGTAAGGTGGGCCCTGGCCAGCATATGTATGAAAGGACTGACTTAGAAGGATTTTGTTACAGCAAAGCAACATGGTTGTCTGAAGAGTGAAACAGGAACTACTCAAACATACTGAAAAGTAATCCTATTCCATAAAGCTATCATAGCTCTACAATTTTTGTAAGCCTATATTAAAGTATGGGAGCTACTATCACTTAAGCCTTAAGGTCATTTTGTTGAACTTGGCACCAACTTTCATTCTAGCTAGTATCTACAAATTCAATTCTTAGGATAGATACATACCGTGGATCAATATTCACAAGAGCAATTCTTCGATATTTTATGCCGTTGTGGCATTAACCGTGAGTACTCAGATCATGTTAGCCAGAACCAGTCTTTCTGTTGTTTCCTTAATTGTTGCTAGTTTTGATGGAGACGTGTTGCCAGAGTTCAGTAAGGGATCAGCGACACATATTGTGTCTTCTAAAGGAAAGGTAAGTCAGTGCTTCATGACTTGATGTTGATGCTTCATTCAATTAATAATTGTGAAGTGTGATAGTTAGTTGGTGAGTGAGTATTGTTTAATGCTGCTTTTAGCAATATTCCAGCAATACTGACTGACTGACTGAGTTTAGTTTTACGCCGCTTTTAGCAATATTCCAGCAATATCACGGCAGGGGACACCAGAAATGGGCTTAACACATTGTGCCCATGTGGGGAATCGAACCTGGGTCTTGATTTGACGGCAGCTTCTATTACCGGGGTTAATCGGCCTTGATTGTTAGCGCTATTCCAGCAATAGGGTGTGGGTTTGGCCAGTGGTTAAAGCGCTACCCACGCTTAATGCTATTCCTGACTGATGGGCAATAGCATTTCTTTGCAATATTCCAGCAATATTGCTGGAATATTGCTTAACAATTGGGAACTAAACTGGGTCAAGTCGTTATTCCAGCAATAGCACAGCTGGGAACTCCAAACGTTGGTGTCACACATTGTACCCATGTGGGGAACTGTGGCCTAGGATGTGATTAGGGAACACTTTAAGCACCAGGTTAACACGGCTCCAATTATGTAACATATTCATTGCATAATGTTTGGCTTCTTCACAAAAGGGGCGGTGGGGTAGCCTAGTGGTTAAAGCGTTCACTCGTCACGCCGAAGGCCCAATTCCCCACATGGGTACAATGTGTGAAGCCCATTTCTGGTGTCCTCAGCCGTGAGATTGCTGGAATATTGCTAAAAGCGGCTTAAAACTAAACTCACTCACTCACTCTTCACACAAAATCTTTGTTGAGTTGTACCAGTGAGTGCTGTCAATCACTACATGGTCAGATGAGTAGAATTCTATACACCATAGATTGAGGATATAATCGTAGACCTGAACTATATTATCTGTTCAATTTGGGGCTTTAACTTTTGAAAAGTGTAACTTCTTTGACTACGTGCAAAGTCTTAAAACTTTCTGTCATAGGAAAAACTACATGTGTATCGTCACAAATAAATTCACCCACTCACCAATTCCATTCAAACAATTTAACTATGTTACTAACTATTGTTTGGTTGGGTTTTTTCCAGATTGGCACAGTGAATAGCAAGGCCAAGGTCGTGACCCCTGAGTGGCTGTGGCAGTCAATCAAGAAGAAACGGCTCGCATCAGCTGATGTATACAGGCCCTGAACAGGGACATTCAGACATTTGTTTATCCTATTTTATACACCAAGAACCTAAAACTATGTGTATTGTCTTGGGGCAACTACATAAATCTCAAAATCTATGATATTTGAGAATATCAGATACTGGCTTGAAGTACCTTCATTTTTCAATGACAAAATGGAAAACCCTTAAGAATCACCAAAATAGATTGAAAGGTTTAAGTTTGTACAACATGACAAAACATTCTTTCAAAAAGAATTAAAATTCATTACAGATTTGGATCATTTTAATTTGTTGGTTGTGAAAGAAATTATGTTCTCACTGCATTTTACACGACAGTTGAAAACATTGAAGAAGCCTTGAATTTTATTGTTTAATATCTGTGTGAACAATGCGGCCTATTTCACTGTGATAAATCAGTATTTGTCATTCTCAGAATGACCGAAACAGTACTCTTGATAAAAGTATTTTTTACTCATAACACAAATATTATGTGTCAAATTTGTTTATATGGATATTTCTATTAAAATTATTCATCAGATTTGATTTTAATTTCTAAGCCATACTGGTGTGGCACATTTGAACAACTATTTCATGTGATATTCTGATTTTCAAATGATGAAGGAATGTACACAGTTTCTGAGTGAATGTGAGATTTGTTTAGATATATCAAACAAAATGATTCAGGCTGTGTCACCGAACAAACGACTGATCGGTTAGGGATGACTATCATTATGTACAATGAAATATTTACAAACTGATTCTTGGGGTCATTTTACAGAGCTTTAGCCCACATGATATCAGCTTCCAACTTCAATCTAATTATGATTTGATTGGCTCAGTGGGCTCATGCACCATGGAAGGTCAAGGTCAAGAGATGGGTGCCCATTATGTCAGATAATAAATCCCATATATCCTGATGATCATCAAAACAGAGTAATCATCAGGAATACAAAGAATTACTTTGATTTAGTTATGAATTTATGGGTAGATTGGGCTTGTACACCAAGGTCAAGGTTTCCAGGTCAAGGTCAAGGGGTGTGCCAAATGGTCTGTATCTAACTTCCATATACCCTGCTTTTCATGTAACAGGTTTATCATTACGAATACAAAGAATGATTTTAGTGACATATTATGTGTTATCTGTCATGTGACTGCCATCATACCCGCATGACACTCATAGAAGAACAATCAGAATCCCTTGAAATGTGATATGAAGTGATCAGTTTGTTTACATTCTGTAAGAAATAACGATACCCACTGTTTTTCACCATATTGTCCCCACCATCCTACTGAGTTCCACCATTACAACAAACTCTGTGTTCTTTGCATACAAGTTTCATGTACACCATATCTGTCCTGGACGATTCTGTAGGAAACGTTTCTTTAGTTTCTTCATAAGGGATCAGGGAGTCCAAAATTTGAAATGAAAGTTATTTCTACTGTGGACAAACTACATGATGACTATAAGTATGTTTCAAAGCAAATAATATTGTTATTACTTCATGTGACTCAATTAAACCAATTCCATTAGATTCATTGTATATTTTAGAATGTTGTTACAATTTTTACTGATGTATTATAGAATGCAGTTGTGTAGCCCTTCGATTTGTTATAATTATTTCCTTGAGTATGTATAAATTGTACATATTCATGTCATAAGAGGCTGGTAGGTTAGTCCAGTGGATAGTGTGTTGTTACACAGGAGTTCTGGGTTCTATTCTTTTCAGTAAGTGTCCCCTGTTCACATATGAGTGCAACAGGGGGAATAGTGTTTTCCCCACTGTGACGTTCCAGTCCCATCAAACCTTTGCTCATGACATCAAGTACTGGGTTGTTTGGTCCAGACTCTGTTAGTTACAAACCATCACCATGTAGCTGAAATATGTGTGAGTGAAGTGTTAAACAACAAATAAATAAACCCTCTGTGGAGTAGCTGTTGTGATGTAGATACTTGTGTATAGTAAAGCCTTGGCAACTTTAGTTCAGGCTAACTGTGTAAGCAATCAGTCACTTATTATCTTTAAGACATCATATCAGATCATACTGAAGTGAAGAAGGCAGAGAAGATCAATGTCAAACAGTTTTAAGTAGTCTGTCACAATGTTATTTCTTCTCATAGTGAAAAGTTACTTAAAATATATTTAAAAGTTCAGTTTTTATGGCATCTCATCCTTCACTAATAGCAACAAGCAGGTAAATAATATTACATTTGATATCTTTTGTTTTATTTTATGATAGTTGTTTTTGGCTCCTGTAGATTGAACAAAAATCTAGGTATGTGTTTGGATAGTTTTCCAGCATACAACAAATTCGGTTTTATTTTCAGTAAAAACTTGCACAAATTATTTGTCTTTTTTTGCAATGCTATTATCTGAAAATATCCCAAGCCCCTCTGAATGGTGGTTCTTCAATCATGTCACAAACCGCGTGTATATTGCTTTAATAAGTTATGTACAATTCAACTGTTTCTGTAGACTATCAGGGGCGGTGGGGTAGCCTAGTGGTTAAAGCGTTTGCTCATCACGGCGAAGACCCGGGTTCTATTCCCCACATGGGTAAAATGTGTGAAGCCCATTTCTGGTGTCCCCTGCCGTGATATTGCTGTAATATTGCTAAAAGCGGCGTAAAACCATACTCACTCACTGTAGACTATCACCACCATGGTTGATCTGTGTGTTGATTATTTCTCATTCATCAAGATAAGCCTTTCATCAGACCATTCAGTTGTGATCCTGCTCGCCTGGCCCGAGTGTTAGAATCTGCTTGTTAGAATCTGGTGGAGATGCTGGGTAGAACTGGACTACAGCAATGTATGCTTGTAATAAAAGGCAACAAAGTCACTCGGGTGGAGAGACTTGGTAATGTGTTTCATTATATGTCATTGTCTTCTTTGATTGGCATTCTAGAAGTTGGGAAGATGAAGGATGAGGACTATTTTTATGGATATACAACTTCTTTATTCTGTATAGGCAACGTTTCATCACTTGCTTGACAACGACATTAGAATCTATGTCGAAACGTCGCCTATACAGAATAAGGAAGTTGTATATCTATAAAAATAGTCCTCATCCTTCATATGTCATTGTACCATGACTGGGTGGGACATTGTTCATAAATCACTGGTCTGTCTGCTCCTGAATAGAAATGCAGGTTGACGTCATGAAGCTGAAAAACTGCAAAATGTGACCAACTAACGAAACCAAATCTCACCAAGATTCACTGTCATTTCATTCTTGAAAACATATATTGTGAATTTCTATAGTTCAAATAGTATGAAATTTCATATATCATTGAATAAATTGATTTTGTAGAAAGCATTCTTTGTTTGGTTTATTAGTATCAGTTTGCATCAGGTATGAACAGGATAGGAAAGCAATTCTACTGCTTCTAGAATGTTGCACCTTGGGATCTTGTACAATCAAATCTTACAGTTTGTCAGATCTTCATGCAGACTGGTTTCAGACCTGAAGATATTCTGTGCTAGCCCTGATATATTATGGAAAGAATGTAGTCTTCATTTTTTTTCAATCACAGGTAGAATTCTATCAATATGTGTGATATAGGGTAGCCTTGTGGTTAAAGAGTTCGCTCATCTCGCCAAAGACCCAGGTTCGATTCCCCACATAGGTACAATATGTGAAGCCCATATTGCTGAAATATTGCTAAAAGTGTTGTAAAACTAAACTCACTCACTCATTCTTTGAGGGGGAGGCTATGAGTTTGCCAGTTTTCCAGGTATCTCAATTGAAGTTCTCAGTTCAAGAGAATATTCAATTTAAACTTTGTAGTTATCATATGAAACAAGAAACACAGAATTATTCAACCTATTTATTAATAACAGACAAAATACAAGCATGTTTAACATAAAAATATTAGTATGGAATGTGAGCACAACTGACCTAATCCAATTTGAAAAGAATTAAGTAGATTGTGTCAGGAATTGATGTGATGGATTTTCATGGAAAAATCACGGATTGAAATAGCTACCACTGGATTATTTGTGCATCTAAATGTACAATACCACAGGACGGGGGACAGATGGACGGACATGCTGGTCGCCAGATCCCGTTATTAAAATGTTGCATCGTTTGGAATATTATGGCCTACATCAACCAAGCTAACAAGCCTGACAACCTGATCCCATTAGAATCCATCTCATGCAGAACATTATGAAATGGTATGGTACATTTATATTTGAAAAACCTCAGAATGTCACATAGAGAAGCTTTGACTTTCGATATCAAATCTGGCAGCACAAGTTGATGAGGGTTCTATGAGAACAACTCTTTTATTACTGAGAATAACATCACAATTTTTTTTATCATCTTAGAATATTTTTCTCCATCTGATACTTAGTGTGCCACTGTGATTTTGTGTTTGATGAAAATTTATTGAAACTCCAGAAAATCAAACTTCACTTGAAATCGTCCATCATTCACAAATCACATCACAACAAAATGGAACATAGGTGTTGAGTCACACTAAATATTGAAATTTCACTGCAACTGGTGCAATAACAGCTGAGAAGTTGCCATATAGTGGCTATTATGCATCAGAGCGTGTGATCGATAAATGATCGATCATCGGAAATATCATCGATAGGAAAAAGTATTAATGATTATTGATATGAAAATTGTGTTATCGATAATATTAGAGATTCCTTGCTTGAGTATTATTTGCTCCATTTGAGAACGGTACACATGATGGAGACAGACTAGTGGAATCCCAGTAATCCAACTCAGACATATTATACTGACTCTGAGCTGCCAGTCCTTGTTTTAACCCCCTGCTGAAACCCAGGCAGGGGAACAAGAAGTACCATTTTTTAATGTCATTTGGTATGACACAGCCAGGGAATTGAACCACTGACCTTTCTCTCTCTGGGCACACGCTCTATCCACTACACCACACAGATGATTATCAATGAAGGGAACATGTACATATTATTAAACGGAAAAGCGAGAAAACCCTAAAAGAAGTACATACAGGAAAAATCAATGTTTGTGTTTAAAAAAGAATAGAATAATACTTTCATGCCTTGTCAGGAACTTGTGTTACATCAGCAGAGCTACTGACACATTAGAGAGATACAAAACATATTTACATAAATTCATTGATTTAAGTATCTTCACATTTGTTTAAGAGAGATATGGTATTTGAAATAAAGGATGTCCGGGCTCTCTTAGTTTTCACAATTGGAACTTTGTAGCGGCGGCCTGAAGGGAGGAGGGTGGACTCCGAATTTAAGTAGTGAGTTGGGTCAGATATAACTTTGACATCTTGATTCCCGATTTGCCGCTCATATATTGATGATAAACATTCAAATCTGACTCCAGCGATTATACTTGCAGTGTTAACAATTTTGTCTATGTTAGATTTGAGATGAACTGAGAGAGACCCGTACCAACAATGGAGGAAAATGTTAAAATACTCTGAATAAATGCTGCATAAAAAGATGACATCACAGATGGGTTAACATTAAAAGATCTCAGTTTACGCATGAGATGAAGACGTTGTTGACACTTGTTGTATAGAGCTTCAGTGTTAGAGTTCCAGTTCAGCTTAGTGTCAATGAAGGTTCCCAGATACTTATACTCCGACACTATCTCAACATATTCACCTTTGATTATCACTGGAAGCATTTCTGTGGACTTAATCCGAAAGTCAATTGTAGTTTTCTGCACACCAAGTTGTGAAATGATTGATGTCCTCTTTATACAGTTCTTCAGAATCATTAATCAAATGGATTAATACTGTTTGAAAGTAGGGAGAAAAACTGTTAAGTGCGGCTATATAATGTGTGAGATTCCAAGGTTAACATGTTCACTGACACGTGACTAAATGCAAGCTGAGTAATGTATGGTAGGTATGCCACACCCTACAGTGTACACCGATGTTAGTGCTGCTACTATTAACCTAGTGCAGCTATAGATTGTCACCATCTCATCAAAATATCTGACATAAATACAGTGGAAACCTGATAAGTAAAATTTCAAGGGACTCGCCAAAATTGTTTACTTATCAGGTATTTTACCTATCCAAACTTATAAAAATCTGCAAATGACAACCATATGCATGTATATGTACGCATATGTAACAATGAACAACTTATCAGGGCTGGCCTCCAGTTGTCAGTGTATTGTCAACTGCTTGATGCCAGCGAGCTGTAAGTAGGATGTTTGTTTGACTAGAGACTGACACGACTGCCCCTCATGTCGGATTATGTGGTGATCGCTAATTTAGTTATCCAGTCTCTTTTGTTAAGTAATTTACTTCCAGGGACCGTGAGAAGACGTTTAGTTAAGCGGTATTGTTTACTTATCCGAGTTTAGTTAACCAGACTCTAATAGTGATGATTAATGAAGAAATTTGCCGGGACCAAAGAAAAGTGTTTACTTATCAGGTCTGTTTAGTTAAGCGGTCTTTACTTAGGCGGTTTCCACTGTATTGGTAAGGCCAGATGAAGTTTATTTCTTGTTTTTATGGATCCGCCGGTCATATGTTTTCAAGAATAAGAAAAAAATAAAAATTAATTTTCCCCGCTCAAAAAATAAAATCCTAATGTTTTTATTGACCAAAATGTAAACTTACAAGAAAATGCTTTTTAGATTGTATTTTGCCCCATATACACTTCATAAATTGACGAGAGTAAAATACTTTTAGTATTTAGAAGGAATATTACTTTGACTGGTGATTTTATTTTTATTTTTTTTCCCTCCTGCCTTTAGGTTTTCTGAGGACAAAAATCTGTAAAAGTAGAAATAAACTTGGTCTGGTCTAATGAAGGCATCAAATCATTTACTTTGATATCTCTCATAAATAGACACTTTTAATGAACACATTTTGTGTTGGACCTTAACACAAAAACACACTCCAAATATACTGACAATATACCCGGTACTAAAGCTTGTTCAGTTTGACCTGATCAAGTGAATACTAATGTATTGCGTGACCGTGTCACAACTGGTTGAGTCTATTATTGTGAAGGGGTGCACCTTTGTAAGTTGATTGTCACCATGTCCGAACAGCCGAGACAAGGTCGCCGTTTGACATCTCAGTGTCGAGAAATCATCAGCGATGTCCTAACTTTCTTTAAAAAAGATGCTGCAGATGGTTTCATGTTTCTGAATCGGGCTTTTAGGCAGCGAACAGCAGTAGCGACATTAATAACATTTTCTGCTCCCCTACTTAATGAAGTTAACTCGACCTGCCATTTGTGCCATTTGACCTCCCGGGTCATGCATATGTAGAGTAGCTCAGGTCAAGCTTAACAAGCTATACTTTTCCTACCTCCCATTCCATTACCCTCAAGAACACAAAGCTATTACCTGTACCATGTTTTCAGGAATACAATCCACAACTGAGTGTTATAAGCAGTCCTTAATTCTTGGGTACATGTTTTGTGAAAAACAGTGAAACTTCAGCTAACCTCGATATGTTGTCTTAAGTTTAAAATATAGACAGACACTCAACAAAATTGCTCTCAGCATTGACAAACATACTGAGGACACCAGAGGCTAATGAAAGGAATTAAATATAATGTCATAAGAAAAAGCACACATGCAGAAATTCAGCTGCCTTGATCGGGTAATTGAAGTATAGAAATTTACACAGATAAATATGAATATTCCGGGCCCCACATGCCCTACAAATAGTGGTGTTCCGATGATCGAAAAGAATCGAAAATCGATCGAAAGAAGGATTAAAAATGATTATTGATTGTAAAAACAATATTTTTGATTAATCGGAATTTTGTTGTTTTTGTATAACACCCTTGAATTAAGTATACTTACCATTTAATTTGATGAATATTCATGAACAAACATGTGCTCAACAATGTAAAGCTATGCGCATTGTAAAATATTAACCACTTTTATTGTTTAATTACAATTCCAGTGTCTTACTTGCATGCGTGCATTTCATTGCATGACAGTATTAGTTATAAAAATACATTAATTAGAAAAAACTGGGGAAAAAAATATTAAAATTGGTGATTACATTAAAAATGTATATATTTCGATTATAATCGATAATCGTTCACCACAAGTCCTCTGATAATCGATAGTGGATTTGGTTTCCGATTCCCAACACTACCTACAAGTCTCTAGGACAAATTAGAATGTCAAGCATGTCATGTTTCAGCTTCACTGCTTGTGGAGAAATCAGGAACATGTTCAAAGCCCAGAGGTCAAAATATAAAACATCACAAAAAAATGGAATGTGTTGAACCTCAAATAAGGCCAGACCAATTTTATTCTTGTTGTATGGATCCTCCGGTTGTATTTTTTCAAGAATAAGAAAAAAAATAAAAATAATTTTCCCTGCTCAAAAAATAAAATCCTAACGTTTTTATTGACCAAAAATGTAAACTTACAAAAAAAATATTTTTTATTGTTTTTGCCCATAAATTGCCACTTTTAGTATTCAAAAGGAATATTACTTTGACTGGTGATTTTTTTTTTTTATTTTTTCCCTCCTGCCTTTAGGTTTTCTGGGGACTAAAAATCCATAAAACAAGAAATAAAATTGGTCTGGCCTAAAGACCGAATGTCATAACAAATATCAAACTAAATGGCTGACTAATGTCCATAAAAAGTTTCAGCTTTCATTTGGGCCAAAATGCAAAGGTGAAGCAAAGGTCAAAGTGTAAAATTTTGCTAAAAACGCTATAAGACACAAAACTCCTTTCCAATTTGAATAAAAATATCTCCGGAAGGAAGGTAAAGGCTGTAAAGGTTAAATGAACATCAAAACATAAAATATTGCAAAAAATGGAACACATCTGTTTGGACACACTATTAACAATAAACAAAACATGTACCAAATTTCATTACAATTTAAACAAAGATGCAGTGGCTATAAATGTTAAATATAGGTCAAAATGTAAATAATGCACAAAAAACAAACATATATTTTGAGCCACACTATTTGTTGGAATGTTACAAGTGAACTTCTATTACCCTATCTGGCAGTAGACAAACAGATCTCATGGTTTACTAATCCTTAAAATTTGTGTCAAAATTATGCTTGTTATATGAGCCAGACCACCAACCTACATCTTCTGATCATGATCTTTCATCAGAATTTAACATCCACACATTTGTACTGAATAATGCAAACATCATGTCCAGTGATATTTAGTTGTACATTTCACATTTTCATTGAGGAAGTTAGCTATCTCTTGTTTGTTCACCTGAAGAAATACAATGTATTCTTTTACCAACAGTAAAATAGTTTGATGAAAGTATAAACTTCACATATGATGACTCCTTTCCACAGAGCCTATTTTTCTGGATCTCAAATCTGGCGAATCTACAGTCATATACCCTATGTTTTTAGCTAAAATGGCTCAGTAACGACCAAAAAGAGTCATTTCAATATGGCTGCAGAGGAGGTCACACTGAAAATATATGGTATTGTGCAATTATTGTGCAATTCCTTGATGTCTATTTTCGATGTGAACCCGCTGCAACTGTTATCTGAGTAGCCTCTATCCAATACATAGTTTGGTAATTATTCTGTCTATAAAGCATGATGAAAGTCTGAATCTTCCAGGTCAGGGCTTGCAATCTTCAGCCGTCTGGTTTAGACTGAAATACAATGAAACATGAGGAATTACTGCTCATCAAACAGGAGTAATTACTTCCCTGTAGGATAAGTCTGGAAAACACACACAGCAAAATAGGGGTGTTACAGTATTAGTAGAAAGGCTGTATTTTGCTTTCAATTCGGTGTACCATAATGCAATGCACAAATTCTGCATTTTCAGTGTTTTCCTGTCATTTCTCTCCAGTCATAAAATGACAGTTTTGTTCATTTAAAATAACAAAGATTAGGGTTATTTGTTCCATGTTATCAAACAATGTAAGGTTTGGCTCGTTGTCAATTTTCTGCATTATGATCATATCATATAGAACCGAAACAGACCAAACTGAAGGCCTTGTACTGCAATATGTATTGTACCGTGGTAACAGTGAAACCATTTCACCCCTACAGCAAAACCTTGGTCATGGCTTCTACAGTCACCCAGGTTGTAACAGACTTTGTTGATGTGACCATCAATCAATGAGACAATGAAATACAGGTGCAGCATTATTAGCTATCAAGACTCCGCAACTAATTGCATCAGTTTACATACAAAATATGCATAAACATAATAAAGTATAAAATAGATACAAGTCATCAATCAAAACAGTTCTCATATTCCACTTCCACATCATATCAAATCAAATGAAATCGGAATTATATTAACTCAGTCATTTGACTGACATGACACCACTTGAAGATATGAATGCTCTTAATGTGATGGGCCAGTGGGGTAGCTTAGTAGATAAAGCATTCATTTGTCATGCTGAAGAGCCAGGTTCGATTCCCAACATGGGTGCAATATGTGAAGCCCATTTCTGGTGTCCCCCACCGTGATATTGCTGGAATATTGCTAAAAGCGGCATAAAACTAAACTCACTCACTCACTCTTGATGTGATGTGAACATTGAATGAAAGCCTCCTTAATTAATGCAGCTTCTCAATCCCAACTGACAATATGATGGAGGGAATCTGCAAGAGAGTCTAATGCAATTTGCAATTTTGTTTTAGAACACTGCTCAATAAGTCTACATTGATTTTACTGTTACTTGATGTTTTTCAAGCATGGGACATCTGGTCCAATTTCATGTCATAAACATAGTGACGCCTCTCAGTGGTGTAGTGGTTAGAGCGTCACAGGTTCGATCCCGACAGCGTCATACCAAAAGACGTTAAAATATGGTACTTGTTGGTCCCTGCCTGGCGTTCGGCATTAATGGGTACAACAAGGACTGGTCGGCTCGGAGTCAGTATAATGTGTCTGAGTGGGGTATTCATGCTTCACTGCAGCATGGTATCTCAGTGGGCTAGCACTATAAAACCAGCTTCAGTCTGGACTAGTACAAGCAGCCGCACATACACATACACACATTCATGCACGTTGTCATATGAGCGAAATATTCTCCAGCATGACGTTAAACCCAATTCCACCACCACCATAAACATAGTAGATGTTATTTTGGTATCTTCAACATGATATCTTGAAGTAGGCCATATTTAAACCTAGCAAAGTCTTGCTATGCAAGATTTCATGAGGCAAATTACCCATAAACCATTCTTCATCATGGCCTCTAACAGTTAGACATAAGTTTTTTACCTTTTTATTTGCTTTGATACAATATATGATTAACAGTTCTCCAGTCAAAGGGCCCCTACAGGACCATCACGGACCATCCAGAACCATACAGGGCCCAGATTGTGTGTTAAAGCAGAAAAATGAGTGCTTGTGAAATTTCCACATATCTATGTCTGTAAAACTAGGTTCTTCACTAGATGGCTCAATCATGTTACTCACTTACTGATATATTTTTGCATCTATCCATCATTTTCTCACACCATTAAAACAAAATGGCTGTCAGTGCAAATCCTAATCCATAAGAAACTCCTCAATTTGTAACCACACCGAAAGAAAAATAGATTAAATTGTCTGTGGTCTAGTCACCTTCTTGGAAGGAGTTGTCTGCCCTTCATCCTCTGCCTGTCTCTTGACCGGTGTTTTCTTCAGATCAGTGCTGCTACTGGCACCATCACTTTCAGTGTCATTTCCTGTCTGAGTGAGTTATGAATGAGTGAGTAAATCGCAAACCGCAAGAAATGGGAGAATGACAACATGGAAAGTATTGGTGACTATAACAAGTTGAGAATAATGGAGATTGTCAGTATGGGAATTACAGGAAGCTGATAACATGGGAAATATGGGAGGCTGATAACATGGGAAATACTGGAGGCTGATAACATGGGAAATACTGGAGGCAGGTAACATGGGAAATACTGGAGGCTGATAACATGGGAAATATGGGAGGCTGATAACATAGGAAATACTGGAGGCTGATAACATAGGAAATACTGGAGGCTGATAACATGGGAAATACTGGAGGCTGATAACATGGGAAATACTGGAGGCTGATAACATGGTAAGTACAAGAGGCTGATAACATGGGAAATACAGGAGGCTGATAACATAGGGTTAAATACTGGAGGCTGATAACATGGAAATACTGGAGGCTGATAACATGGGAAATAACTGGAGGCTGATAACATGGGAAATATGGGAGGCTGATAACATGGAAAAGGTTAATACTAGGAGGCTGATAACATGGGAAATATGGAGGCTGATAACATAGGAAATACTGGAGGCTGATGATAACATGGGGATGATAACATGGGAAATACTGGGCATGATAACATGGGAAATATGGGAGGCTGATAACATGGTAAGTACAAGAGGGATAACATGGTAAATACATGGGAAATATGGGAGGCTGATAACATGGTAAATACAGGAGGCTGATAACATGGGAAACTGGGAGGCTGATAACATGGGAAATACTGGAGGCTGATAACATGGGAAATACAGGAGGCTGATAACATGGGAAATACAGGAGGCTGATAACATGGGAAATACTGGAGGCTCATGACATAGTAAATACAGGAGGCTGATAACATGGTTAATATAGGGTCTGATAAAATGGGAAATACTGGAGGCTGATAACATGGCAAATGCTTGAGGCTGATAACATGGTTAATACAGGAGGCTGATAACATGGTAAGTACTAGAGGCTGATAACATGGTAAATACGGGAGGCTGATAACATGGTTAATATAGGGTCTGATAAAATGGGAAATACTGGAGGCTGATAACATGGCAAATGCTGGAGGCTGATAACATGGTTAATACAGGAGGCTGATAACATGGTAAGTACTAGAGGCTGATAACATGGTAAATACAGGAGGCTGATAACATGGGAAATATGGGAGGTTGATAACATGGTTAATACAGGAGGCTGATAACATGGGAAATACAGGAGGCTGATAACATGGAAAGAAATACAGGAGGCTGATAACATGGGAAGTACTGGAGGCTGATAACTTGGAAATACTGGAGGCTGATAACATGGTAAATACTGGAGGCTGATAACATGCTAAGTACAAGATGCTGATAATATGGGAAATACAAGAGGCTGATAACATGGTAAATACTGGAGGCTGATAACATGGGAAGTACTAGAGGCTGATATTACATGGGAAATATCGAAGGCTGATACTATGGTAAATACTAGAGGCTGATAACACGGTAAATACTGGAGGCTGATAACATGGGAAATACTGGAGGCTGATAACATGGGAAGTACTAGAGGCTGATAACCCGGGAAATACAGGAGACAGTGATGCTCACCTTCATCTTCATGCCTGGCAGGTCCTGTAATGTCTTAGACTGAACCCTGTCCACCACATCCTTCAAGTCTTCAGAGATCTGGAATGCTTCATAAGCATTGGGGTCAAGGCCATCCAATCTGTGATCAAAGATATAACCATTAACTGCTTAAGAACCATATCCAACATGACCTAACACTCTTACAACTATGTAAATGATTGAGGAGGCATAGTGACGTCATAACCTTAATCCTGATCCTAATCTTGTTTAAATTGTGGTAAATATACAGTATAAAAGGTTGAATTATCACACATCCCCAATATGACTAACACCCTTGATCCATTGAATGGTACGATGCCATAATTAGCCCTCCACTAAAATTACACTATTTATTTTTTATGAATCAAACAAGTGACAATATCAACTGTACTTGACTTCCATTGTTGTTTGACTTTTCAGATACCACTGTGACCATTTCATGACTTCCCTCCCTTGTCTTAATATTGATATTCAGTTTAAACCATTTACTGATTCCAGATCTACAATCAGGGGCTTGTACAGGTGGGGACATAGTCATTACTGTGGATCTACACCATGTGTGACTGTGTGAGTATTGTTTTACACCACTCTTGGTGTGCATGAGCATGTTTAGGCCAGACCAATTTTATTTCTTGTTTTACGGGTCCGCAGGTCAAGTTGTTTTTTCAAGACTAAGAAATAAAATAAATGAAAATTTTACCATCAATTGTATATTTATATACTTATCCTATCCCACGGTATGCACCTCTCTTCTTCTTCTACGACCATGTGTGGAAACGTGCTGTAGGCTAAGTTGAATCAAACGTTATCTGGCCTCTGACCCCCCGACCTCTGCCCCCACTCCGATAGCAGTACCTGTCAATCATCTCAATAAGCGTGCAGATCGCTCAGATGATCACATGACGGTCTGTGCCTGTCATTCTCTTTCTTGTCGCTACACCGAGTGGATGTGTGTTGTTCTCTCAGTTAGACATTATTTGTTTGTCAATATGGGAAATAAATGGAATCAAAGCAACTTTTCCGCTGCTTCCACACGCTTTGTGTGTTGATTGTATAGGCTGTTGTAGTTGGTCACATCGGAGTTCTGATTGTTCACACTTGAATGATGGTGATTTTTCAGAATATCGACGGGTTGCATCTAGACGTAGATCGGACAGAGATTGGCGTACAACTGCTGAAGGTCCTTCAACTTTTAAGCGTGCTATATCGTGAATGTAAATGTAAACTTTCAAGAATTATTTTTTATTAGAATGCTTTTTGCCCAATATACACTTCATAAATTGCCAATATTACTTTTTTTTGTTTATTTTTTTTCTTCCCTCCTTTTCCGAGGACAGAAATCCTTAAAACAAGAAATATAAATTTGTCTGGCCTTATTACCTAGAAACACAAACAGACCATGTAATGCCTAAGAGAATATGTGAGTGAGGTTTATGCCGCTCTTCACAAAATTCACACAATATCATAGACACCATAAATAGACTTCACACACTTTAACCCTGAAGGGAATCAAACTCAGGCCTCAGAGAGACTGGCAAATACTTGAACCGCTGGGCTGACCTTCCTCTCTCAATGATGCTTGAACCACTGACCAGTTGTTTGTTTTTTTTTATTGTTTGACTCGGCAATATTCTAGCTAAATGACAGTGGTCTGTAAATAATTGAGACTGGACCAGACAATCAAGTGATTGACATCATGATCATCAATCTACACAATTGGGATACGATGACATGCGTCAACCAAGTCAGCAAGAATGATCACTCAATCCCGTTAGTCGCCTCTTATGACAAACATGGGTTGCTGAAGACCAATTCTAACCTGGATAACGGGTAAACTTTGACTAGTAATTCAGCAAACTACTAAAAGAAAATCTGTGCAAATTTGTGAAAGGAGAGATGGTGATTGTGTTGTTGAAACTGAATCTGAAACTTTACTGGAGAATGGGTCCAGAGTATACATCATGAACTATTATACAGGGTGGAAATAACCCATTGCCCCACGTCCGAGTCCAGTGTTTTTTTCTGTCGGGCTAGCAAATTTGTATATCACACTGTACTGGTGTCCAGTTGACTTTCGGGAGTACACCAGCAATTATAAAGTTATTTCCACCCCTGTTATAGATTTATTTAACTCACCAATAAGAAAGCTTTTACCTACATATATTTTGCCTTTGAGTTGATGCCAATGTCGTGTTTGATCAGGCGAATCATCATCTTCAAATCATAGCTGGTGCATCTGAAACAAACAAGCCCATCATATGACCAACTACATAGTTAACGAATGTTGTTGCATGTCTGATGTAAATGTTGCATGTCTGATGTAAATGTTGCATGTCTGAAGTAAATGTTGCATGTCTGAAGTAAATGTTGCATGTCTGATGTAAATGTTGTCTGATGTAAATGTTGCATGTCTGATGTAAATGTTGTCTGATGTAAATGTTGCATGTCTGAAGTAAATGTTGCATGTCTGAAGTAAATGTTGCATGTCTGATGTAAATGTTGCATGTCTGATGTAAATGTTGCATGTCTGATGTAAATGTTGCTTGTCTGATGTAAATGTTGCATGCCTGATGTAAATGTTGTATCAGAATTTGTGAGATAAACAACCGTTCATGGTCTGTTTTTAAAAACACATGTGGATGACAAGCTGAGTTAACCTATTCTGCATTGGATGTGTATGGACTTACACTATAGCTAATATCACCTTTTAATAATTTTCTTCAGTATTCTGATTGGTTGAGTGGCAGTAGACAAGGCAGTCAAGAGGCCGTCCATCTGAAACAAAAGACGTATAGAATTATATTAAGCTGAATATTAAGAATACATTTCAAATTCTCTTGGTGTCTGTGTTGTAGCCGTTGTAGCCATAATGTGCAGCCACTCTTGACTAGCCACTGACAACTCTCATTGACTGAATATATATTTTTTTAACCTTCATCTATACATAATAGCATGGAGATATGGTATACTGGATATCGAAGGATGGTGATTGGCTGAAGGATCATCTGAATGGATAACATGATAATATGACTGATATCTTCCTACAGCCTCACAAACTGGGTTGTATGTTCCCTTGGGAGCTGAGAAATAAATGTGTGTGCACACTGATAAATCAGATCTGGTAAGAAAATAGTATTTGAGATTGTGGATTTGAGTGAGTGAGTGAGTGAGTTTAGTTTTACGCCGCACTCAGCAATTTTCCAGCTATATGGCGGCGGTCTGTCAATAAGCAAGTCTGGACCAGACAACCCAGTAATCAACAGCATGAGCATCGATCTACACAATTGGGATACGATGACATGTGTCAACCAAGTCAGCGAGCCTGACCATCCGATCCCTTTAGTCGCCTCTTACGACAAGCATGGGTTCCTGAAGATCAATTCTAACCTGGATCTTCACAGGTCTATATTGATCAGTCATTACATGATAGATACAGATATTTCCACTCACCTCTCGTAAGGACACGATACTCTCCCCCAAGGGCGTCACAGTTTTGCTTTTCTCAAAACACACCCTGATTATTTCTCCCTCAGTCATAGTGTACTGTATAAACACGCCAGCAATTGATCATAGTCAGAAGTTACACAGTGATTATTACCCACACCTCAGTCTGTACAAACACCCAATGATCATAGTGAGTTACCTGTATAGTACACATGGTTTCATTCAAACATATGAGGTATTACAAAGAATAGTGAATTATTTTCAACTCTTGTAAACATCTGTATTTATCCAGCAGGATATTCATTTGATATAATTGTTATCTTACCCTAGCTAGCCCTTTCTGTCCACCTGAACAGAACATTTATACACATACCTGCTCTAAATCCTCCTCCATTGCTTTTTGACTTGTACCAAATATCTGAAGACAAACATATTTCTAAACATGACATTTTTTCAGCTTCGCTAACAATACAATGGTTTTCTTTAATTCTTTATTTGCCTGAGCTCAACATCATGAAATAACATATTTTTTAAATTCATATATGAAAAAATTCAAACATCTTTTAGAAGAAAGATGTGATGGTTGCAGGACCTCTGAAGATCCAGGTTCAACCTGAGTGAGTGAGTGAGTTAATTTTTAGCATCACATCAGCAATATTTCAGCCATATCGTCACGAGAACAAGTTAATTATATCAATATTGCAATCAATAAATTTAGAACATAAAAACCTCTCATCAAAGGAGGTTCAACCTGAAATGAGTCAGGTAAACTCAACTACAATGAGTGAGTGAGTAAGTTGGGTTTACAGCTGCTTTTAACAGTTATATCACATAATTTCAGCATAATGACGGAGGAAATCCCACATGGTTTGGTCACACTTAGGTGTTATCCACAAGCATGGGTATGGTGAAGATGAATTTAAAAACATAATAGGGGGAAGTGGGTTTCAATCAAGGGTCCGTGGTAAGTCCAAGGTATGCAACTTAACTCAACACTGCAAAATTGCAAGGTGCGATTGAGGGGTTTTCTTTCATTAGGCCAGACCAATATTATTTCTTGTTTTACAGATTTTTGTCCTCAGAAAACTTAAAGGCAGGAGGGAAAAAAAATACAGTAGTCACAGTAATATTCCTTCTAAATATTAAAAGTATTTTACTTTTGGAAATTTATAAAGTGTATATGGGGCAAAACACAATCAATAAACATTTTCTTGTAAAGTTTACAATGTTGGCCAATAAAAACATTAGGATTTTATTTTTTGAGAGGGGAAAATGAATTTTTATTTTTGTTTTTACTCTTGAAAAATACGACTGGCAGATCCGTAAAACAAGAAATACAATTGGTCTGGCCTTACCTGAACCGAGTGCAACCTGGCTTATAGGTTTGACTGCACCATCAAATTTTGGTTGCACTATAAAAAAATGTCACTGGTTCTAAAATATAACATCAATATTTGTTTAGCAATTTTCATAACAAGTACATGTACTCAGTATCACATACACTCAACAGAACCAGAACCCTGGATGATATATGATTCTTTTTCAATTTTGCATTACCTTTATTTATAAATCTCAATTATATGATTACTGCTATATAGCCGATTAAGTAGTACACAAATGTTTATGTTGTAACATGTCACATGGAGAGAAACATATTACCTCCAGTCACTTACTACCCAATTAAAACACTAGGGGTGAAATGGTATACCGCTGTATTAGTAGAACTGTGGTGTTTTTAAATCAGTTTGGTATACCATAATGCAATCAAAAAATCGGTATTTTCGGTTTTTGTATCATCATTTTATTAACCTTTTTAAAACTTATCTGAAATGTCTAGAAGTCAAATCATTTTGTCAAAATCTACGTTTGGCTCTTGTCAATTTTCTGCATTATGATAATATCTCATATACCGAACCGGACCGAACCGAACCAAAGACCTTGTACCGGAATATGTACCGTACCGTGGTAAGAGTGTAACATTTCACCCCTATAAAACACACAATGACAGCTATAAGATGTTGCAGGATTTATTGTCCCAGTGCAACCTGTTACTGAAGGTAACCTGCACCCACCATTGTTAACATGCACCAGTGCGGATTGTAAATATCAAAATTGCAGCCTGAACTGTGACACCTTAGACTGGACTACCCATGCCCCGTTGGCATGTTGCTCATCTAGAAGGATGTACCTACCTCGCTGAAGAACTTGACAAGGTCTGCATTATTGAGATTGTACTTGGTCTTCACAACACCAGTCAGCAAGAACTTCATCAACATGTAGACATCACCCTTGAAGCCAGCTGCAAGTGACAGGAGTGAGTGAGGAGTACGAAATTTATATCAGGACACCGACACATTTGTGACAGGTTTGATTATTTGATAATATTCCAGCTACATTGCGGCATCCAATCCTGTTAGTGGCCTCTTACGACAAGCATGGGTTATTGAAGACCAATTCTAACCCGGATCTTCACAGGTAAAATCCCTTTAGAGTGATGACAACAATATCGTATAAGCTGAGTTTAATGCATGATAGATGCATATAGGTGTAGGTGTGGTGTGGTGTGGTGAGTGAGTGAGTGAGTTATACACTGCTTTAAGCAACTTATCATGGGACCCTCTATTATCGCGGTAGTTAATGTTGTCGCCATCGGGATTATAAACGGCTACTGACATTTAGCATTTTATATATATTTTCAGTTGACTGATGTTTAATCTTCATTTCTGTCACAAATAATGTGACACATGGTCACAACTCATATAATACCATTGCTGCAATTCCGATTGTCTCGTTTGACCCGGAAATTGAAGCTACTCTCTATTATCGCGGTTCTTACTATGGCACGCGGTACAGGCAGATGACACTGTGAAACTTTACTAAGACAAAACGAATCTAAATAGTTTGATCATTAAAAAATATTTAGGAATTTCATTCACATTAGTAATATCATCATGTTTTTAACCCAAACATCTGAAACTTCTATTCATTTTGATACAAGGTAACAATATCGTTACACAATATTGTTTTTCCACCTTAAAACATACCATACAAGTTGCTGCCGTGTGTAGAGTGAAGTTGCATAATACGTCACTTCCTGTTATATTTTTAGCACAGAAAATACGCAAATGACCTTATAGTTGTCGCAGGATTACTCTTGACTAAGTAAGTTTTGATTCATGCTACATGTAATGACAGTAGGGGTCCTACTAGTTTCAAAATGTTCTAGAACTTACTGAAAACATGAATGCTTTAATATTTCTACGATTAGACATGACATTCCAATGAAATAAATGACTTTTTCAAGAGTGATGAATATATTTTACGTAATTTGCATATGTAAACAGCCGATGCGGGCGTGGTGTTTCTGCTTTCCCAATGTTTTCGCATGCCGCTATAATAGAGAGCCCGTAATAATAGAGAGTCCCAGTATACTACCACTGGTCCCCTTCTTGAGGTAGTCAGACACAAGAGCAATCTTGCCAGTGGGTGAGTGAGTGAGTTATACACCGCTTTAGGCAACTTACTACCACTGGTCCCCTTCTTGAGGTAGTCAGACACAAGAGCAGTCTTGCCAGTGGGTGAGTTAGCAAGTTATACACTTTAGGCAACTTACTACCACTGGTCCCCTTCTTGAGGTAGTGACACACGAGCAGTCTTGCCAGTGGGTGAGTGAGTGAGTTATACACCGCTTTAGGCAACTTACTACCACTGGTCCCCTTCTTGAGGTAGTCAGACACAAGAGCAATCTTGCCAGTGGGTGAGTGAGTGAGTTATACACTGCTTTAGGCAACTTACTACCACTGGTCCCCTTCTTGAGGTAGTCAGACACAAGAGCAGTCTTGCCAGTGGGTGAGTGAGTGAGTGAGTTATAAACCGCTTTAAGCAACTTACTGCCACTGGTCCCCTTCTTGAGGTAATCGGACACAAGAGCAGTCTTGCCAGTATTGCTGTCTTCCTCAGATATCTTGGTACAAAGACAGCGGAACTGATGGAGAGAGTTGTCCTCCCTCTTTATATTAGCATCTGCAAATTTGAGTGGAGCATGTTAACATCAGGGTGAACCTTGGCTATACAGACACTTGTGTTCTCCAACATTTTGTCTGGATAAAGATATTTCTGGATATCTAAATTACCAAATTTATCCAAATTGTACAGAAGCAAAAATAGCCTCTGTTGATGGCACATTATACACAAATAATTCCACTAAGTTGTTGTATACCACTCAAAAGAATCCAAGGAAGACCAAATATTGTTTGTATTCAAGAGACTTTTATTCTAAGGCAGGGACGGGTACCCCGGATACCCGGGACGGGTGGGTAATGAGTTTGACCCGGGTACCCGTCTCAATACCAGGACCTATTATGATTATGTGACTAATAGATTAAACAATGTAATATGTTATCCTTTCATGATTAAAAGGTTGTATTGTCCTTGAAGATTTAGACATAATTTACAGTCACCTGTTCTGAATATAACACATGGTTAAAATATTGAAAAACTCAGAATTTTAGCCCCCGAGCTGAAGAATATATTGCAATTTATTACAAATTTGATGTCAGGAATTAACATAATGGGTATCCAGGTAGGGTAGCGTATTAGGGGGTGAGGTACCTGGGTAGAAAATTTGGACCCGTCCCAGCCCTGTTTTATTCATCATGGTACATTGTCATGAGGCCTGGGTATCTGTCATGTTTATATGGACCTTACTGCTATCATTCCTTCTTTGGTCTAACATGCTTTTTTGGCATGTCCAAAAATTGTATGAAGGTGATAAAACACATACCAATTGTTAATTAACGTCTGCAAAATATATTCCAATGGTCCTTGGATTCCTTTGAGAATGATAGGTGGGCATGGTTCTTGTGGGTTGTGATATCATGATACTATTATAGATCACAATATTGTGATATACTATGGATCACAACATTTTGATATACTATGGAACGCAACATTTTGATATACTATGGAACGCAACATTTTGATATACTATGGAACTCTACATTCTGATTCTATGGATCGCAACATTTTGATGCTATTATGGATCACAACATTGTGATATACTATGGATCACAACATTGTGATATACTATGGATCACAATATTGTGATAGCTAATGGATCACAATATCATGATACTACTATGGATCACATAGTATGGTATTTTCATCGAAATATATGTGAATTACAACTAATATTCACCTATCACTGAATTTATCCTTCCAACATAGGAATTTATGATAATGGATTCAAAAGAAGCTATTAACAGAAATATACTGAGAGAAAAAAATAAGGGACCACATGAAAGCACAAGTGTTCCCTTATTTTTTTCCAGGTTTCTTCACAAGCTATGTGATACAAAGCTTGTGAAGACACCTGGAAAAAAATAAAGGAACATTTGTCCTTTCAAGTGATCCCTTATTTGTTTCCTTCAGTATATCTACAGATTTCACAATCTCAGGTTAACAATAATGTTTTAAAATTTCAACCACATACTGCCAAAGACATAGGTTCGATTCCCAAACTGAGCACAATGTGAGGAGCCCATTTCTGGAGTCCCCTGCCATGATATTGCTGGACTATTATTAAAAGCGGCGTATAACCATAATCAATGTTCACTTTCAAATGAAATGTACAGATATAAATTCTTCGTATCAAAACTCTAACTTAAAAAAAACAGGTGGCATATCTCACGTTCAGTGTGATATACAAGAGGACTCACCGCTGATGAGTCTGAGAACAGTCTCCTTCTCGTCTTGTTTTAACTGATCAAACCCACCCATGTCATCAGGAGACTTGATCTTCCTTTCCTTGGCTTTTTCCCTGTCAAACTCCTTAAACATGCAGGGAACGTGGTAATATAGAGTCATATCACCCCACCCTTCATCTTCCACATCACATGGGTTGGGAACATTTTTACCAATTCTTAATGTTTTTTTTGCAATAAACTGGTTGCAGTTTCTACAGATTGACCTACCGGATGCTGCAGGGTGAATAAAGAAGATAAGTTCAGTCATTATGAATGAAGTCAGGACATAAATACTGAAACTATAGTGAGGTGAAATGAGATGAAGACTTTTGAGGAGTGTTGCTAAGCAATGGTTTTATTGCTAAGGAATGTAAAATTGCCCAAAGATGTTTGTACAGAGACCAGGTGGGTTTGTTCTATAGGTTGCTGTGAAAGACTCAGACGAGGAAATAGATCATGGATGAGCTTCCCGTCATTCACTCATTCTTCATCTGGAAAATAGGAAAAAAAGAGAAATTGGTAATTGCTGGAAACATTCATGGAACTGAGCCCTATGTAATCCTTTGGGAGTATGAGTGGCAGCTATTCACTGTGTTGATTGATGATTATGGGTTGAAATCCCTGAACACTTCAGTTAGATTTCCTTGTTTCTATATTCTTCCATTAAAGCCATAAAGTATTGAGTAAGATTACTGCATATGCCATGCTACAGGTTTCCGAAAAAATGTTATGATATGATGAGCGAGTGAGTTAGTGAATTTAGCTTTACATCGCCTTTAGCAATATTCCAGCAATATCACGGCGGGGAACACCAGAAATGGTCTTCACACATTTTACCATGTGTTATGATATGATGAAAATGGGAAAAGAAATTGGGTGACTAGAGAGTTGTACGAAACTGGTTATGGTTATGTGTGGTGTGATCAAAATGTTCAGTCCCATGCAAATTTTTTCATATAATTTACACAAAGAATGAAAGATATGTATTTCCAATCTTGGTCAGAATCATTACTTCTATCCACAAAATGTTTATATTATAATTAGTGGAAATTGGATATACGTTTTGAAGACTATTTAGCAAAAATCGACATAAAGAAGTTTTGTATAGCTCTCTCTCGTTTTCGTTGCTTATGGGTTCAAATCCCTGAACACTTCAGTTATGTTTCCTATGTTCAAGTGTCAATGTCTAAGACCTTTAGGGGCAGAGGGGTAGCCAAGTGGTTAAAGCGTTTGTTCGTCATGCCAAAGATCTGGGCTCGATTCCCCACATGGGCACAATCTGTGAAACCCATTTCTGGTGTCCCTTGCTGTGATATTGCTGGAATATTGCTAAAAGAGGCGTAAATCAATACTCACTCACTCTAAGATCTTTAACTAGTCTGGGTTTTCTTCAGATATTTACTAGAAATTAATTTTAATTTGAGCCCCCATAAATACATGACCTAAGAAAGCAGTGGTTTCTGAATGAGTGTAAATATGTTATAAAAAAAATGATTTAGACTGCACAAACAAGAGTCAGTCTTATCTAGAACAGAAGTTCATAATTTCCAGAAGTATTCCTTCTAAACAATGTCTGTAAACATCAGGAAGACTGATACAGCAAAACATAAAGTCTAGTGTCGTAAACAGTGTCATTAAAACACTAAACTTGAAACACAGATGATATTTTTAATGAGCATTTTTACATTCACTGCTTGTCAGTGCATTAACACCTGACTGAAGTTGAACTGCAGTTATTTCACTGATAGCTGATCAACTTGCCTGAGTGCTCACTGAGGAAGGCAAACTAGTGAGTGAGTTTAGTTTTACGCCGCACTCAGCAATATTCCAGCAATATGGCGGCGGTCTGTAAATAATCGAGTCTGGACCAGACAATCCAGTGATCAACAGCATGGGCATTGATCTGCGCAATTGGGAACCGATGACATGTGTCAACCAAGTCAGCTAGCCTGACCATCCAATCCCGTTAGTCACCTCTTCACGACAAGCATAGTCGCCTTTTGTGGCAAGCATGGGTTGCTGAAGACCTATTCTACCCCGGATCTTCATGGGTTGCTGAAGACCTATTCTACCCCGGATCTTCACGAGTCGGAAGGCAAACTAATGAAACATGCTGATTAATAAAACAATAATGAGTGAGTTTAGTTTTATGCTGCTTTTAGCAACATACCAGCACTATCACGGCAGGGGACACCAGAAATGAGCTTCACACATTGTGCCCATGTGGGGAATCGAACCCAGGTCTTTGGTGTGACGAGCGATGCTTTCACCATTAGGCTACCCCACCGCCCAAAACAATAATGGATGGTAGTGGCTGTTTCATTGACACATGAGTGAAGTTAACTTTGGTGATACTCACTTAATTGTAGAATATAATCTTGACATTTAAAATTCATCTTAATGTCATTAAGGCAAAAGTTCATGTTCACAGTCTAGGTTTTTTCAAACTGAAGAAGATTGTAATTTAATCTTTGAGTAAAGCAATGGTAATTATCTTCTGTATAAAAATAATGATGTACATTTATGCCGTCATATTCTGTACTACTCCAACTCATAGGTGATATTGGGTTTTTTCAATGATTGCTTGGGTGGTAATACAAATACCAGCTGACATCCTGTATGAGAGTTCTAAGGAGTGAGTATGGTTTTACGCCGCTTTTAGCAATATTCCAGCAACTTCACGGCGGGGGACACCAGAAATGGGCTTCACACATTGTACTCGTGTGGGGAGCTCTGCTGGACAATTTGTAATGAGTAATGATTACTTTGATACACAACCCATGACAGTCTGGCCAGGTAGAAATTTGTCATCAGCAATCAAGGTATGTTGTAAAGTGCTTGTGAAAACTGGGATCAGATGGTCTGATTCAGGGAATCAGCTGATGCCTATCACCTTATCACATAGATCGATGCTCATGATGTCAGTCACTGGATTGTCTGTCCAAACTCAATTATTCACAGACCATGGTCATATAGCTGGAATATTCCTATTACAGAATTAATATAAGAAATATACAGGACTTTAACATGCATGGCTGTAATTACCATTAGGTCCACATTGTTGGAAATAATATCCCTGACGCCTTAAAATAGTCCCTGTCTTACTACCTGAACTTTACAAGTTACATATATATTTTCTATGCCTTATTTATTTGTATGCTATTAACACTGCATATTCTGATTATCGTACCAATTGAGAAAGTCGTGTCATATTTAGCGACTCCACTATTTCACTATTGAACACTTGATGAAACCACGGACGTTCACGGGCATTCCCCAGCGCTCTCGGGCGTTCTCAGATGTTAAAATATGATATATGGACCCCATGAGGATTTTTGGAGGAATTATGGTTGCTTTGTATCGAGGATAGTTTAACAAAACCCAACAGATATATTACTAGTTCAAATGAATAAACTCGTATTCCAGTCGAGCACACATTGGCAAAGTCGTCTAGTTATATGCTGGACTAATATATTACATGATATTTTGATACCTATCAATCAGAAATGATTTACCTGTCCATTTATGCACCTGTCACGTGTTTGTTCTACGTATTATGTCGCAAATCACATTGAACTCAACATTTTCACAATGTTGTAAGCCTCAGCCTTAATTTGTTTACATACACTGCGCATGCGCCAATAACCTGTTCAGGTAAATCCCTTGGATACATGAGCGTTTGATACATGTGTGCCGTCCATGGTGCAAGTTTGGGATTTATCAGGTGATATACTAGCTGGAGTCCTTATTTGGAGGGTAGCATCAATAAATTATACACAGAGAAGCACTTGATAAACGTGGCTGATCTGAGAAAAGGGAGGGTGGACGCTCCGACAATGGTCATATAATTACACAGGTAGATGTACACTCCACCCCACCCACCGCTCTATGTACTACATTGCATACCTGACAGTGCACGAGATGTTGTTACAGGTGACAGGTTCAATGATGCAGTGACAGTCACTGTATCACAATACAGGCATCACCATTGCAGGCTATCGCTGAGAATATATTGCATATCGGCCTTCTACTGCCCATAGATCCAGTCAATCGTTCGGCTGCCAAATGATATGATCACATGGACCAATCAAAACGCAAGTATTTACTTCCGCGTTTGAACACGACCACACCTTCCTTCATATATATACATGTATATACCTATGCTAAACCGACAGCACCCTTCGTTGGCTGTTTTAAACGGCCATGTATAAGGACCGTGAAATCGATAGAAAATGAATATTTAGAGATCACTGAAACCGTCCGTGTTTTGAAACTTTACAAGAAACCTCATTTATTAATTTGAATTAGAATTAAGGTGTTTCGCTGCAAGGTCAATGTCGCCGGCTGTGCTGCGTCCATTTTCAGTTACGTCATAATCTGTGGACATGGTGGCGCTGTTCCTACGAGTAACGGTATCGGGTGGTGAGGCAAGTTGTTGTATTCACATTGCGACGATTGATGCTCATGATGTCAATCACTGAATTGTCTGGTCCAGACTCGATTATTTACAGTGAGTTAGTTATTGGGTTTTACGCCGCTTTTAGCAATAATCCAACAATATCACGGCGGGGGAGACCAGAAATGGGTTTCACACATTGTACCCATGTGGGGAATCCAACCCGTGACAAGACCTGGGAAGATCCGGGGTAGAATAGGTCTTCAGCAACCCATGCTTGTCACAGAAGGCGACTATGCTTGTCGTAAGAGGCGACTAACGGGATCGGGTGGTCAGGCTCGCTGACTTGGTTGACACGTTATCAATTCCCAATTGCGCAGATCGATGTTCATGATGTTGATCACTGGATATTCTGGTCCAGACTCGATTATTTACAGACCGCCGCCATATAGCTGGAATATTGCTGAGTGCGGCGTAAAACTAAACTCACACTTCGACGTGACGAGCGACCGAGCGCTTTAACCACTAGGCTACCCCACTGCCCCCGATTGATTGCAGACCGATGTCAATTAACTGGAATACTGCTGAGTGCGACGTTAAACAACAAAGCAACAGGCTGCAGTGAAACAAAAACGACGCTGTTGTATTGCATTGTATTGTATTGTATTGGTCTTCTTCGTCCCTCGGCTTCGCCGCATCAGGCCGTCAGTCACCGTGTCATTAAACTAACATCTAGTCTCTGAAATGAACATTTTTTTTCGTAATATATTTTTCATGAAATATACTAATAAGGAACTCAAAGATCTGTTTCCTCTTCAGAATGAAGACAAGTGCAGATATGTAGACTTCCCACAACTTATAGAGTTGATTTGGGTATATTTGTTTCAGGGTCTGTGGGACAGACTGCTGTACCATGTACTGTAATGAACTCAGTAAGCAAACTGTTTCAAGGTTGAGAGATGCTGCAGTTTTCGTATATTTGTGGTGGGAAATTTAGTTGCAACTTACACAATTAACCAACTCAGCCCAATGTACTCGTGGGCTGGTTTTTGTCATACGCGATTAAACTAAAGCAAATTATTACCAGATAAATTTAAATCATTCTTACTGCATCAAGGGGTGTTATATTTATTCACATGAACGGATTATAAAACATGACTTAGCTAACAATATACCACCCATTTCCCTACGTTATAGGGGCGGTGGGGTAGCCTAGTGGTTAAACCATTCGCTCGTCACGCAGAAGACCCGGATTAGATTCCCCACATGGGTAAGCCCATTTCTGGTGAGCCCCGCCGTAATATTGCTGGAATATTGCTAAACGCGGAAACAAAGTTGCAAATTTAAGGACAGAAAAGACCTCAACTTATACAACTATAACCAGCAACCTTTGCTTTACTTCGTTGGCTCAGCCACACAATGCACTTGTTGACTGATTCGAGTCATATGTGATTAAACTGAAGCAAATTACCTCAAGTAAGGCATCGATTCCCTTGGTTGAAACATTTCTGTTCAAGAGCCTGCGGTCTGTGTCTGATTGAGCAGAGTCTGTTTCTTGTTTGGCCAAACGTTTCCAAGCAATCTCAAATGTAATCCTCTCTACTGGATGCCGAGGGCGCTTGCCGTGTGTAGACCCAACCATCAGTAGAAGTTGCGGTAGATTTCTTTAAACGACACAGAGAATAGCCTTGATCTTTTTTGTGCGATAAAGAGAGGCAGACAGTCTTCCAAATGAAAAGTATCACAATCACAAGAATTGAACGTGATTGGGGGACCTGTTCATCCAACTTAGATTGACCTTTCTTTGGCTTTTACATAATGTACAATAACAGTAATTGAACACACATTTTCTGGAGTGGCAGTAAAAGGCCTATATCAAGTTAAAATACTGACTGTCCTCGAAAAAGAATATTATAATATCAGTTTCTAAATCTATATGTAATCATAATTTTGCATGTTGTTTTAATGTAAAGTGTTGTAATATATTACTCTTGTAACTCTCCTTTGGAGGAATACAGAATATATATATTACACTGTAGAAGAGACGTTCAGGGAGTGAGTGAGTTTAGTTTTACACCGCACTCAGCAATCTTCCAACTATATATGGCGGCGGTATGTAAATAATCGAGTCTGGGCCAGACAATCCAGTGATCAACATCATGTGCATCGATCTACGCAAATGGGATACGATGACATGTGTCAACCAAGTCAGCGAGCCTGACCACCCGATCCCGTTAGTCGCCTCTTACGACAAGCATGGGTTACTGAAGATCAATTCTAACCCGGATCTTCACGGGTTAAACTTCCTATAAAATGGTCAGCTGTATTTAGGGCTTATAGATGGATGGTATATTTCCTCGAATATCATTTCATCACTTGCTTGATAACGGTGTTCGCAACTATATACTGAAATTAATAATGTTATACAATTTTCTAAGATGCTTCTGTGAAAGATCAAAGACGCCGACAGTACTTTATCAGACGATAATGTGCACTTTTTGCATTATGTCACAATGTATTGGCGTCACTGCGCCATTATAGTCTGCCCCCTCGTATTCGAACAATTTTGCATCACGTCACAATGTAAGCGACGTCACGATGCATGTCAGTTGTCATCAGTTGTAACTCAGGTCAATATGACTTTTCTGTCGACGGTCACGTGACTGCCTCTAGACCAATCAGGTTAGCCGGGAAAATATGCTTGCATAATAAACATGTATATCTATAGAACTATCCGTTGTGCAAGAATGGAGTTAATTTCAGAGTTGAAATGCCGGTCGTCACAGGTGGAAACATGTCGGGAGAGTGTTTGATCGGCATTCTAGAAGTTAGTGAGTCAATAACAAAGATATTGACCTTATGGAAAAAAACCCGTCTTGTTCATTGCCTGGAGCTTTTAGCATAATAATGGTGTAAGAATCTACAATGAAACGTCGGTTGATAATGATATTTACACTGAAAGGTTGTTCTGTACAATAAACAAGAAGTTGTTATCCTTTATGTTGACCGACCTATGCTGGCTAACTCGTGTGGACAATGGTGGGTCTTCCCCACAGATATACAAGAATGAAAAGAGATACCTTTCTGTGACACAACAGTCGGGAGGCAAAACATGGTTAGATGGAATGCACACTTTCCTCACCTGCCCCGGAATCTCAGTGGGAAAACGCTGGGTTACAATCCTGAACGCGAAATGTGAAGGTACAGGTTCACGTTGTGGAATTTTCTTGTAAAACAAGTTAACGATCCACATAAAAAAGCATATGGAGAGGTTATTTATACAATAATGTATAATACTCGGTTTATACAATAATGAATAAATAAAACCTCTCAACAGTCACACTAGAAAGTAGTCTCTCACAAGCAAGAGAACACAAGAAACCTATAATATTATCGGTAATTATAAAGTGTTTCATCTACATGCGTCCTGTAAAAGATTATTTGTTCTCTTTCCAAGGTGTGTACATTGACCGGAGATCGAAGGTTAAAGTTTGTTTGGTTTGTTTGTTCTTTAACACCGCATTCAGCACTGAGTCTGGACCAGACAATCCAGTGATCAACATGAGCAACGATCTACGCAAATGGGATACGGCGACATGTGTCAACCAAGTCAGCGAGCCTGACCATCCGATCTCGTTAGTCGCCTCTTACCCCAATTTCATGGTTTGCTGTTCCAAGACCAATTCTAACCCGGATGTTCACGGGTCTGGAATGTTAAAAGCAGCACTACGCATCCAAACAGCAATAAACGTACCTGGTGAAAATGACACTTTTTAAAAAGTCTAGCTTGTGTGACTGAGCCACATCTTACAACATATACTACTCAAAACAAATCAAGCAATGTGAAAGAACTGGTGTTTTACGTCCCTCTTCTTTTGAGAAGTATATATGTGGATGTACATAATGAAATGTACACTGTAAGCCTATACTATTTGGGAAAGGCTACAGAATACAGGATACCTTTCGCCATCTTTGAAAGCACGCAAGTTTACTTTAGGACTGCGCAAAAATTGTCAGGGTTAGAATTAGGGTTAGGTTATGGTAAGGGCTTCCCTAGGATAGGCAGTGACACTTACAGTATGGCTGGTAGGTATCCGGTATTCTGTAGGTGTACCAATATTTGCATCAGGATACATTGTGTCAGATAGGAAATGTTTTCTCTACGAGGTATTCACATCGGCCTGAGATAGGGTTGTGGCTAAAAATGCACCGCATCCACCTAGCAAATATCTACCTGGTCAAAACGACACCAACATGGAAGCTACTACCACAGCACCACATTCTGTCACCACCCAGATGGCATTCCGACGTTGGCCCAACTATGGCAATGGTTGACAACGTCGTAGTATGATTATATATGTTGGCCCGAGGACCACCTCCGTGGTGTAGTGGTTAGAGCGTCCGCCCGGAGAGCGGAAGGTCGCGGATTCGATCCCCGACCGCGTCATACCAAAAGACGTTAAAATATGGTACTTGTTGGTCCCTGCCTGGCGCTCGGCATTAATGGGTACAAGGACTGGTCGGTTCGGAGTCAGTATAATGTGTGGGGTATTCATGCTTCTTTGCGGCATGGTATCTCAGTGTGCTCCCAGCTAACACGCAACGTTCCCACAACGTTAATTTTACGTCGTGGTTTGGTCACGTCAGGAAATGACGTAACTAGGACGTTATTAGAACGTCATAACATAACCTTGTCACAACGTTAGACATTACGTTATCACGACGCCCTTGCAACGTATTTTTCATACCTTTATGCAACGTTCTCATAACGTTGTGAGGACGTTCGTTTTATATATTTTGTTTCCTTGACATATTTGAAGATGTTTGTATTTGCAGTTGACCATCTAATTAGTCAATTAGTAAAATATATTGAATCTAGAACGACTTTTGAATAAATCTGTATGTTTGTTTTGTTATTTCGTTCAATTGAAATAAGTACATAGAGCTTAACGTTTGAAGGTTATGAGATTGTCATTTGCATACGTTGTTACAACGTTACACATTACGTAACCAGGACGTCCGGGCAACGTGTATTTCAGACCTAGATGCAACGTTCGTATAACGTTGTGAGGACGTTCTACGTACGGCTTGCCAGCGCTGACCCGTTGGAAACCCGTTACCTTTCATTCATTTAGCCCGGAGCTAACTTGATAGTATAATTATGTGGTTCGAAGCATTGGGGTTTTTTAAAACATTTATTATCATCTATCACGTCAGTATATGGTAAAGTTTATTCATTGTATTGACGTTATTTTTGTTTTATTCAATTTATTAGTATATAAAATTATTGTTGTGTTTTTTTACTTCACTCATTTCAATGAACACATGAAACATGTTTCGCTCAATCATTTAATCACTTAGTTCCAAATTGAGGTACTATGCATAGTTCCGGCCGATCGCCCGTCAACCAATCAGATCGCGTCTTTACGTCACCGCGGGATAGCTTGTTGGAACCGTCTTGTGTTCCAAGTCATTCCGAGATTTTCGGACAGTGTCGATGTTGACCGAAGGGCGGCAAGACGTTTGTTCAAAACGGAGGGTAGTGCCAATGCGAGGGTCAGTGGTCAAATATGAAATGCAGTTAGACAAACTGAATACGATGAGCAGAAGGCCAAAAGAATAGTTTACAAGCTCAACACATTGTTTTGTGAAAATCGTTAGGTTTGATTGAACGCACGTTAAAATGGTCGGGCGTGCCGGTTTTCGATCAGGCTTTTATCATCGCGAGTGTCACCCCTTGTGTATTTTATGTAATGAGTGTAGCGGGAGAATTTTCTAAAAAAATCCATTTCTTCACCGATTTCGTTCAAATTTGAAATATAAGTTACTCATAACATATAAAAACAATTTGCGGTTGCAAAAATCTAGATTATTAATTTATAAAACTTATTGTCCAAACAGTGATTCGAACCCCTGTGCGTTGTGAGGACGTGCTTTCGACTCCACACAAGGGACGTTATGGAGACGTTATATGCTGGCGTTCTGGGGACGTAAACGTAACGTTGTGACAACGTCCTCACAACGTAATTTTGTTAGCTGGACTAGCACTATAAAACCAGCTTAAGTCTGGGCTAGTCCAAGCAGCTGCACATACACACGCATGCACGTCGTCATATGAGCGAAATATTCTCAAGCACGACGTAAACCCAATTTCTCCTCACCTCACCTCACCTTGGCCCGACGTTGTGGCATCGCGGAAATTATATTCAAGGGACGCTACTCCAAACTGATACCTTTTCCTAGAGGGCGCTCTTGTTTTTCGAGCAGACGACACGACATGATCACAGGTTTCCTCGAATATGTAGCGGTAAGTGTTTCAATTATGTGTTTTTTATTATGTTCAATTTTATTTCCGAGCTGTGCTCACCGATGGTTCTTTCAGAAATACCGACGTGAATGATTATTTTCTTGAAATTGATACCAGAATATCACAGAAGCGTAACATATAATTTATTGCCAAAATACAAGCAAGTGTAAATTCAAAACATAAGTATGAAATATAAACAGAACAACAGATTCAATCATTGTTCTTGTTTAAATCAATTCAATTGATAATGGGTTGAATGAATTTGTATGAAGAAGCCAAATGATCACAACAAGGTGAAACTCTAATTTCGTAATCAGTAAGACAGAAGCAATAGATGAAGATAAATGCTTGGTGTCATACAAGAATCAAAATTATCTGACTCATAAAATAATAAAAAACAAATAAAAAGATTCAGTAGAAGGGAAAAACTTAAGAAACCATAAGTAATATTTTCCATTATACATATACATGTATATATTTAGCAGCATCCACCATTCGCAAATCACATCACAAAATAAAATAGGAACATATGAGTTGGGTTTGACTCAACATACCAAATTTCATCAAAATTGGAATAAAAAGGCTGAGTAGTTGCCATAGTTGACGGCTATTATGCATCAGAATCCTTTCTTTCAGAGTATTGCCTTGTTTCATTTGAGAATGACACACATAATACTAACACAGTGGTGAAAATCCATGGAGCATGACCACACTGCAGGTCAGGTAGAATAGGGGTTATAGAGCAAGCGTATGCATGTGGGTTACTGTTTGTACTAGGCTGGGTTTGTTTGTTTGTATGTTTACCGCCACACTCAGCAATATTCCAGCCATATGACTGGTCTGTAAATAATCAAGTCTGGACCAGACAATCCAGTAATTGATATCATTAGCAGTTGGGATACAATGACATGTGTCAACCAAGTCAGCGAGCCTGACCTCCTGATCCCATCAGTCGCCTGTTACAACAATAATGGGTTGCTAAAGATCAGTTCACACCCAGATCTTCATGGGTTTGTACTAGTCTGAACTTATATACTGCTAGTCTGTCGTACAGACCCTGAAGCAAATATATCCAAGAAAGCCCACGCAAGTCTACAAAATGTGGCAAGTCCAGATTTCCTGAGCTTCAGGCAGGGCTCCTTTTCATTATATTATATTTTTTTTTACTATGAACTTTTTTCTTTGAATCTTTATTTTCTTTGTAGTGGAGGCCATAGGCCCAGGCTACACTTCAGGATTTCAGAGCGGTACATATGTGCATATATAGTTTAGAAGACAATAAGTTACTAGTAATTTACAAAGTATACAAAAGGAAGTATGATATTATTGGCAAAGAAGTGAATCTCTAAGTTTCATTGCATTGTGTATATAAATAGCTAGGTTTCTTACAGTATATGGATTGCCAGTTGACATGAGCATATTGAACTTATGAATAGTGGGATTCGAATAAAAGTTATGTGGTAAATACAAACATCTCAGATTTTGATAACATTTACATACCAAAATAAAATGTAATTCATTTTCAATAAAGTTATCTTTACATACAAAACATAATCTATTTGATCTGGGTTGATTAATATAGCGACCGGTTTCAATTTGGAGGCGGTGTGAAGAACATCTGAATTTAGCAAGGGCCGATCGGAATTTTGAAATTGATAAGACTTTTATGTAAAAATTCAACATTAAATGAGATTTTAAAACAAGAATAAAGTGAAAATTTAGGACTATTTACAAGCGATGTGTGCCATTCTTGTTCATAACTTGCTCTTAATCTAAAAACAAATTCTGATATGAATTTATCGACATTACATAAATTTTGCTGCTGTTCCCACATAAAGCCAAATCCAAAAGAGTAAAGAATATTCTTAATTTTTGATGGTTTGTTTTACCATTTTTTTTCAGTAAAATATGTTCATTTCAGAGACTAGTTGTTAGTCTAATATACTGCTAACTCACCCAGATACCATGCCACCATTTAACATGGATATCCCACTCAGACACATTATACTGACTCTGAGCCAGCCAGTCCTTGTTCCATCCAATCAATGCCATGCACCAGGCAGGGGAACAACAATTACATTTTTTAAGGTCATTTGGCATGACGCAACCACGATATTGAACCACTAACCTATATCAAGGCAGTCTCAGTTAAATCATAGGAGACAGAAATACTGATTGAACTATGAGAGAGCACAGTTGAAATATATATATGTATGGTGATGTATGCGAGATTCATTCATTGTTCAGTGCCATGTAAAACATTTACCCTTGATATCTTCATTAGTAGACTCTGTATAAACAACACATTTTATGTTCGAACTATACATAAATCCACACTCTGAATAACATGTCAATGCATTTCTATGCCATACAGTGTAACAAAGCAATTACTTGTTCCATAAAGAATATACTTTGCACATGTAAAATGAGTAAGCACTAACCAACACATGTATTGTCAAGTTTTTTATATATAAACCATGATAAAAGTTTGAATGTCCCTGTTCAGGGCTTGAACTCCTCAGTAGATGCAAGCTGTTTCTTCTTGATAGACTGCCACAGCCAGTCAGGGGTCACGACCTTGGCCTTGCTACTACCGGTTCTAATCTGGAATGGAAACCCACAAATGAGAGGTGGGGAACATTATGAGTAATCTGTTGTTTATTTCAGTAGACCACATGTAGACCACATTAGACCAGGGAATGTGTGAGTGGACAGGGTGGATGCCAGGCTAGAAAAAACAGTGGTTGACAGAAAGGGAAGATGTCAATATTTCAGGTTTACAATGATATAGTTTGCAGGCTAAAGTCATTCTACATGTGCTGTAGTTCTGTCACTATATTTCATCATATATCTCTAAGTTTGTATGAATGATGACATAGGCTCTCTTGAAACATTGACTTACCCTTCCTTTAGAAGAGACAATATGTGTAGCTGATCTCTTTCTAGACTCGTCCAAAACTTCCCCGTCAAAACTAAGAACAGTTAAGGTATCCTCAAAAACAACAGAAAAATGCTGGAAATATAATCTGAATGAGGACAAGCATGTTTAAAGTGCATCAAAATATTACATCTGTTTCTCCAATCTTTTCTACTAACTACTGTAATGATAAGATTAATACAAAGGCAGGGTTTTACCTTGACCAACAAAATTAGGGGTCCACAGGACCCCCACCTACTAATTTCAAGGGTCCTTCCAAGAAATACACGGGGTCCTGTAAAGTGATGAAATGATGTAGTAGACTATACTGTAAGGTTTAATGATGACTTTAATTACAAGAACTTTATATTTCAAGTCACAAATTTTCAATAATGAATATTATCGTGTGTCCCAAGGGACACAGTATATGCATTTTCTGCATTCATTCTATACATTTGTGCATATTGGACGCACATTTTTGCGTCACGTAAAACCCTACCAAGGTCATGCACAGAAGAGAGTACACTGAACCTGCCATCATTATAACCATTCTTTTTCACTAGCTTTCGAAAATAAGTCGCTTCTCAACCAGCACCAGGAACAGTGTAGTAAAGGATACTCTATTATATATTGCTTGAGCTCCTTGAACTTGTCTGTGGTTACAGACAGGAATATCTTGCAGTCTGTGAAGATTTTGCACATGGAGGGGCTGGACCTTGCTGTCTTGCACTGAAATACAATGGACATGAGGAATGACTTCTCATCACGTACCAGTCAAGAGGCAAAAGCTTTCTTTGCTGAAACAGAATTGTAACCACTATGACAGTTCCTACAGTCATGCAGGGAAAAGAATCAATGTTTTCAATATTATTGATTTTGCATCTGTAATTTGCAGACATCTGAATATAGGTATACACAGAGACACACACACATGCACACCCACACCAATACATTTTCTTTCTGTTGGCATATGGGCACAAACATCGTTTCACCATTTGTGGCTTTTTTAATTTTTACTGCAAATTTAACAGAAATAGTTTTACATTCAGTGTATGCCTATGTGGGAAATCAAACCTGGGTCTTTGGCATGATGATGGAACGCTCTAACTGCTTGGCTACCCCAGTGCCCCTTTTATATTCAGCCATGAGTTCACTGGTCAGGATCTCTGGTTGAGACAGGAGCAGATCAGACATCAGAGACTAATCAGCCCGCCATGAGAAAGTATGGTCTATTCTACCTGGTTGAATGGATGGTGGCAGTCGGATGAGGAAGTGTTACGCCATGAGAAAGTATGGTCTATTCGACCTGGTTGAATGGATGGTGGCAGTCGGATAGGAACTGTTATGCCATGAGAACATACAGACCATTCATCCCAGATGAGTAGGCATGGCAGCCCAAATCTAAGGAAATTACGACATTCATCACGAGTTTGGCTTTACATTACTTTTAGCAATGTTCCAGCAATATCATGGGGGGACGCCAGAATTTGAGATATGGGCTTCACACATTGTACCCATGTGGGGAATGAAATCCGGGTCTTTGGTGTAACAAGTGGACGCTTTAACCACTAGGCTACCCACTGCCCCAACATTCATCACGAGGGACAAAAAGACCTTGTATTTCCAGAGAGCAAAGACATCATGTATGAGCCATTATCTACTGAATGAAATTTGAAGTATGTGATTACACGTCCATAGTTACATATACCGTTTTATGAGACCATATAGCCATCTTTATCATATCAGTCTGATACCCAGTTTCTGGGTCAGAACTATTACTGGTCGGTGGTCTAGTCACCTTCTTGGATGGAGTTGTCTGCCCTTCATCCCTTGCCTGTCTCTTGACCGGTGTTTTCTTCTTGGAGGCGCCAGCGTCACTGCTGCTTTGCTTTGCGCCATGTTCAGTATTTTTCTTTGTCTTCTCCTTGGGATGAATGAGTAGAAAAGTAAGTAATCAGAAATATGAGCCATAGGACGTGGGATATACAGGACAGTCACAATATGGGAAATCTATAAGATTGACACTATGGGAGACTGACAACATGGGAAGTATGGGAGTCTGACAACATGGGAAGTAGGGGAGACTGACAACATGGGAAGTACAGAAGACTGACAACATGGGAAGTATGGGAGACTGACAACATGGGAAGTATGGGAGACTGACAACATGGGAAGTATGGGAGACTGACAACATGGGATGTATGGGAGACTGACAACATGGGAAGTACAGAAGACTGACAACATGGGAAGTATGGGAGACTGACAACATAGGAAATACAGGAGATTTACAACATGGGAAGAATGGGAGACCGACAACATGGGAAGTATGGGAGGTTGACAACATGGGAAGTATGGGAGTCTGACAACATGGGAAGTAGGGGAGACTGACAACATGGACATATGAGAGACTGACAACATGGGAAGTATGAGAGCGTGACAACATGGGAAATGAGAGACTGACAACATGGGAAGTATGGGAGACTGACAACATGGGAAGTATGGGAGACTGACAACATGGGAAGTATGGGAGACTGACAACATGGTAAATATGGGAGACTGACAACATGGGAAATATGGGAGACTGACAACATGGGAAGTATGGGAGACTGACAACATGGGAAGTATGGGAGACTGACAACATGGGAAGTATGGGAGACTGACAACATGGGAAATATGGGAGACTGACAACATGGGAAGTATGGGAGACTGACAACATGGGATGTATGGGAGACTGACAACATGGGAAGTATGGGAGACTGACAACATGGGAAATACGGGAGACTGACAACATGGAAAATATGGAAATATGGAGACTGACAACATGGGAAATATGGGAGACTGACAACATGGGAAATATGGGAGACTGACAACATGGGAAGTATGAGAGACTGACAACATGGGATGTAGGGGAGACTGACAACATGGGAAATATGGGAGACTGACAACATGGGAAGTATGGGAGACTGACAACATGGGATGTAGGGGAGACTGACAACATGGGAAATATGGAGACTGACAACATGGGAAGTATGGGAGACTGACAACATGGGATGTAGGGGAGACTGACAACATGGGAAATATGGGAGACTGACAACATGGGAAATACGGGAGACTGACAACATGGGAAATACGGGAGACTGACAACATGGGAAATACGGAGACTGACAACATGGGAAATATGGGAGACTGACAACATGGGAAATACGGGAGACTGACAACATGGGAAATACGGGAGACTGACAACATGGGAACATAGGAAATGGGAGACTGACAACATGGGAAGTATGGGAGACTGACAATATGGGAAATATGGGGGACTGACAACATGGGAAATACGGGAGACTGACAACATAGAAAGTATGGGAGGCTGATAACATGGGAAATATGGGAGATTCACAACATGGGAAATATGCAGACTGACAACATGGGAAGTACAGGAGACTGACAACATGGGAAATACGGGAGATTCACAACATGATGATATGTGAAACTAGGGACACTAACAACATGAGAAAATTCTTACCTTCATCTTCTTCTTCATGCCTGGCAGACTGTGTAATGTCTTAGACTGAACCCTGTCCACCACATCTTCCAGGTCTTCAGAGATCTGGAATGCTTCATAAGCATTACGGTCAAGGGCGTCTAATCTGAGATCGAAGAGAAAGATGACAAGAAACTGATCAAACATGACCAAACACTCTTACAACTTTGACCTCAAAACCTAAATCCTGATCCTAATCGTGTTTTAATGTGGTAAATATACAGTATAAAAGTTTGAATTATCACTCATCCCCATTATGACCAACACCCCTGATCCATATGCAACCATATCTTTGTGTTTGAATGGTTGAGGGGGATATAAAAACGAGTTCCGTCCGTCCATCCATGTGTCTGTCACACTTTGTCCGAAGCATATCTTCTAAACTATTCGTGATAGCTTAGCCAAACTTGGTACACATGTCAACCATGATACCTAGATGTGCCTTTTGGGGTTAGACCCAGATATGAATTTTATTTTTTGTGGTTTCCATGGAAACATGACTTAGGCTGTGACTATGAGGATGTCATCTTGTTGCATTTCCATGGCAACAAGTTAGGCTTGACATAATCATAACTAGTAGACATATTCATAAAATGTAATTTTTTGAGTAAAATTGATATTTTATACTTATCCTGACTCATGCTCTTTTGCTTGTCTTCTTCTTCTTGCGAACATAGTGGAACACTTGTATCTCCTTAATTGAAGCTCCCTTCAATGTAAAATCACTAATTGGTACTCACCACGAGTTGCCTCCCTTGCCCTTTTGGCGGGAACAGGTGTCGCCACCCTCTGGCCTCATGCTTCACTCTCTCCTGATTTTGAGCCCAACACTTGAATTTACAGGGAAATCCAAAGTGTTATGTGGGAGGATGGGAGGGCTAACCTCATGAGTCAGGATAAGTATAAAATATCAATTTTACTCAAAAATTACATATTTTTCCTTATCCTGACTCATGCTCTCTTGCTTGTAGAATCCCTACGGAAGCGGAGGTGGGCAAAACAGAATACTTTGGATTTATAGAATTAGTGATTTATATAGATTTAACTGTAATAACTCCCTCACGGAACTTCATAAAGGCATAGACTTAGGATAATTCCTCTATTATAAGCCATAGGTTATAATGCCATACTGGGGTATTTACATTATGATATACTGAGATATTATAAACAACAATATCAAAGCGACTCTGATAGAGAAGCTATACCACTGAACATATATACATACTGCTAGAACTCAGAGAGTTATAAGCTAGATAATGCATGTAACAATTATGCATATTAATCTCGTGAAGACTACGTGTTAACGCTACGAGGGACTGTCAACTGCTGTGCGAGGACCAAGGGACCGAAATGGTGAATGCCTGAGACGTCCTCGGTGGTGATATCTCTCAGGTAGTGATTAGCAAACACCATGTTAGATTTCCAAAAGCATCCTTCCATAATTGTATTCAAAGAACAGTTACCGTGGGTGAGAGTGGAAGCTAAGCCCTGATTTCATGGGGATTTGATGCTGTTGGAGGGTCCAGTCCTGCTGCCTTGTAGGCCGAAGTATGACAGTTCTTATCCATATAGATATGGTGGTACGAGACTTCTGTCTGAGTTGTTGCCGACAAGGAATGAATAATCGTTTGAGAAATCTTAGCCTTGTTTTGGAACGTCGTAAATAGATTTTGAGAGCTCTGACTGGGCATAGAGATAAGTCCAGTGTATCTTGAGATCCGAGAATGGAGGATAATGCAGGGATATGAAATAACCTGTCTGGTTGACCTAGTAGTTGATTTTTTGGCGATGAAATCCCATCTTAATCCCAGGTGTGCTGTGTTTTTGATTGTCATCAAACTGTATCCTCTCATAATCTAGTGCTGAATTTCCGACATCCTGGCTGCTGTGGCTAGAGATAACAGGAAAAGCGTTTTTCTGTGAGAGAAGCTCAAAGTTTGTCGATTCCAGCGGTTCATAAGCCTCACTTGTGAGGTGTTGCAACACTATATTCAGATCCCAAGCTGGAAGTGGAGCTTCCGCTTTGGTCCTCAATCGAAAGCCCGTAGTAAGACCAGTAACTCTGGAGTTCTTGTTAATCTAACACCCGTTCTCATGGTAATGACAGAACTAAGCGGCAAGATATGTTGACAATGTCGAGCCTTTTTAAATGTTTGTTTTTGCGTAAGTAACACAAATAATCTGCCACTTGTGGATGAGTAGCATCTCTTGCTGTAAATCCCTTATTTACTGCGCATTCTCAAAACTGTGCCACTTGTCGTCGCGTACAAGTTACGTGTAGAATAGCGTAAGGCAAGCGTGACCGCTTTTGCCGCCCTGGTAGAATACCCTCTCTTGTTTAAACACATTTTAATACAGTCCATACGTGAAGTTGGAATACTTCTGGGCTTCCGTGCACCTGTTTGGTGTGTGGATGTATTAATAGATTTGAGCTTTAGGTAGCTCTAGTGTTGGTTGACCGATTTCTTGAATTAGAATGGGAAACCACGTTCTGGCCGGCCAGTAGGGCGCGACCAAAGTGAGTTGGAGGCTCTGTGTTTGTCTGATTTTCTGTAACACTTGAGGTATTATTGCTGGCGGCGGAAACGCGTACGCATTGAGGCCTTCCCAGGATATGCTTAGAGCGTCCGTTGCCCATGCTTGTGGGTCTGGGACTGGTGACACGAATGTCCGTAGCTGATTGTTGAAGCGTGTTGCGAATAGATCTACTAGCGGCGCTCCTATTTGCTTGATTATCTGTGCAAATATTTCTGTATTGAGCATCCATTCTGTCGGGTGACGGTTGATGTGGCGAGAGAGAGTCGTCTGCTAGTACATTCTTGGCTCGGGGAATGTGACATGCTCTGACATGTAGGTTTAGATCGTGTATTAGATCGAACAGTTGAAAGCTTAAAGTCAATAGGTTCAGTGATCTTGTTGAACCTTGTTTGTTCACATAGAACGCCACTGTCGAGTTGTCGGTATGAATCATTAAGTCGCATTCTGTAGAATGTTGCTCCAATGAAGTATGGCGTTGATTACAGCTTTCATCTCTAACATGTTTTATATGGAGCTTGCTTTCTTGCTGATTCCATAACCCTGATGCCGTCGGTTGGCGAGATGAGCTCCCCAACCTTGGAGCGTAGCGTCTACATATAGATGGGTTTTGAATTCCTGCTCTTCTAAACAAATACCTTTCGCAAACATTCGACCTCCTGGTCCACCATAGTAGATGAGGTCTGAGACGTTTGGTAGACTGAATGGTTGTAGGTCGTCGAAGATGTGCATTGATGAAGACCTGTAATGGGCGTAACTGTAATCTGCCTGAGACTGTCATGTCTTGGGCTGATGTGAGAGACCCAACACGCTCTGCCATTGTCGTGAGTGGTAGCGGAGAGTAGAAACTATTGGAATGGTCTGTTGGATCTTGAGCCAACGGTCTTCTAATCTGACGATCACGGTTGTGATTAAGTGATAAATCCGAATGCCTAGGAACTGCAGATCTTGCGATGGTACTAGGTCCGACTTGGAGTAAGTTTACTAACCATCCTAGCTGTGTTAGTAGCTTTATGATGTAGTTTAACTGTAGTTTGAGATGCTGTGGATCTTGATCTACTTGTATCCCGTCGTCGAGGTAGAACGCACTGCGTAGCCCTAGGCGCATGTAGATAGGTGACAATAGGTTTCGTTATCCTCATTGAATAGCCAGGGGCTGATGATATGCGAATGGGAGTACTTTCCATTGGTAATGTAGCCCGTCTAGTGTAAATCTTAGATATTTCCTGGATTAGGGATGTATCGGGATATGTAGATAAGCGTCTTGCAGATCTATACTGGCCATGTAATCCATGGGGCTGAATCAACTGCTGTAACTGAGGAAGGTGTATCATGCGAAACTTTGGTGGTTTTGTAGATAATTCCTGTTGAAAAAGCTCATGTTGTAAATGAGTCTGTATTTCTCCTGGAGTTTTTCTTGGGTACTAGGAAAACTGGGGAGTAGAAGCCTGGTTCGATGTCTACTTGATCTAGTACTTCTATGGCCTGCTTGGTTATGAGTGATGTAACCGCCTCTCTTAACTTTGGTAGTTGTTGTGCCTGTAAGTCGAACTTGTAAGGGTTGACTGTCAGCGAGGCGTGGCCTGTAGTGGGATACTGAAATCCGTGTTGAAGAATGTTGGAGACATAAGGGTCTTTTAACATTCCCCAGTTCTCCCAGTGTAGTTGGAAAGCTCCACCCACTTTGCACTTGGCAGTTGTACTGGAACGGCTGGGGTGGAAGACTCCAGTCGTTCCGAACCTGTCTTTCAGCGTTTATAGTTGCGGGAACCTCTGGGTGTCCTGCCTCTTCCTGACCCTCCTCTATAGTTGCCATATGGGCGGCCGAAAGAATCTTTCCCCTGGCTGGCTATCTTCCTATCCCGTGCTTTCTGTAGTCCGAGAACTTAGATCTCCTGAGTATCTTTGTGAAGTCTGCCTGATGACGCTAAGCGTGTCCATCGACTTGATCATAAGGACTTCTCTGGAGTCCTTAGTGACTTCCTTGGAGACTTTGTCTATTCCTCCGTCCAAAGATGTTTGGGGATGACCATGGGGCTGTATAGAGTGGAGCTGTAAAGTTCTCACCCCAGCTGCAGGAAGCGAGGAGGCCTTGAATCAACGACGAGCTAAGGTCAGTGCTGCTGAGACAGATGTGAGATGATCTGTAAGGAACTGCTGGTCCTTCTTTTGCATCAGTGGGGCCGAGTAGATCATCCTATCATCTTCAGAGGTCGATACTTAAATCTGGTGATAAGTGTCTCATTGATGGATTCTAGATCTATTTAGGCCAAAGAACATGCGCGTCTGCGTCATGTTTTCTATCTGCACCAGCTTCATGCATCGTCAATCTTGTAGTTCTTGTTCTTAACATCGCTGATCAGCTTGTAGTTTTCATCGATGTCTTGTGCCTTCAGGAAGGGTCCATGTTGTAGCGTGGAGAACTTCTTAGCGTGAAAGTTCGGCAGATGTGGAGTCTGCACTTTCGTAGCTTTAATGAAGGCTGTATCTAGATTATGTGGCACCGCAGCAATCGGTCGTCCGGAGGTAAGGTGATGGCGTCTGCATCGTCTTCCTTCATCAGGAATGCTCCGCGCTGAGTTGCCACTCTTGAACGGTGAAGATAAATCTGGGTTGTTTACCATCCAATATCTTATCTCAGCGTCTGAGAAGATGATGCCTCCATCATCTTCTGTACCAGCATCGGAGATGAGAGGTTGATGCTCTTCTGATGGTGACCTCTGGGCTGCTATCTCTATGTCGGGTGACACTCGGGAGACCTGAGTGTAGACCTGTGTGCCGACTTGTGTGATGACCTGCGAGGTGATGCGTGGAGATCGGGCGTGGTGAAGCGGCGTGGAGATCGTCTAGGTGATCTCGTCTATGGGAAGACCTAGATCTGCGAGGAGAATGTTGGCGGCCGTGAAGCTCTTGAATAGTCCCTCGGCGTCCTTCTGGGCGATGGCGATCTGTGTGGACGCCTTCGTGCAGCTTCCTCTGCGTCCGACCTGAGAGCGGCGCCTTGACTTCCGTGGCGGTTTCCGTGACATCTGGTGGTCTGAGTCTGCATCTGAGGGACGAGAGGCCGAGGATGATGGCGATCTCTCCGTCTTCGAAGGCCTTAGCGGCGACTGTACATCTCGTCCTTCGTTGAGGTGGTCTGTGACTTCCTTTCGAAGGCTGCCGTCGTGGCTGCTTCACGCTGACTGGGGGTGCCTCTGGGGTATGCTCGTCTCGTTGCTTTCGGGCCCTGGGCTGGCTGCTTCCCCGACTGTAGTGGCCTCCATCATGGTCATGATCTGCCGCAGCAGCTTCGTCTGGGATGGTCTGCGACGAAGTAGTCGGTGCCCTCTCTCGCGATGACAGCTGCTGACCCCTCAGGAAGTCGTCTGACATCAGTGTAGAGGCATCAGGCTGCATGGCGATCTCTGCTGATGTCACTGTAGCTGTTACGGTCGCTTCTTGTGGCGTGACGTCAGGGATGATGATCGGCTGATCATCGTAGAGGCCCAGTTCGGCGCTGGAACAATCTCGGCTGAGAAAGTTCTTGAGCGACCCGTGGACTTCCCCTTAGATGTCGGCGCTGCCCTGAAAGTCGAAGTCTGCGTTAGGAAGGCGTCGTGGCCCTCTTGGACTTTATCTGCGATGGCCAGGGACGTCTGGGAGAGCAGGGCAGCTTCTTAGTGTTGGCGGACTGCATCCCACGCCCATCTTCCGCGGAGTCTCTTGGCGAAAACACCAGGCGGGAGGGTCTCTATCGACAGCAGCTGACTGGAAGGGGAATCCGATGTATCGGCCATGTCTAACCCTTGTTTGGCGTGACCTATTCTGCGGTGCGCCTCACGACGCAAAGATATTTATGAAAAGCAGAATTGGATAGATTAATGCAGTAACTGCAACGTGTATCAAACGCACAAGGCGTAGCACAACTAGGGCATAATACATGCGGGTCAGCAATTGAAAACGTAAATTGCAAATAGTACAGATTTTCATCAACGTAAATACTAGCTGAACAATCCTCGAACTCACGTGAATAAACAGTAGAAAATACGATTAAATATCAATGCAAATTAATGAAGGATACTAGCTATACCTCTATAGTAACCTATAAGAGGTAATAAACTAAGAAAAAACCAAAGGATATAGTGTGTAAGGAGACACAGGCGCTCTCACATCCTGCTCACTGGGCGAAGAAGGAGAGAGTGAAGCATGAGGCCAGAGGGTGGCGACACCTGTTCCCGCCAAAAGGGCAAGGGAGGCAACTCGTGGTGAGTACCAATTAGTGATTTTACATTGAAGGGAGCTTCAATTAAGGAGATACAAGTGTTCCACTATGTTCGCAAGAAGAAGAAGACAAGCAAAAGAGCATGAGTCAGGATAAGGAAAAATGAGTATTTTGCCGTTGAAGGTATATTGATGACTTTGTCTTCTTGCTATTGTTGGCAAGAATTCTCACACAGGTCCTCAGATATTGCCTAGTTTTCCTGGTCTACACACAACACAGATTCACAAATTTCATGGAAGAACTTGTTGATTCCTTGTACAACTCCTAATACTATAAGTTCATCTGAGCCATTCTCTCAATATACAGAGAAAACCTCTCAAGTCAATGGTGGGGCCCAGAATCGTGCACTTCTCACTTTCCAAGTGACAAAATACTTCTCATGGCAATTTTGGCTCCTCCCCCCCGGAATAATGTCCTACGTCATACAAAAATGACTCATGTCCCATCTGAATAATTAGTTACTTTCATTAGTCCCTTTCCAAGACTTTACTTGGTACCATCAAATTCTTCCAATACAAATGACTTCATTGAAGTAGCTTTAAGCCATCCATCAACCAAACATTGAGATATCTAACAAATATCTGACTAAAGTACTGTCGGAAATAGGAAAAAACTATTTTTGGCTGTTACTCTGTATCCCTAAAATGTACACAACTGCAAGTAGCATATGTTGAAATAACCCACATTGGCCACATTGGCCTAACGGACGTTCAGTGGGATGTGTAATAGGATATCCAGAAATGCATGTTTACTCGTAAAATCGGACAAAACTTAGAAAAAATATGAATAGCTGCTGAAAACAATAGATGGCAATTAGATCGCTCAGCCAGGTATGAAGACGGACCGTCGACTCACCTGGCATGAAATGCATGTGCTTCCTACAGGCACAAGGGGTCATCTCAAAGATATTTTATGCTTTTTTTCATGTCTATTGAATATGTCTCATCTATTGATTATCATCATTCGTGTCTTTCATAAAGTTCATGTTGAGATGTGTAAAACAATATGATACCCATTGAAAGCTTAAATCGACTATCGTATTAAATGTCTCAAAATATATTGGAGGCCACTGGACCACCCCAAGATCGACAGGACTGGATATTATTTGTTAATTGTTAACACATGCCGTTTACTGCCCCCAGGTTAACTCCTCTCAAGGATCGTCTTATCTTAGCTGATATCTCCAGGGGCGGATACAGCTTTTTGAGAAAGGGATGTGCACAGTATTGAGAAAGGGGTGTGGGTGTGCGGTGGTGGTGCACACTCCATTTTCACGAGCGTTTCAATGGTCATTTATGGGAAAGCCTGCAAACACACACCACACACACCCACCTTGGATCCACCTATGACGTCTATCCCCCGGTACGACCCCAACCACCCTCTGCGACACTCATCCTGGTTTTGCTTTCGAGACAACCCCTCCTACCTGTTTCTTTTTATAGTGATAGTGAGGCTCCATGGTATACGTAGCTACATCCTTACTATTTTCAGCATTAAAGTTAGTATTTTTTACGTCAGCTATCGTTTATAATGAAGCTTAGTTTCAAAATGGGCATTTATAAAGAGTCCTTTGAAATACAATATCATCACACACTAATTTGCATAAAGCCATGGTCTGTTCTAAATAAGTCGCTTTGGACGCACAGCTCATTTCTGCACTAATCTCTCCTCAGTAAAGTCCTTTGTTTACGTTTCCTATGTCCCTACCACAGAGACTGTAGTTAGGCCGAACTTAGTTTAACAGATATTTCACACGTTCACATATTAACTTCATAAATAGTAGATATAAATGGTCTTTTTCTATTTCCGACAGTACTTTAATACTTCAGACTGGTAGGCACCAGAAGATACTTAATCAAGACATTTTAGATCTTCTGTGTGGCCCTTTATTGACAAACTGACCATCTTTATTCAGAATGTCCATCCAATTAATTCTGTAAAATCATAAGATATAACCTTTCCTCCTCACTTATGTCAATTCAGAGAATTTGTTATTCTCCACGAAAAGTTAATCAATAAGAATTTGGTTACTCTAGTCAATGCACTTTCGCAGTGCGTTGACCTTTCTTAACTTGACTTCACATTTTCCTTAAATATTTATAAAATGTATTTTAAGTTTTCAATTCTAAATATCCCAGTTATATATGGCCAATAAAGGAAGATTTTACCTACATAGTTTTTGCCTCTGCGTTTATGCCTATGTTGTTTTTGATGAGGCGGACCACCATCATCAGATCATTGCTGGTGCATCTGAAACAAACAAGCCCACCATATGACTAACTATAGAGTTAACGAATGTTGTTGCGTGTCTGATGTAAATATTGCATCAGAATCTTAGAGTTACGTCATAAACACGGTATCATAGACTGTTTTTAAACACAAATCTGGATGACAAGCAGAGTTAACCTATTCTGCCTTGGATGTATATGGATTTATGCTACAGCTAAAAACACCTGTTAACAAGTTTCTTCAGTATTGTGAGTAGTTCAGAAGCAGGAGTCAAGACATTCAGGAAGCCGCGCATCTGAAACAAAAGACGTATATAAAGAATACTTCACGAGGTCTCATTACATACGAATTATACGAAACTTGTGTCCTTCCTATGGTATCTGACCGAGCGAAAGCCAGGTCAGATACCATAGGAAGGTCATGAGTTTCGTATAATTCGTATTCGCCTTGGTAACCGACGTCACGATGCATGTCAGTTGTCATCGGCTCGTACAGCCTCCTACAGTAAACTATTCGGTAGCACCCTGTTTCTTGGTTTGCAGTTGCTTCATTCGGGCTAACATCACTGGTGGAAACATTGCGTTTATGTTTTTCGACGGATTTAATGTCTCAGTTCGACTCGACACGGCAACATTCGCAATATTTACATTCCCGCAATGCATTTAAGTTGTAGAATGAATGAGTTCACGTGTTTGTTATCAATGAAAGAAAAGTTACGTCAGAATGTGACCTTATTGAGAGGTCATCGGTTATCACATGTTTCGGTTATCATGTCGTTACGACACAGGTCAACATGATACGACACTCGTGTGACATATGAGATTAGTATGCAACTACCCATACATTGACCACATGGGTAATAAAGAATCATATCAAGCTGAATATTAAGCATACCAAATGTTTTGGGTGTCCGTGTTGTAGCCGTTGTAGACATTGTAGCCAGTCTTCTAGCTACTGACAACTCTCATTGCCTGAATTATTATTTTTTTAACCTTCGTCAAGACATGGAGATGTGGTATACTGGGTAACCAAGGATGGTGAGTGGCTGAAGGAACGTTAGAGGGGATAAAATGGTAATATGATTGGGTTGTATGATCCATAGGGAGTTGTGAAACATATCTGAGTGCCCGCTGACAAATCTGATGTGGTAAGAAAATAACATTTGAGGTTGAATATCCATATTCATCTTACAACATGGACTGAGTATCCACATTCAACCTGCTATTACAACATGGGCTGAGTATCCACATTCAACGAGTATCCATATTCATCTTACAACATGGACTGAGTATCCACATTCAACCTGCTATTACAACATGGACTGAGTATCCACATTCAACCTGCTATTACAACATGGACTGAGTATCCACATTCAACCTGCTATTACAACATGGACTGAGTATCCACATTCAACCTGCTATTACAACATGGACTGAGTATCCACATTCAACCTGCTATTACAACATGGACTACAGTATCCACATTCAACCTGCTATTACAACATGGACTGAGTATCCACATTCAACCTATCCAAGTATCCACATTCAACCTGCTATTACAACATGGACTGAGTATCCACATTCAACCTGCTATTACAACATGGACTGAGTATCCACATTCAACCTGCTATTACAACATGGACTGAGTATCCACATTCAACCTGCTATTACAACATGGACTGAGTATCCACATTCAACCTGCTATTACAACATGGACTGAGTATCCACATTCAACCTGCTATTACAACATGGACTGAGTATCCACATTCAACCTGCTATTACAACATGGACTGAGTATCCACATTCAACCTGCTATTACAACATGGGAATGAGTATCCACATTCAATATTACAACCTGAGTATCCACATTCAACCTGCTATTACAACATGGACTGAGTATCCACATTCAACCTGCTATTACAACATGGACTGAGTATCCACATTCAACCTGCTATTACAACATGGACTGAGTATCCATATTCACCTGCTATTACAACATGGACTGAGTATCACATTCAACCTGCTATTACAACATGGACTGAGCTATTACAACATGGACTGAGTATCCACATTCAACCTGCTATTACAACATGAACTGAGTATCCACATTCAACCTGCTATTACAACATGGACTGAGTATCCACATTCAAGTATCCACATTCAACCTCTATTGCTCAACCTGCTATTACAACATGGACTGAGTATCCATATTCAACCTGCTATTACAACATGGACTGAGTATCCATATTCAACCTGCTATTACAACATGGACTAAGTATCCACATTCAACCTGCTATTACAACATGGACTGAGTATCCACATTCAACCTGCTATTACAACATGGACTGAGTATCCACATTCAACCTGCTATTACAACATGGACTGAGTATCCACATTCAACCTGCTATTACAACATGGACTGAGTATCCACATTCAACCTGCTATTACAACATGGACTGAGTATCCACATTCAACCTGCTATTACAACATGGACTGAGTATCCACATTCAACCTGCTAACATAGGTTGACTGACTGATTGACTGAGTTTGGTTTTATACCGCTTTTAGCAATATTCCAGCAACATCACGGCGGGGGACACCAGAAATGGGCTTCACACAATGTTCCCATGTGGGGATTCGAACCCGGGTCTTCGGCGTGACGAGCCAACGCTTTAACCACTAGGCTACCCCACCGCCCAACATAGGATGAATATCCATATTGATGAGTCATAACCAGCAGATGTATGAAATGCATAGATATTTTCACTCACCTCTCGTAAGGACAGAGTACTCTCCTCCGGGGGCATCACAGTTTTGCTTTTCTCAAAACACACCCTGATTATTTCCCACACCTCAGTCTGTACAAACACACAATGACCATAGTGAGTTACCTGTATATTACAGATGGTGTCATTCAAACATATGAACACACACACACACACAACACACCATAGTGAGTTACCTGTATATTACACATGGTGTCGTTCAAACATATGATCACACACACACACTATAGTGAGTTACCTGTATATTACACATGGTGTCATTCAAACATATGAACACACACACACACCATAGTGAATTACCTGTATATTACACATGGTGTCATTCAAACATATGAACACACACACACACCATAGTGAGTTACCTGTATATTACACATTGTGTCATTCAAACATATGAACACACACACACACAACACACACACACAACACACCATAGTGAGTTACCTGTATATTACACATGGTGTCATTCAAACATGAGGTATTACAAAGAATAGTGAATTATTTTCAACTCTTGTAAACATCTGTATTTATCCAGCAGGATATTCATTTGATATAATTGTTATCTTACCCTAGCTAGCCCTTTCTGTCCACCTGTACAGAACATTTATACACATACCTGCGCTAAATCCTCCTCCATTGCTTTTTGACTTGTACCAAATATCTGAAGACAAATATATTTGTAAACATGACACTTTTTCAGCTTCACTAACATTACAATTTATTTTCTTTTATTCTTCATTTAACTCATCTCAACATCATAAATGTATTATTCTTTAAATATGTAAATATAAAAATTATCACATCTGTGGTTAAAAACGTGTGATGGGGTAGCCAACCTGTGAAAATCTGGGTTTAACCTGAAATGAGTCAGATAAACTCTACTGCAATGAGTGAGTGAGTGACTGAGTTGGGTGTAATGATGCTTTTAACAGTGTAAGAGATATCACAGCATTTCTACATATTAATGATCGAGGAAAGCCCACATGGTTTGGTCACACTTAGGTATTATCCAAAAGCATGGGTATGGCACTGATAAACCTTGAAGCAAACTCAGGGAGAAGCGGATTCAAACCCACAATCATGGGTTCCTGGCAAGTGCAAGGTATGTAACTCTAACCAGCAAACTGTGACACTTACGACTGTGCTACCCATGAACCATTTTGCATGTAATGTTCTTCCTCTTAAACGATCTACTAACCTGGCTGAATAGGTTGACAAGGACTTTGTCATTTAGGCTATTCCATGTATTCCCAATGCCAGTCAGCAAGAACTTCATCAACATGTAGACATCACCCTTGAAGCCAGCTGCAAGTGACAGGAGTGAGTGAGGAGTATGAAATATGTATCAGGACACAGACACATTTGTGTTTAGATTTTCTCTTCAAGTTGAAAATGAAATCAGCCAATGTTGCATGTTACATCACATACCTTAAGAGTGATGACACCAATATTGTAAGGCATAGTTTAAAGCATGACATATGCCTACAGGTGATGTGAGTGAGTGGGTGGGATTGGAGGAGTGAGTGAATTATACACTGCTTTAGGCAACTTACTACCACTGGTCCCCTTCTTGAGGTAGGCGGACATAAGAGCAGTCTTGCCAGTGGGTGAGTGAGTGAGTTATACACTGCTTTAGGCAACTTTCTACCACTGGTCCCCTTCTTGAGGTAGTTGGACACATGAGCAGTCTTGCCAGTGGGTGAGTGAGTGAGTAAATGAGTGAGTTATACACCGCTTTAAGCAACTTACAGCCACTGGTCCCCTTCTTGAGGTAATCGGACACAAGAGCAGTCTTGCCAGTGTCGCTGTCTTCCTCAGATATCTTGGTACAAAGACAGCGGAACTGATGGAGAGAGTTGTCCTCCCTCTTTATATTAGCATCTGCAAATTTAAGTGGAGCATGTTAACATCTGGGTGTTTCAGACTTTAACCATGCTATGGATTCATTATTTCTCTGTAATTTGTTATAATAACCTACAGTTGCATCAGATTTAATTAGTACCATATATTTTCAGAATGACCAGCGAATTCATGCATCAGCATCTAGCACAACAGATTAGCGTGACATCATCAGAATGGTTCCCTTTTCATTTGTATTTTCCCTATCTTTTCTACTTGCAGATGAGTGAGGTGTTAGACAACAAATAAGAAGCATTTCACTCATATACAGTAATTCTGTACTTTTGGGCCCCCTACACTTGCACACCCTGGCTTTCAATCATCTCCTCTTCAAATGCTTTGTACAAACAGTTGAAGCTTGCGTATCCAAACACTTGTGTTCTCCCACATTTTGTCTTGATAAACATAGTTCTGGATATCTGAATTACCAAACTTACCCAGATTGTACAGAAGCAAAAATAGCCTCTGTAGAACCCATGATTGTCACAGTTTGCTGGTTAAAGTTACATATAATACACTTGCAAGGAACCCATGATTGTGGGTTTGAATCCCGCTTCTCGCTGATTATGTTTCAAGGTTTTATCAGCACCATACACCCCCCACCCCCCAATTTAAATTCATAACCATAACTTTTTTACAATTTTGTGTACAAGATTGCTGATCCCCCTACCTCCCCAGAACACAATGGGTGACACACCACCCCCACCACCCCTTTTTAAAATCATCATCACCCCCTAGCCATAAATTATGAGGTGTCCCTAAAGGAGACATAAACCAGCTGTATTTCCATTTAGATGTTTCCCAGTCAGGTTAACTGACTGTTTCCAATTTGCAACTCACTCTCACTATAACTTTCACTTTCAAATGAAATTAAGATGTATCAATGCTACATATCAAACCTCTAAATTGAAAATGCAGATGGTTCAAGACATTATTGTAAGACATGCCATGAACTGTGTGATATACTACAGTACTCACCACTGATGAGTTTCAGAAGGTTCTTCTTCTCGTCCTTTTTTAGCTCATCAAACCCAAACATGTCATCAGGAGACTTGATCTTTTTTGCATTGCCTGTTTCCTTCTCAAACATCTTAAACATGCAGGCAACATGGTGATATAGAGTTATATCACCCCACCCCTCATCGTCCACATCACGTGGGTTGGGGACCCTTTTACCAATTCTCAACATGTCCTTTTGAATAAACTTGTTGCAGTTTCTACAGATTGACCTACCCGATGTTGCACGGCTAAGATAGAAGATGATTTCAGTCATTATGAAGTCAGTACATAAATACTGAAACTGTACTGAGGTACAATGAGATAGGAGTGTGTGTGGGTGCTGCTAAGCAATGGTTTTATTGCTGCGGAATGTAAAATTGCCAAAAGATGCCTGTACAGAGACCAAGTAACATGGGAGGATTCTACTGTGAAGGTTGAGGAAACTGATCATGGATTGTCTTCTGATCATTCACTCAGTCTTCATCTGAAAAATATGAAAAAAGAGAAACTGATATTTGCTGGATATTTTGTCCTATGTAAACATTTGGGAGGATGGGTGGCACAGTGGTATAAGGTGCAGCTATACACAGTGTCAACTGTTGAGGCCAGAAACCTATGATCATGGGTTCAAATCCCTGTTCATTCCACTCGTTTCCAGGTCTGTCAGCACCATACCATGTTCACTACTCTGGGCTTTCATTATTTACGAGAAACTAATTTCAATTTGAGCTGCATGTGTCCTTTGAGATTGACTCCACAAGATGTTGTTGTCTTTGTAACAGTTTACAACCTGGGAGGGGCGGTGGGGTAGCCTGGAGGTTAAAACATCACGCTGAAGACCTGGGTTCGATTCCCCACATGGGTATAATGTGTGAAGCCCATTTCTGATATTGCTGGAATATTGCTAAAAGCGGCGTAAAACTAAACTCACTCACTACAACCCGGGAAACAGTTCACAGAAAGGCTACAGTTACCTTTATTGCTAAACCCAGCACACAGTTGACTTCATGCAAATGAATCACATACATGGCTCGACTGATGCTCATGATGTTGATCACTGGGTTATGTGGTCCAGACTTGATTATTTACAGACCACCACCATATAAGCTGGAATACTACTGAGTGAGGCGTAAACCTAAACTCACTCACATACATGACCTAAGTAAGCAGCAGTTTCTAAATGAGTGTAAATACATTACAGAAGAGTGAGTGAGTATGGTGCTACGCCGCTTTTAGCAATATTCCATCGATATCACTGCGGGGACATCGGAAATGGGCTTCACACATTTTACCCTAGTCTTTAGCGTGACAAGAGAAGGCTTTAATCTTTAGGCTGAACTATGGCTGAATACTGATCAGGGGTGGATTCAGCTTTTTGAGAAAGGGGGTGCACTCTTGAGAAGGGGGTGTGGGTGGGTGGGTGTGTGTGTGCGTGCATGCATGTGCGCAACACACCCACCCACCCTGGATCCGCCCATGCTGATATCCTTGATCATGTTGATAGCCTTAAACTAAAGGCACAATGTCACCCATTTTTGACAATATTTCGGCTTATATTATATATATTGGGGAAGAGCACTCACTTTAATATACTTTTGATGTAACAGAAGACTTAATATCCCTTACGACTTGCCTGGTATTGATAGTTTAAACTTCAAGGCGTACAGCTTCCAAACAGAGAACACTTGCCATATATGGAATGTAAACAATTGCTCCATATATCGAAAACTGTCGAACGCAGTGTTGTCGGTGTTTGCCGAACTGGTTTCAGTCACAAGTTAAGACTCCAAGGGACATACTTTATGGGGTTTGCTTGAAATAATGTTCGGGAGCGAGAGTCAATTTAAGGCAATGTTGCATCAATTCATTCAAACTTTTGATACATGGACCCCATGAGGATTTTTGCAGGAATTTAGGTTGCTTTGTATCGAGCGATTCGAGGATACTTTAAGAAAACGCAACAGAAATATTATATATTTCGATACCTATCAATCCAGAAATGATTTACGTGTCCATTTATGCACCTGTCATGTGCTTGTTCTAAGTGTTATGTTGCAAATTACATTGTACTCAACATTTCCATAATGTTGTTATTCGCGGCCTGAACTTGTTTACATACTCTGCGCATGCGCCATGAACCTGTTCAGGTAAAGGCTCCTAAAGCCTTTGGGTACATGAGCTTTTGATTCAAGTGTGTCCTCCGTGGTGCAAGTTTGGGATTTATCCGGTGATTAACTTGTCAGTGTCCTTATTTGGACTGCAGCATCAATAAATTATACACAGAGAAGCACTTGATAAACGTGGCTGCTCTGGACGCTCCGACTGTATTTCACAGGTAGATGTAGGTCGTCATTGCATACCTGACAGTGCACGAGATCTATTACAGGTGACAGGTTCAATGATGCAAAGACTGTCACTGTATCACAATGCAGGCATCGCCATTCCACGTATGCAGGCTATCGCTGAGAATATTGCATTAAGCCAATCTTCTACTGATCAAGATCCAGTCAATCGTTCGCCTGCTACGGATATGATCACATGGACCAACCAAAACGCTCTATTTACTTCCGCGTTTCAACATGACCACACCTTCCTTCATATACCTACAACCGCACCCTTCATTGGCTATTTAATACGACCCTGCACAAGAACAATGAAATCGATAGACATTTAATATCTAGAGATATTTAACATGTTTTTTAAATTTTATTAGAAACCCCATATTTTAATTTGTATTATAATTAGCATACTTCGTTGAAAGATCAAAGTCGCCTACTGTGCTGCCTTTTTTTAGTTACGTCATAAACTGCGGGTATGTTTACGCTGTTCCAAGTACCACCTGCGAATAACGCTATCGGGTGGTCAGGCTCACGGACAAGTTGTATCGATTGATGCTCATGATATCAATCACTGAATTGTCTGGTCCAAACTCAACTATTTAGAGACGGTCGTCAATTAGCTGGAATGTTGCTCAGTGCGGTGTTGAACCAATAAACAAACATTTTTAGCAACACACTGCAGTCAAAACGTACGCGGTCTTTCTCAGCCATGAGGGCAGCGGTGTAGCTTAGTGGTAATACCCCCTTCACACTTGAGGCGGAATGCTGTCGGAATGAAAATTCCTGGAGATTCCTGGAAATTCGAACTGCATTCTAAAACTTCTTAGTGAATTCCAAATGCATTCCAACTATTCGGGTCAATTCTTGTGACATGCCCTAATGTACTGAACATGTTCAAAACTTTCGAGGCACATTCGAAGTGGAAAAATATCGAACGGCATTTGAAGTGTATTCTAACTGCATTCTAAGTATTCTTACTGCATTCTATGTATTCTGAATGCATTCGAGGGAGAATGGAAAAGGCAAGCCACTTCAAATCCAGTCATAATGTCCCGGATGCGCCTCGAATGTATCTCGATTGCTGCTGGAATTCAGTTGGAATATTCTTCACATGTATCGGAATATTTCAACTGCAGTTGGAATACAGCTCGAGTGCACCTCGAATACAGTCAGAACGTCCCGAAAGCTCTTCAAATGAGCCCTGACGTCATCAGAACACCGCCGAATCGCATAAAACGTGGCCACTTGTCACTGAAATGTCAGATAGAATTTGGGAGTTGAATTCTTACAAAGCTTGAACAAATTGTTTATTTTGACATTCTCTCCCGAATGCCGTTCGAATTTTGGGAAAAGAAAATTCTGACTGATCTCCTTGATTCCTGTCAATTCGAAATAAGCACATGTGAAAGAGCCTTAAAACGTTGGCTCGTCACGCCGAAGACCCGGGTTCGATTCCCCACGTGAGTACAATATGTGAAGCCCATTTCTGGTGTCCCCAGCCGTGATATTGCTGGAATATTGCTAAAAGCGCATAAAACTAAAACTCACTCACTCATTTAGCGTTGGATTATGTTTAATGCAAAACTTTGATCTCAAGGCAGGGGTTCGAGGATTTTTAATTCAAAGCATATCGTGTTACAGGTAACTGGTTTCATTTAAAACCCATCTCTAATAAAACACAAGGTTAGTATTTAATTGGTATCTAAGAAAATTAATTACGTTTGCTGTACCATTTCAGATTATTGATCTGAAACTTAATGTAACCTACTTGGCCAAAGTACCTCGTTTTCATTTTACTAATCTGAGCAGAAATTCTGTAAGCAGTGAGAAGAGATCATCATTGATACTTATGGAGATGCCTAAATGGCCGACCCCGTAATTTTACAAAGATTGTATCTGTGAGGAAATCCAGCATGTTACTTTCTTTTTTCATTAAACTTTACGTTCCAGTTGCTTTCATTCTGACAAATTGTCCTGAACCTCTAAAGATGGACGTGTAACTATAACACTGCAAAAGAAGGATATGTAACTGCACCACGTTTCTTATATTGAACGACTTGGATTAAAGGGTGTTGTTGGTGGTAAATGAAAATGTTGGTGATTCTCAGTGTTTGCCCTTAACCCAGAAAAGCTGCAGGCCCTAAGGACCCAGAACCATCGAAGGTTATAGGTCCTGATCAGAATGTGTAGGTCCTATATTTTAATATAGAAACAATACTTATAGTTATTGGGGATGAAAAGCTGTCGGCCTTAAGACCTGAAGAAAACAAAGGCTGTGGGTCCGAGTGGTTTTCAGTGGGCTTCGGGCCTAAGGTCCGACGTTAATTTCGAATGCTGGTGATTCTTGAAATCGGAAATATTGCTGATCATTTAGGGGAACTGATTTTTGTCAGAGAATATTAACTTCAGTTAGGTATTATTTCCCTTAAAACATTTCTATTCAAGAACCTGCTATCTGTCTGATGTACTGGAGTATGTTTCTGGTTTGACCAAATGTTTCAAAGCAATATGAATAAGTATACTCAGGAGGATGCTGAGGGCGCTTGTTTGCAGACCCATCCATCAGCAGAAGTTGCAGTAGATTTTGTATAACGACACAGTGCAGCTGTGTTCTTTCCTTGTGCGATAAGGACTGACTGACTGAGTTTGGTTTTTACGCCGATTTTAGCAATATTCCAGCAACATAACGGCGGGGGAACACCAGAAATGGGCTTCACACATTGTACCCATGTGGGGATTCGAACCCAGGTCTTCGGCGTGACGAGCCAACGCTTTAACCACTAGGCTACCCCACCGCCCTTATGTACGATAAGGAGAGATCTAGACACAAACAATCTTCCAAATAATTAGTATCATTTGACCTTCGTCCTTTAAACATATTTATTCACAAGAAGTGAACAAGGCTAGTAGGACATGTTCTTCCAATTAAGATTGCCCTCTCCTTGTATTTACATAATTACTATAACAGTAAATCTCTCTCTCTCTCGTTCGTTCGTTCGTCCGTTAGGTAGAAGATCTAGACTGCTTTTCAGATCTTAGTTTGCCATTTCATCCCCTTTGCATTACAACGTACAATATTGAAATGCAAGTTGGAAATAGTTTTGAAGATTGCTTCGTTCTAGAAATCAGCGAGTCAATAAGACAAATTTCGACTTTAGGGGTAAAAACGTCTGATACATTGCATAGAGCGACGTTTCGGTGTAGACACCATTATCAAGCTAAAAGGTTTTTGTCCGAATATACACGGAAACATCTGTTGATAACGGTATAAGTATCTACACCAAAAAGTACCTCTGTGCCACAAACAAGACGTTGTCCATAAAGTCGAAATCTTGGTTAATTCTGAAGATGCCCGATCTGTGCTAGCTGACCTGTGTGGACAATGGCGTTTCTCTCCCAGAGAAATACAACAATAAAAACAGATACCTTTCAGTGAAACAACGGTCGTGGGACAAATAGCAATGAACTAATCTGATGAAAATGACACTTTTTAAAGTCTAGCTTATGTGACTGAGGAACATCTGAGATATACACTACTCAAAAAATGTCAAGAAATGTGAAAGAACTGGGTGTTCTTCAACTTCTTTTGAGACTGACTGAGTTTAGTTTTATGCCGCACTCAGCAATATTCCCTATAGCAACATCATCGAGTCTGGACCAGACAATCCAGTGATCAAAGCAAGGCATCGATCTGCGCAATTGAACCCATGACATGATTCAACCAAGTCAGGTCTGCCACCCGACGAGTTAGTCGCCTTTATGGCAAGCACATGGGTTGCTGAAGACCTATTCTACGGATCTTCACGGGTCTTTTGAGTAGTGAAGTGGGTGTACATAATGAAATGCACACTATGTATATATATATATATATGTGTGTGTGTGTGTGTGTGTGTGTATTTATATATATCCGTGTACACTGTGTCAGATAGGAAATGTTCTCTTAATAAGGTGTTCACATCAGCCTGAGATTGGGTTTTAGCTAAACCAGCACTGCACCCAGGTCAAAATGACACCACCATGGAAGCTGCTACCACAGCACCACATTCTGTCACCATGTTTGTTTGTCATGATGTACAGAAGGAGAGAGAGAAAGGAAGGTTTTATGTTGCTTTTACCAAAATTCCAGATCTGACCACAGGGGGCACCAGAAACTGGCTGACTTGGCTGACACATGACCTCCTATCCCAAATGAGTTGATCTAGGCTCACTGTTAGACACTTGATTGTCACTAGATAGTCACTAAAATTAAAATTATATGATTTTTTTAAAACAAACACAGAAGTGTAACATATTTATTGACAAAATATAAGCAAGTGTAAATTCAAAACATAAGCATGAAATATAAACATAACAACAGATCCAATCGTACTAGTTAAAACAATCCAATAACCGGTTAAATGGAATTTCATGAAGAAGTCAAATGATCACAAGGTGCATCTAAAACCTGGCCACCTATACTACAGAAACTCCAGATTCTTAATCAGTTAAGACAGAAGCAAGGAAATAGATGAAGATAAATGTTAGGTGCCATATGCAAGAATTAAAATTCATCTAAATAATAAAATAATCAAAACAAGTACAAAAGCATTAAGTAAAGAGATTCGCTTAAGAAACCATTAGTAATATTCTCCATTAATATTATATAATGGAATATGTATTATATTCTCACATTTAGCAGGATCCAACATTCACAGATCACATCACAACATAAAAGGAACATATGAGTTGAGTTCCGTCTCAACATACCAAAATTCATCACAATGGGAATAAAAAAGCTGAGTAGTTGCCATAGTTGACGGCTATTATGCATCAGAATCCTTTCTTTCAGAGTATTGCCTTGTTTCATTTGAGTATGACACACATAATACTAACACAGTGGTGAAAATCCAAGGAGCATGACCACACTGTTTCAGCTACTGTTCCTTCTGGACAATATGTATGCAGGTCAGGTAGAATAGGGGTTTTAACGTATCATGTGGGTTACTGTTTGTGATGTGAGTTACTGTGAATATTTGGGCCATATGAAATTAATGCATGCGTGAGAATGTTTGTGTATGTGCGTGTGCTATGTGTACTGTACTAGCCCAGACTGAAGCTGGTTTTATAGTGCTAGCTCACTGAGATACCATGCCGCAGTGAAGCATGAATACCCCACTCAGACACATTATACTGACTCCAAGCCGATCAGTCCTTGTTGTACCCATTAATGCCGAGCGCCAGGCAGGGACCAACAAGTACCATATTTTAACGTCTTTTGGTATGAAGCGGTCGGGATCGAACCCGCGACCTTCCGCTCTCCAGGCGGACGCTCTAACCACTACACCATGGAGGCGGTTGTTACTGTTTGTACTAGTCTGGGTTTGTTTGTTTGTATTTTTGTTTACCGCCACACTCAGCAATATTCCAGCCATATGACTGTGGTCTGTAAATAATCAAGTCTGGACCAGACAATCCAGTGATTGATATCATGAGCAGTTGGGATACAATGACATGTGTCAACCAAGTCAGCAAGCCTGACCTCCTGATCCCATCAGTTGCCTCCTACAACAATAATGGGTTTTCAAAGATCAAATTTGATCTGAATCTTCATGGGTTTGTACAAGTTTATACTTCTGTTGGTTTTTATAGTGCTAGCTGACTGAGATACCATGCCACAATTAAACATGGACACCCCACTCAAACACATACTGACTCCGAACCAACCAGTCCTTGTTCCTTTCAATTAATGCCATGCACTAGGCAGGGGAACAAGAATTACATATTTAAAGCAGGGTTTTACATGAGGCGTGATTTCTGCGTATTTGGCACAACAATTTTGTTAACGACTCTCAACATAATATCATATGAGTCAAGCTTGACGCAAGTTTTATAGGTGGCCCTCACAATTCAGTTCAATAAAATCGATTTGATGAGCAAAAAATGATATTGTTCGAGGATAGCTTGACTTTTACAGAGCTGTCAGATTGATCCTTGAACTCAGAGAAGACAGAAATCCTGGCTGTTTGAATTGAACAATGCAGTAGTTTCATTGGGTGGTGTGACATACACAGTTACATACTGAGAATGATAAACACAAAGAAATATTCAATTTTCATGACTCCCAAATATTGAAAATGACTCCTAAAAATAAATATTGTGAGTCACATGTCTCCCATTTTTAAAAGTCTTTGTAAAACCCTGTTTAAAGTCAGTTGGAGTAGCATTAGACTTGTGCTAATCAAAACCATTAACCTTCCAATCTCAAGGCAGATACTCTATCGATTAAATCATAAGAGACACATGACTAAAGTTGGGAACATCTAAATGTTATCAAAGGTGAAAACTCACATGTGAGACAACATGATGCGCCAATATTGTTGTGAGAACAATCTTTGTGTTCCAAACTGCAGCAATACTGACTGAACTATGAGAGAACACAGTTGAACTATATATAGGTGATGATGTTGTTCGTCAGTTGTTCAGTGCCACGTGAAAACATGTATCCTTCATGTCTTTCAGAAATAGACTCTGTATAAACAACACATTGTTGGTCTTACACACACACTGAAAAAAGTATTTCTAGGCCTAAAAATGTTTTTGTTGTGGTTCCGATTACCCGACCGACCCTTGAATTCTGGTGCCGACCCTTTCTTTTTTAAGAGGTATGAATCAAATAAGCTTTCAGATACCACTTTTTTTCCCAGCACCGATGGACAATGGCCATTCTGATAGAGAATGTTGACATGATGGCCGCAAGCTGATTGAATTAACAATTACACATTGATAAAATCGTTATTAGTTTGCACTTTACTTCTAAAGAAAAATGTAAAAAAAATATATTCCCACCTACCTACCCTAAATTTTAAAGAGGTGTAATCGGAACCACAACATTCTTTCATTTGGCCCTATGCCATTCACTTAAAGACAATTGACAAAGCAATCACTCGCACCATATTTTCTTGAGTATATGTACACTTGAATATAATGTGCACTCCTGAAGTTTTCGGTACAACTTTGGGGGAAATAGTTACTGGGACTGTAGCTCAACCTGATATGAATAGTTTAAAAAACAATGGAAGCCACTGAACAAAAGTTCTTTTGTGCATGGATATTAAATATGTTCTACATAACAACAAACACCAGAAGCTACTGATATGTACCAAATGTGATGTCATCTTGAAAAGAAGCATACACGCCAAATTCATCTGCCTCAGTCTTTCAATTACAGAATAAAAGTGCAATCAAGAACGAAATATTAAATAACAGAATATATTAAACTCCACAACTCGACAAATACCAAATTTCATGAAACATTTTCTAGAACAAACCTGACTAAAAAGGCTATATAAATAGCTCTTTCAGATTCAGGCATCCAGAGTGGGTGAGTGAGATTGGTTTAATATTCCATTATTTTAGTTATATCACAGCATGTCAGCTTCATCAGAAAGAAAACCCGAAGAGAAACAGGTCATGTATCACCAATGTAATCATGGTCAACAGGAATTTGACACCCTAGCTTACGGCTGGGGCCCTAGCATAGGTTGCTGGTGTGCCCAAGGGAGGCAACTCTATTCTTCCTTTGATCTTTAGAACAAGTCTAGTGTAATCATTGGTGGGAATAAACAAAGTAAAACTTGCACAAAAATGAACATGTATGTTGTTCTTGCTACCAACTGCACTGTACCAAATTTTATTACATTTACATCAGACCTTCATGTGAATCCTTTGCATGTGAGTAAACACCAACAAACACACGTATTGCCAAGGTTTTTTGTATGTAAACCATAATAAAAGTCTGAATGTCCCTGTTCAGGGCTTGAACTCCTCAGTAGATGCAAGCTGTTTCTTCTTGATTGACTGCCACAGCCAGTCAGGGGTCACGACCTTGGCCTTGCTACCACTGGTGCTAATCTGGAATGGAAATCTACAAGTGAGAGGTGGGGAACAATCTCGGAAATCTGTTGTGGATCTCAATAGACCAAAAAGATGTGTAACTATCATACTAGAGAATGTGTGTGTAAACAGTGTTGAGGCCCAGATAGAAAAAAACTCAGTGGTTAACAGAAATAGCAGATGCAAATATTTCAGCCGTACAATGATATAGTTCGCAAGCTAATGCCATCCTACATGTGCAGTAGTTTTTGTCATTATATTTCATTATATACCTCTAAGGGACTGTTCATAATTTATGGCAAGGGGATGATGATGATTTTAAGGGGGGGTCACCCATTATGTTCTGGGGAGGTGAGGGGGTCAGCAATTTTGTACACATCTACTAGGGGGGTCACCCATTTTTTTTGTACATCAATTATTTTGTAAAATATTAAGTTTAAAAATTATGGGAGGTGAGGGGAGGGGTCATTGATTTTAAAATATTGTGATATGGGAAGTGGGGGGTCAATACTTTGTACATAAAGTTTAGGGGGTGGGGGCATTCACATTGTACATGCTTCTCCATAAAAATCATCATCACCCCCCTAGCCACAAATTATGAACAGTCCCTAAGTTTGTAGGAATGATGACACAGGCTCTATAACTTGTGTTAGCAATACTTCAACAATATCACGGTGTGGGACACCAGAAAAGGGCTTCACACATTGTGCCCATGTGATGAGTGAACGCTTTAACCAATAAGCTACCTCACAGCCAACTATAGGCTCAACTAATGGCTTGAGATTGCCTCGGATTCTTCAGGCGGTTTTACAGAGTCTTGTGACTATATTTTTTCAGTTATAATCATATCGTCACATTGACTTGCCTTTCCTTTAGAAGAGACAATATGTGTAGCTGATCCCTTGCTGGTCTCGTCCAAAACTTCCCCGTCAAAACTAATGATAGTTAAGGTATCCTCAAAATCAACAGAACAACATATTCCTGGAAAATATAATCTGAATCAGGACATGCATGTTGAATATGAAATATTACATGTGCTTAGCCTCGTGTCTATCTAACTCCTGCAATAATAAGGTTATACAAAGGCAGGGTATTACCTTGGTCGATAGGAGCCCAACTTACTCATTTCTAGGGTCCTTCAGGGGTGGAAATAACTTTAAAATTGCTAGTGTACTCCAGTACAGTGGCACATGTAAAATCACTTGCCCTGATCATTTTTCCACTATATCAGCCGTTTTCTTGTTGATTTTTTAAATAAGCAACATAATTAACATTGGAAATCAACTGGACACCAGTACAGCATGATGTACAAATTTGCTTGCCCGACAGAAAAAAACACTGGACTCAGACCTCGGGCAATGGGTTATTTCCACCCCTGGTCCTTACGTGAAATGCAAGGGTCCGGTAAGTGATGAAATGATGTAGCAGTCAGTTTAATGATTTCTTTAATTACAAGAACTTTATATTTCTTAACACAATTTTTTTAATTTTGAAATTTTGAAATATGAATATTACAGTAAAGACCTGACTCTTAAGTAAAGGATACTCTATTATATACTGCTTGAGCTCTGAAGTAAAGGATACTCTATTATATACTGCTTGAGCTCTGAAGTAAAGGATACTCTATTATATACTGCTTGAACTCTGAAGTAAAGGATACTCTATTATATACTGCTTGAGCTCTGAAGTAAAGGATACTCTATTATATACTGCTTGAGCTCTGAAGTAAAGGATACTCTATTATATATTGCTTGAGCCCTGAAGTAAAGGATACTCTATTATATATTGCTTGAACTCTGAAGTAAAGGATACTCTATTATATACTGCTTGAGCTCTGAAGTAAAGGATACTCTTTTATATACTGCTTGAACTCTGAAGTAAAGGATACTCTATTATATATTGCTTGCGCCCTGAAGTAAAGGATACTCTATTATATATTGCTTGAGCTCTGAAGTAAAGCATACTCTATTATATATTGCTTGCGCCCTGAAGTAAAGGATACTCTATTATATATTGCTTGAACTCTGAAGTAAAGGATACTCTATTATATACTGCTTGAGCTCTGAAGTAAAGGATACTCTTTTATATACTGCTTGAACTCTGAAGTAAAGGATACTCTATTATATATTGCTTGAACTCTGAAGTAAAGGATACTCTATTATATACTGCTTGAACTCTGAAGTAAAGGATACTCTATTATATATTGCTTGAACTCTGAAGTAAAGGATACTCTATTATATACTGCTTGAACTCTGAAGTAAAGCATACTCTATTATATATTGCTTGCGCCCTGAAGTAAAGGATACTCTATTATATATTGCTTGAACTCTGAAGTAAAGGATACTCTATTATATACTGCTTGAGCTCTGAAGTAAAGGATACTCTTTTATATACTGCTTGAACTCTGAAGTAAAGGATACTCTATTATATACTGCTTGAGCTCTGAAGTAAAGGATACTCTATTATATACTGCTTGAGCTCTTAAGTAAAGGATACTCTTTTATATACTGCTTGAACTCTGAAGTAAAGGATACTCTATTATATACTGCTTGAGCTCCTTGAACTTGTCTGTGGTTTCAGGCAGGAATATCTTGCAGTCTGTGAAGATGTTGGACATGGAGGGGCTGGCTGATGGTGCTGTCTTGCACTGAAATACAGTGGACATGAGGATTGACTTCTCATCAGACATAAGGGATCAGTCTAGAGGCAAAACATCTCTCCGCTGAACAGTGAGTGAGTTTAGTTTTACGACACTTTTAGCAATATTCCAGTAATATTATGCTGGGGGACACCAGAATGGACAGCAGTTCTTGCTCAGTTTATCTGAATACACTCATTGCTATACATGGTTTTGCAAATCGAATGCTTTTTGTGCAGAATTGTAACTGCTGTTACATTGCCTACAATCATGCAGGAAAAGAATCAATGTTTTCAATATTATTGACTTTGCATCTGTAGTTTACAGACATCCACATACAGGTATGTACACAGACACACACATACACACCCTCACCAATACATTTTCTTTCTGTTGACGTATGAGCACAAACATTATTTATTGTAAAGGTTTTTAATCTTTACTGCAAATTTAATGGAAATCGTTTTACATGATGAGTCAATGCTCTAACTATTGGCTATCCCAGTGCCCCTTTTATATTCAGCCATGAGTCTTCACTGATTCAGGATCTCTGGTTGAGACAAGAGCAGATCAGACAACAGAGACTAATCAGCTCTGCCATGAGAAAGTATGGTCTATTCGACCTGGTTGAGGGGATGGTGGCAGTATGCCAAGGGTGGCAGTGCAAACATACAGACCATTCATCCCAAATGAGTCATTATCTAATAAATGAAACTTTAGTATGTGATTACATGTCCACAGGTACAGACATATGTAAGAGACCATTTAGCCATCTCTATCATATCTGTCTGATAATAATAATAATAATGAGAATATTTATAACGTGCCTTTTCCAGGCTAGATATCCTGCTCAAAGCGCACAATCTGATCATTATTACCCCGGATAACCTAAGCTGCCTGTTAGGCGCTAGAAGGTTAATAGTCTCACGACTTATTTCACCGGGTACCCATTTCCTGCTGGGTGAACAGAGGCAATTGTGAACAAACTCATTTGCCTAAGGTGAGACCACATGTATCACATGTGCTTCGTTGTGGGGCAAGACTGAAGTCCTAGAAACTCAACTTGGTCACCCATCCAAGGGCTGTCCGAGCCCAACGTTGCTTAAGTTCAACTGATTTGTGACCTGAGCGCTATGCACAGGACCACGTGCCACCACGTGCCACTACCTGCCACCACTGATACCCAGTTTCTGGGTCAGAACTATTACTGGATTAAATGGTCAGTAGTTTGGTCACCTTTTTGGAAGGAGTTGTCTGCCCTTCATCCTCTGTCGGTCTCTTGACCGGTGTTTTCTTCTTGGAGACACCAACATCCACGCTGTCACTACTGCCACTGATGCCTTGCTTTGCGCCTTCACTTTTACTGTGATCGTGTCCAGTCTTTTTGTCAGTCTTCTCCTTTGGGTGAATGAGTAGTAAAGTAGGTATGAGCCACATACAAGAGATGGGAGACTGACAACATGATATGTATGGGAGACTAACAATACAATATGAGCTCGTAAGTGTGAGAAAACAACAATATTTGAAATATGTCAGTCTGACCATCTCATCTTCTTCTCCATACCTGGCATGCTGTGTAATGTGTTAGACTGACAACATGGGAAGTATATGAGTCTGACAACATGGGAAGTACAGTATGGGAGACTGACAACATGGGAAGTACAGGAGACTGACAACATGGGAAGTATGGGAGACTGACAACATGGGAAGTATGGGAGACTGACAACATGGGAAGTACAGGAGACTGACAACATGGGAAGTACAGGAGACTGACAACATGGGAAGTACAGGAGACTGACAACATGGGAAGTATGGGAGACTCACAACATGGGAAGTACGGGAGACTGAGAACATGGGAAGTACAGGAGACTGACAACATTGGAAGTATGGGAGACTGACAACGTGGGAAGTATGGGAGACTGACAACATGGGAAGTGTGGGAGACTGACAACATGGGAAGTGTGGGAGACTGACAACATGGGAAGTGTGGGAGACTGACAACATGGGAAGTGTGGGAGACTGACAACATAGGAAGTATGGGAGACTTGACAACATGGGAAGTATGGGAGACTGACAACATGGGAAGTATGGGAGACTGACAACATGGGAAGTATGGGAGACAGACAACATGGGAAGTATGGGAGACTGACAACATGGGAAGTATGGGAGACTGACAACATATGGGAAGTATGGGAGACTGACAACATGGGAAGTATGGGAGACTGACAACATGGGAAGTACAGGAGACTGACAACATAGGAAGTATGGGAGACTGACAACATGGGAAGTATGGGAGACTGACAACATGGGAAATATGGGAGACTGACAACATGGGAAGTATGGGAGACTGACAACATGGGAAGTATGGGAGACTGACAACATAGGAAGTATGGGAGACTGACAACATGGGAAGTATGGGAGACTGACAACATGGGAAGTGTGGGAGACTGACAACATGGGAAGTACGGGAGACTGACAACATGGGAACATGGGAGACTGACAACATAATAAGTGTGAGAAAACAACAATGTTTGAAATATTGTAATGAGTGACCGTCTCACCTTCTTCTTCATGCCTGCCATGCTGTGTAATGTGTTAGACTGAACCCTCTCCACGACGTCCTTCAGGTTTTGAGAGACCTGGAATGCTTTGTAAGCATCAGGGTGAAGACCTCTTAAACTGTAATGCAAAGAAAACAAGAGTCATCAGAAAATGACAAATTGCCCCGGCCCCCATAAATTTGAAAAAACAAATCAACTGACAATTACTTAAAGGCCAACTTGATTTTTTTGGACTAGGTCCAAATTGTTTCCATGGAAATATGAAAAATAAAAATGCCAAAAATCTGCAAATAGCAAAAGGCACCACTTTAGGTTCTTTTTGATATATCTACCAAGTCTTGCAGAAAGATATTGAACGGCTTCCGGGTTTTTCTCCAGAAACGAAGCTCACCACTCTCTTTTGAGACTATGTCCAAAACGTTTCCATGGAAACCAAGAAAAATGAAAATGACAAAAATCTGTAAACTGCAAAAGGCACCACCTTAGGTTCTGTTTGATATATCTACCAAGTTTTGTTGAAAAATATTGAACCTTTTTTGAGTGCTCCGGAAACAAAATGATTATGGACGGACAGACGGACGAGGCGTCGACTATAAAAATGACCCTGACTCCTTATGAAACATCAAAATTTAAGCTAACAACACACTTAACTTGACTTGTTCATTATTGAAACAAGCAGCAGTACTTGTCTCCCCTTGGTGGGGGATGTGTCTGTACAACTGGGAATGTGCCACGACTTACCCCCGTCTCTATACTCACCAATGCTCTTGAAATAATCTTTCCTGCTAAAGTTCAGTTTAAGAGGGCTTGCTATTTTGATGCCATGATTATAAATAAGGATCTCATTCAGAAGTGTGTGGGGACAGTGGGGTAGCCTATTTTTGTGTTCACTTGAAGACTCGGATGCGATTCCCTACGTAGGTACAATGTGTCAAGCCCTTTTCTAGTGTCCCCGCCGTGATATTGCCGAAATACTGCTAAACTCGGCGTAACTCACTCACCCAGAAGTGTGAGAGTATTGCTTTATGCCACTGTCAGGAACATCACGACAGGAGACACAAGAAACTGGCTTTACACACTGGACCCTTGTGGCGAATTAAACCCAGGTCTTTGGCATGGCAAGCGGAGGCCTTAACCATTTCTCCCTATGTTTCAATGCTTTAACCACTACCCTCATTCAGAAGAGGCTCTTCGATCAGTTGATTCAATGACAGAATGTCTGTGAAAAATGGATAATAACAGGGATGTTACTTCTGATATAAAGTTTTGCTTGTGAATGGGTCTAGGGTATATATCATGATATACTGTAATATAATGGTCAACAAAAGCAGGATATAACTTACATATATTTTGCCTTTGCGTTGATGCCAAGGTCATGTGTGATGAGGCGAACCACCATCATCAGATCATTGCTGGTACATCTGAAACAAACAAGCGCATATTCAACCTCACTGGAATGAATGAAGACACTGTGTTTGGGGTAATTGATGGATCTGTGTCTGTTGAGTAATTGTTGGATCAGAGACTTCAGAAAGCATGGATGGCCAGCAGTGGTTTGATGCCCATGGGTACATCTCCCAAACAATATATCTCAAATCACCTTGCAACAATTTTTGTGAGTATCTTGTATTGTTCACTCTCCTTTGTGACTTGAGACAAAGAAGTCAGGAGGTCGTCTGCCTGAAACACAATGACTACAGTCATGCCAAGCTGAGTATAACAACACATTAAAACTTCCATAATAATTGGGGCCTTCTTCTGTACATTATGGAGATTTTTATTGGTTGAACACCCAGTAGGCATCTGACATCAATAATTAGAGATATTAAATGGTGTTTTTTGTTTTGCAAATGTAATGCAATCAGCTTGGTAAACCAAGCAGCGAATAAGAGAAATGCACCTTACACGTTAGCAGGGTACATTGTAAATAAAATAATGGGTGTCAGCAAATCGGAAAGGTCCGGTGAAATATAAGTACTTGATCACCTAGTATGATGAGACTGCAAGTGACTGTTAACCTTCTAGCTCAAAGGCAGCTTGAGTTGCATACCTCCCAGGGAGCTGAGAAAGAAATTTGATTGTTCACTGATCAAAATCAAATGAATGTGCTGAGAAACTAGTAGTTTGAGCATTCTCTAGGCTTTGCTTTTACATAACACAAACATACTCCATCGTCATGATCAGAAGACTAACATTAAGTCTCTGAAATGAACATGAAAAGGACAGTTCTTAAATTGTCTTGATAAAATATAGCAAAACCTTTTTTCATATTCAGAAACAGTAGTAATCTAGAATTACTAAACATTAGAGACTAAATAGTTATGCCGTTACACTGGTCCTATCAACAGGATAGGCTGGACATTTCATCTCCCTTGAAAGAAAACACAACCAAGCTGCCTGTGAGGCAAGGTTAACAAATGATTACCATCTCATCCCACCGGGTACCCATATACAGCGGTTTGAACAAATATACATTATGAACAAGTCACTTGTCTAAGGCAACACATCATGTGGTACATGTGCTTCATTGTTGGGAAGGACTAAAGTCTTATGAGACAAACTGCCCAGTGCGGTCACCCGTCCAAATCTCCCAATTTGCGACCCCTATGCTCTGCATGGAACCAACAACGCTCCAGCACACACTTCCTTTCATGCTTGGCTGATAGAAATGATACAGAATATTTCACTCACCTCTTGTAAGGTAAGGACACTCTTCTTCAATGGTGTCACTGTTTTGCTTTTATCAAAACACACCCTGACTGTTTCAGACACGTCGCCCTGTACAGAAACACACTGACATATAGTATGACCAGAAATTATTGAGAATTTTAGGAATAAGTTTAATCTAGTATAAACAACCTTGACCAGCTATCAAGTGCTTGGTCTCATTCAAGAGAGACAACTCCGTTAATCCTTTTTCATTAGTATGTGAAGAGTTATCACCCTTTGTTTACTTGCTAGCAGACCACATTTTCAGTGATCCTCAGTATGGATGATTTAGAGAAGAGGAAGTTGATTATAGAGTATTATAACAAGGACATCAGATCAGCTAAAGTGATTTCAAGTAGAACAGGCATCCCTTTGTCCACTGTTTATCGTGTTTTGAAAAATATTGCAAATGGATATGGCATTGAGCACCAGGGAGGCGCAGGTAGGCCCAGAAAATTGACTGTCGGTGACAGGAGGCGACTTGGTATTCTTGTTTCTAAAAACAAACGAAGGAGTTTAGAAAACTTAAGGCTGGATATGATTGATAGAGGAACTGTGGCTGTCTGTAAGGAGACAATTAGAATGAGCTGCATGCAATGGGTTGGCAGAAAAGTCGAGGAATTCCATCACCGATCATGAAACCTGAACAAAAGGAGCGAAGGTTGAACTGGAGCTTACACTAGTTACAGCATAGAAAATTTTAACTGGGACAATGTGATTTTCTCAGATGAAAGTTCTGTGTGTCTGTTTCCTAATACACTGCAATTTTGGACCAAAAAACTTAAAAACCTTGTATCATCGCCCAAAGTACAGTCTGAAATTTAACGTGTGGGGTGGCATATCTGTGTTAGGGGCAACGCCCCTCAGTGTATTTGAAGGGAATATGAACAGTGAGCAGTACACAGATATTCTCGAGGGACATTTACTTCCATCTGCTCACATGTTCTATGGAAATGTTTGGATTTTCCAGCAGGACAATGACCCAAAACATCGTTCAAAGCATTCACAGGCCTGGTTTCGGACCCAAAATATGACATTATTAGGTTGGCCAAGATATAGCCCTGACCTAAATCCAATAGAAAATGTTCGGGGATTATGAAGGAAAGTATCAATAAGAAAATCTGACAAATATTGCTGAAATGAAAAAGAGGTGGTCCTGTAAAAATGATTGGTTCCCCCATAGTTTCATTCCAACATCTGTGTATTTCGTTCCACAAACACAGAATTTATTCCGGGTAAAGAGGAGCTTCCACACACATCATAAAGTGTCTTAAAGAAGGTTTTGTTTGTTGGGGTGGTCTTAAAAATTGGGTCATGGGGGGAACGGAAAGGAAAAAAAGATTTTCCTACGGTATTAAATCATGTGGCTCTCAAGAAGCAATTATCATGTGAGAAAGTTCCTTAATTTTTTTTATGAAAATACATTGTAGATTCCCCAGAATTCGAACTGATGATTTTAAATGAATCTTGTGTTAAAAAGAGTTCAGTTATTATGTTACCAAGTTACCTTCATTAATCAGGTTACAGTCAGTAGCCAGGTTACAGTCAAAATGTAACCAAGTTACAGTCAGTAGCCAGGTTACAGTCAACATGTAACCAAGTTACAGTCAGTCAGTAGCCAGGTTACAGTCATTATGTGACCAAGTTACAGTTAGTCAGTAGCCAGGTTACATTCAATGTGTAACCAAGTAAGAGTTAGTCAGTAGCCAGGTTACAGTCGACATGTTACCAAGTTAGTCAGTAGCCAGGTTACAGTCAACATGTAACCAAGTTAGTCAGTAGCCAGGTTACAGTCAACATGTAACCAAGTTACAGTCAGTCAGTAGCCAGGTTACAGTCAACATGTAACCAAGTTACAGTCAGTAGCCAGGTTACAGTCAACATGTAACCAAGTTACAGTCTGTCAGTAGCCAGGTTACAGTCAACATGTAACCAATTAACAGTCAGTCAGTAGCCAGGTTACAGTCAACATGTAACCAATTAACAATCAGTCAGTAGCCAGATTAGTGAACATGTAACCAAGTTACAGTCAGTAGCCAGGTTACCATCGACATGAAACCAAGTTACAGTCAGTAGGCAGGTTACAGTCAACATGTAACCAAGTTACAGTTAGTCAGTAGCCAGGTTACAGTCAACATGTAACCAAGTTGAAGTTAGTAGATATCCCGGATGTTGACAAGTTGGATGAGTCCATTTTGCATTCAATAATGACTGGAATAGGTTAGGCCTACGGTATTTGTTCCTGTTCGATGGAATATCTGCCGTATGTGCGGAATTTTTATTCGTGTCATCCATTCTCAATTTCACGGCATTTATTCCGAACCGGAACATTTACTACTCGGAACTAAATCATGTTTACAGTCCGATATTGGGACAGCATGGACCACGACTTTCTAACTTCTTTGATCAGTAGTATGCCCCCGCCGCATTGAAGCCTGCATTGCTGCCCATGGTGACTTGACCAAATACTAACTGTTCACCTGTCTTTGAATCTGGAGTTATGTGCTGCTAATATTCACATTTAATACGTGAGTAATGAGTGAATTTTTTTTTTTGAAATTACAATCTTTAAATTCTCAGTAATTTCTGGTTGTACTGTAAATACAAAACGTGCATGGAGTAAAAAATGTAGAAAAATAGCAAGGTGTCCACACATGTCAATGCACACATATTACATCTTGACATTGAACAAAGCTTGATTCTGATCACACTAACTGGCCAAAATAAGTGTAAACTCAGGTATGTAACTTCATTCAAGAACTCCAAATTAAATGTATTTTCAAACAAAAACATGGAAATGAAAACATTAATGAATCAAGTGTGTTTGGTTTTATGCTGCTTTTAGTAATATCACCTCGAGGGACACTAGAAATGGGCTTCACCCATTGTTATCATGTGGGGAATCGAACCCCGGACCTTAGGCATGACAAGTAAATACTTTATCCACTTGGCTACCCCACCGTCCCTAGATCAATCAAGACTGAGTATTGTTTTATGCTGCTTTTAGCAATATTCCCAAAATATCACATTGGGGACACCAGAAATGGGCTCCACGCATTGTACCCATGTGGGGAATCATGTATAGTTTTTGACCTTTTATCAGGTAAGTGGTTCATGTTTTGTGGATGTTTTGTGAATCGTACACTGCACCAGCACTTGATTAAAACAGCTTAGCAAACATCATAAAATATATTTCAGAATAAATGTTAAGAAAAACATTCATTAACCTCAGTTACACTAAAACCATGGTTAACTAACAGTTGTTTAATGCCTCACTCAGCAATATTACAGCTATATGATGATGGTCTGTAAATAACTGAAGTTTAACCAGACAATCCAGTGATCAACAGTGGTTTACTTTCTCAGCTGATCAAACATCAGTATTCAGCCATTGTTTCAAATTTGGTGAAAGCCTACATTGGGGGATTATACAGACACCAGTCGATTTGGCTGACCTCGACCTTATTTTCAAGGTTACCATGACAGGTTGACAACTTTTCAAACTCTTTCTAACATGATATCTCATGCAGAGTTGTATAAAAAATTGTCAAATCTGATGACAACCTACATTGGGGGGATTACAAAGACACCACTTGATTTGTGTGACCTTGACCTTATATTCAAGGTTAGCCTGACACTTTGACCACTTTTCAAACTACCCTGGTAGAAAAATTTTGACTTGTCCCAGCCCTAATACACACTGATACTGACAGTGGATATGTGCACCTGCATCTATACATTCAAATCTACTATGTTCCTGAAATAGCTTCAGAGTTAGGAGAAGATTCTGAGAAGTGAACATTACTAAAAACTACATCACACACAAGGTAATTCCAGCCATATTACTGTGGTATGTAAATAGTCGAGTGTGGACCAGACAATCCATTGACTGACATCATGCATCAATGATTGACACAACAGGGGTACTATGACATGTGTGAACCAAGTCAACAAGCCTGACCACCAAATTCAAACAGTCGCCTATTAACGACAAGCATGGATTGCTGAAGACCAATTCTAACCCGGATCTCCATGGGTATGGTAGTAGGTTCAGTCCCACCAACTATCATCAAGTTTATGCTAAACGCAACTACATATCAGTATTTCATGCAATTTGTAATTAGTTTTGTTTGTTGTTTGATGTTTAACACCGTACTCAGCAATATTCCAGCTATATGGCGGAGGTCTGTACTTAATCCAGTCTGGACCAGACAATCCAGTGATCAACAGCATGATCATCAATCTACGTAATTGGGATTTGATGACATGTGTCAATCAAGTCAGTGAGCCTGACCACCCGATCCCATTAGTCACCTCTTACGACAAGCATGGGTTGCTGAAGACCAATTATGGATCTTCATGGGTCCAACTTGTAATTAACAGTGTCACCGTTAACTACACCAGTCACAGTTTACAGTTTAGACTACCTACAGTTTTAAATAACAGTAGATAAAAGAACCCTGCTCCTAGCTCCTCCTGGCTGTCCATCACTGAACACACTGAAACTAAATCAAACACTAAAACACATACCTGCTCTAGATCCTCTTCCATTGCTTTAAGATTTGTACCAAATATCTGCAGACAAAATAATTTTGTAAACATGACACTATGAGCCACTTTTTTACATTGATCCATCATTTAATTTTCTAATTCACTTGGAGTCAGTATCACAATATTTTTACAAATCATACATGTTTAATCTAACCACAACATTTACAACACATTTAAAAGATGACTGATCTCTCTTCATATTAAAGGGTCCAGTGTACATAAGCTTGTCAAATCTTAAAAACATTTACCAACCTGACTGAATAGCTTGATAAGGTCTTTGTCGTTGAGGTTATACACGGTCTTCACAACACCAGGCAACAAGAACTTCATCAACAGATAGACATCGCCCTTGAAGCCAGCTGGAAGTGTCAGGAGTTGTAGAGTGAGTGAGTTGAAACTGACAACAAAGCCATGTATAGCAATGGCAATGTGTATTGTGAGTAATTTGTCACCATGACATATCTCTCATTTACATACTTGAAACCAGGGCAAAAATACTTGGTTCCAAATTCAGTCTAAAGTAAACTTAGGCTCCAGTATTATTCGTTACACTGCTATACTGAGTCTAACAAAACCTTGTGGAAGGTCGTGTCAGGTAACCCTTGAGCGACCTATGACCTGGCGTCAATCAAAGCAGCGGGACGGCCGAACAGATTTAACCAATCAGACGCGGCTACTATTTAGGGTTTAGGCGGGACTTACAAAATGGATTTTCTCTTCCCCGTCCTTAACTGTACTGATCTCATAACAAATGAAAACCCACATAAAACACAGATATATGACCTGCAGAATATAAGCTTAGGGGTTTCTGTTGACATGGCTATCATATGCTAATATTTCCGCAAGCTGACATCCTTGAATACTGACAAAGCGTTATTCTCAGCTACCTGTTTACTCACTCTTGTGGCCTGCTCCATGTGCATCACTCAGAAGCGATAGCAGTATTCCAGCTACATGGCGGAGGTCTGTACTTAATCCAGTCTGGACCAGACAATCCAGTGATCAACAGCATGATCATCAATCTACGTAATTGGGATTTGATGACACGTGCCAATCAAGTCAGTGAGCCTGACCACCCGATCCCATTAGTCACCTCTTTCGACAAGCATGGGTTGCTGAAGACCAATTATGGATCTTCATGGGTCCAACTTGTAATTAACAGTGTCACCGTTAACTACACCAGTCACAGTTTACAGTTTAGACTACCTACAGTTTTAAATAACAGTAGATAAAAGAACCCTGCTCCTAGCCCCTCCTGGCTGTCTTCAACGGACCACGCTGAACTAAATCAAACACTAAAACACATACCTGCTCTAGATCCTCTTCCATTGCTTTAAGATTTGTACCGAATATCTGCAGACAAAATAATTTTGTAAACACGACACTATCGGCCATTATTTACATTGATCCATCATTAAATTTTCTAATTCACTTGGAGTCAGTATCACAATAGTTTTACAAATCATACATGTTTAATCTAACCACAACATTTACAACACATATATAAAGATGACTGATCCTAAAGAAGAACCACTCTCTCTTCATATTAAAGGGTCCAGTGTACATAAGCTTGTCAAATCTTAAAAACATTTACCAACCTGACTGAATAACTTGATAAGGTCTTTGTCGTTGAGGTTATACACGGTCTTCACAACACCAGGCAACAAGAACTTCATCAACAGATAGACATCGCCCTTGAAGCCAGCTGGAAGTGTCAGGAGTTGTAGAGTGAGTGAGTTGAAACTGACAACAAAGCCATGTATAGCAATGGCAATGTGTATTGTGAGTAATTTGTCACCATGAGATATCTCTCATTTACATACTTGAAACCAGGGCAAAAATACTTGGTTCCAAATTCAGTCTAAGTAAACTTAGGCTCAGTATTATTCGTTACACTGCTATACTGAGTCTAACAAAACCTTGTGGAAGGTCGTGTCAGGTAACCCTTGAGCGACCTATGACCGTCCAATCAAACGCGGGACGGCCGAACAGATTTAACCAATCAGACAACGGCTACTATTTAGGGTTTGGCGGGACTTACAAAATGGATTTTCTCTTCCCCGGTCGCCAACACTGATCTCATAACAAATGAAAACCCACATAAAACACAGATATATGACCTGCATAATATACGCTTAGGGGTTTCTGTTGACATGGCTATCATATGCTAATATTTCCGCAAGCTGACATCCTTGAATACTGACAAAACGTTATTCTCAGCTACTGTTTACTCACTCTTGTGGCCTGCTCCATGTGCATCACTCAGAAGCGATCATACGAAAACAGCATTCGGAATCATTCGGGTGCAAAACCTTTTCGAGGTGAAAGTTCAAAAAGTATGTGCGAATGTCAACTTTCGCGATTTGGTAAGCTGTGTTCTGATTGGTCCATTGAAAAGATCAGCTGACGCGACCTTCCACAGGGTTTTGTTAGACTCAGTATAGCAGTGTAACGAATAATACTGAGCCTAAGTTTACTTAGACTGTTCTAAATTAAATTAAGAAGTATCTAATAATTCAATCTGACCTGAAATCTCCAACAACGACAGTTAGTGAGTGAGTATAGCTTTACGCTGCTTTAAGCAATATTCCAGCAATATCACGGCAGGGGACACCAGAAATGGGCATCACATATTGTACCCATATGGGGAATCAAACATGGGTCTTGTGGGTGACGAGCATGTCTACAGCTTTTGACAGTTTGGAAAATTGTTTTTTCTTAACATATTTCAGAAAATTTCAATTAGTTTGTCATGTTTTGTCATGCAATGGAGCTTAAAGAAATGCACTTTTGGCAAATTAAAAATTACAAATATATTTACCTGAATGATGAATTAGAAAATAATCAAAACTGATCCACAAAACATGAACCACTTACCTGATAAAAGGTCAAAAACTATACATGATTACCCATCGGTTAATGACATAATTACAAGGGACAAAACATGAGTGTCTAAACCATATGTGAAAGTTTGGATAATCTGTATCAACTTACTGCCGGCATTTCCCTTCTTGAGGAAGTCCGACACGATGGCCGTCTTGCCAGCACCAGTGTCTTCGTCAGATAACTTTGCACAGAGACAACGGAACTGTCGGAATAAGTTGTCCCACTTCACATTAGCATCTGAAATTTGGTGAGGCATGTCAATTAGTATCAAAGTTCATATGAGGAACTGTAGCAAGTGAGTGAGTGGATGGATATCGAGCTTGTATAAGGAACTGTAGCAAGTGAGTCAGTCAGTGGGTAGTAGGGTTTTGTCAGATCTTGTGCAAGGTGAGTGAGTGAATGAGTGAGTAGATAACATCTTGTGTAAGGAACTGTAATGACTGAGTGAGGCATATACAGTTCATTTTCACCCGTTTTCATGAGAGTTTCAATGGCCATTTAATAAACTTTCAGGATAAAAGGGGAGGTGTCCACCTCAGCACCTCCCCTCTGGATCCATCTGTGTTGAGTGAGTGAATGAGTGGATGGGTGAGTGAGTGGATCAGAGGTTGTGTAAGGAACTGTAGTGAGTGAATGAGTGAGTGGGTGAGTGAGTGAATGGATCAGAGCTTGTATAAGGAACTGTAGTGAGTGAGTGGGTGGGTGAGTGAGTGGATCAGAGCTTGTATAAGGAAGTGTAGTGAGTGAGTGAATGAGTGGATGGGTCAGTGAGTGGATCAGAGTTTGTATAAGGAACTGTAGTGAGTGAGTGAATGAGTGGGTGGTTGAGTGAGTGGATCAGAGCTTGTATAAGGAACTGTAGTGAGTGAGTGAATGAGTGGGTGGTTGAGTGAGTGGATCAGAGCTTGTATAAGGAACTGTAGTGAATGAGTGGGTGGTTGAGTGAGTGGATCAGAGCTTGTATAAGGAACTGTAGTGAGTGAGTGAATGAGTGGATGGGTCAGTGAGTGGATCAGAGCTTGTATAAGGAACTGTAGTGAGTGAGTGAATGAGTGGGTGGGTGAGTGAGTGGATCAGAGCTTGTATAAGGAACTGTAGTGAGTGAGTGAATGAGTGGGTGGGTGAGTGAGTGGATCAGAGCTTGTATAAGGAACTGTAGTGAGTGAGTGGATGGGTCAGTGAGTGGATCAGAGCTTGTATTAGGAACTGTAGTGAGTGAGTGAATGAATGGAATGGGGTGAGTGAGTGGATCAGAGCTTGTATAAGGAACTGTAGTGAGTGAGTAAGGTGAGTGAGTGAGTGGGTGGGTGAGTGAGTGGATAAGAGTTTGTGTAAGAACTATAGTGAGGAACTATAGTGAGTGAGTGGGTGTAAGCGTATACAAATCAAAAGTTAAACAGTTGTCTTTGCAGATTGTGAAGTGGATCCTTATAAATGCTTTTCATATTTTTATTAGCACTTCTCCATCCACAAATTCTATACTTTTTGGCCCCAACCATCCTGAGAAATAGTCCACAACATTTTCACATTAAATAGCACAGGGCAAATGGTGTTTGCAGAAATTCTACATAGGAAACTAGGGTTGGCAATCCACATAGATCACAGCGATCGATAACCATTAAATAAGTATTGATCTATTATCAATAAATTTAGGAGAGGTAACTTGGACCAAAATTGTAAAAGAGTCTGAATGATACCAACATATAGTAAGTGGTGAGATAGCATACTGAACATGGTATAGAGGTGGCCCATGAATATTAGTGTAACTTTGCATACATTTGTAAATTAAAACTATATTTTATCCCAATATGGTATGTAACATATTGTCAATCACACAAGTTTTACATTGATAACCAATAAGATTTCTTAACATCACAGATATTTTGGAGTATCAATCGAAAATCTTTAAAAAATAAACCCAGATGGGTTATCTCACAGTTATGTCTTGAACCATGTACAGTGTAGTATACAACAGGACTCACCATTGATTAGTTTCAGTATGGTCTTCTTATCTTCCTGGTTTAGCTGATTAAAACAATACATATCATCGGGAGACTTGATCTTCTTGTCCTTTGGTTTGTCCTGGTCGAACGCCTTAAACATGCACACAGCATGGTGCCAATAGGTCAGATCCCCCCACCCTTCATCATCTTCATCATAAAAGTTCTTAACAAATTTACCAATTCTTAGTGCTTTCTTGTCAATATACTCGTCACAATGTCTACAAAGTGATCGGGCAGATTTTGCATTGTCGACAGTGAAACCAAGTTCAGCCATTGTGAAGTCAATACAAAATATTAAACCTGCAGCTATTCTAGGAGAAATGATATGAACAGGTTTAGTGAGAGTTTATTGCTGTGGAACTTGAATTTGATAACTGATGCACGGTCCAAGCAACATGGCAGGATACCGCTGCGAAGGTTGCTGTGACTCAGATGATGAAACGTATCATTGATGAGCTTCTTATCATTCACTCAGTCTTCATCTGAAAAATAGGAAAAAAGAGAAACTGATATTTACTGAAAATTTTTATGGAACTAAGCCTTATGTAAACGTTTGGGAGGATATTTGGCACTGAAGTCTATGTTGCAGCTATCCTGATGAGGCCAGAAACCTATGATCATGGGTTCAAATCCCTGTTCACTCCAATCATTTCCAGGTCTGTCAGCACCAGACCTACGTTCAAGTGTTGAATATGTAAGAACTTCACTACTCTGGGCTTTCATTAGGCAGACAGACAGACAAATTTTATTCAGTATAAGGCTTATACACACCAAAATACACACCTTGGTATAGTGCAAAGTCGTCTAGTTACATGCTGGACTTTGCTGTATGAAGTCAATGTTATCTTCAGGTATGTAGTCATGGAAAGTTTTAGTCCTGGCATTCAAATCACCTGTTAGGACAAGTTCTTTATCTGGGCGGTCATAAACTATCTGGGTCAAATAATCCTCCAAAGAAGACATGCTATCTTTATCTGTATCCTGATACATGGGGGGAGTTTTCAGGTGAGAGATATGTCAGAATCAGTACTGTATCGTTTGCACTACCTAATCTTGAGGTTTGGAACAGGAAAACCACATTATTTTCAAAATGTTCATACATTCTAGTTAAACATCCTCCATTCAGACATGATTCTCTACTGAAAATTGTTACGCCTACACTGACCCTGTACCGACCAAATTTCTTAGTTTTTATCCTTACATTGTTACATGATCGAAAACCGAACATCTATACTACGAGCAAAAGTTTCATAAAAGGCATTCAAGTCATAATCAGCACAAAAAAACGAATTAACCTGAGGATTTGGGGTATCATGTATATGTAATCCTTCTATGTTCCATGAAAGAATGTCAAATGTGAGGCTGTGGTCATCTCTTCAAGTGATTTTGTTTTGAGACGTTGGCATGGGAGTAGCCTCCCTTGGAGTGGGAGTTTCCTTGTTTCCGGGTCCAAACAAATCTGCCCATGTGCGCTTGTTACCTGTTGGTTGTGAGCTGTGTGGTGAAATATTCTTGACGGACTTAGACGTTTTGTCATACATGAATACTTCCCCTTGAACTATCGACTTGTTCAGACAATTTTCAGGTTGTTTCCCGCCTTAAGACCTCCACCCGCATCCCCCCCTAAATTTTAACAATGAGTGAGCGAGTTTAGTTTTACATCGCACCCAACAATATTCCAGCTATATGGCTGGACCAGACAATCCAGTGATCAACAGCAGGATCATCGATCTGCGCAACTGGGAACAGATGACATGTCAACCAAGTCAGCGAGCCTGAGCGCCCGATCTCGTTTGTCGCCTCTTACCGGGATTTCCCGTATTAAGGCCTGGGCGTAATATTAAATTACCCCTCACGTTAACAAATATAAACCATATAATTAAGCCTTGGGCTTAAATACGGGAAATGCTTGTAACTGAAGAAAATGATTCTGAGACACAGTAAAATGGAATGAACTTTAATAATGATATTATCATATTTTATTGCGACTGCGTGAGTCATATGGATTGATATTGTCTATTTGAGTGTAGAGTACCTGACGTCTCTTGGGACTCCAAAACGTTCTCACGGCCCGGTTGTTGGGTAGACAACTGTGGCAGAATACTAATGTTTTATCAGCTGAGAGAGTTGGTAAACCACTGTTGATCACTGGATTACCTGGCCCAACTTCATTTATTTACAGACCATCGTCATATAGCTGGAATATTCCTAATACAGAATTAATATAAGAAATATACAGGACTTTAACATGCATGGCTGTAATTACCATTAGGTCCACATTGTTGGAAATAATATCCCTGACGCCTTAAAATAGTACCTGTCTTACTACCGGAACTTTACAAGTTTTATATATTATTTCGATGCCTTATTTATTTGTATGCTATTATCAGTGCATATTCTCATTATCGTACCAGTTAAGTAAGTCATGCTATTTAGTGACTGCACTACTGAACGCTTGATGAAACCCCGGATGTTCCCGGACATTCTCGAGCGTTCTTTGGCCTAAAATATGATACATGGACCACAGGCCCTCGTGTCTTTGCGAGGATTAAAGATTTTGAAAACATATAAACAATTTGAGATGACCCCCGACTCGAAATGCCTTACAGCACAATACATTAATGACACCATATTGTACTGTAGGGTATTTCGAGTCGGGGGTCATCTCAAATTGTTTATATGTTTTCAAAATCTTTAATCCTCGCAAAGACACGAGGGCCTGTGACATGTACACCACGAGGATGTTTGCAGGAATTTAGGTTACTTTGTATCTGGGATAGTTTAAAAGAACCTAACAGGTATAATACATGATTTTTCGATACCTGTCAATCCAGAAATGATTTACGTGTCCATTTATGCACCTGTCATGTGCTTGTTCTAAGTGTTATGTTGCAAATTACATTGTACTCAACATTTCCACAATGTTGTTATTCGCGGCCTGAACTTGTTTACATACTCTGCGCATGCGCCAATAACCTGTTCAGGTAAAGCCCTTTGGGCACATGAGCGTTTGATACATGTGTGCCCTCCGTGGTGCAAGTTTGGGATTTATCAGGTGATTTACATGCCGGAGTCCTTAATTGGACTGCAGCATCAATAAACACACAGAAGCACTTGATAAACGTGGCTGCTTGGGACGCTCCGAATATTTCTCACAGGTAGATGTAGTTGGTCATTGCATACCTGGCAGTGCACGAGAGGCTGTTACAGGTGACAGGTTCCATGACGCAATGACTGTCACGTACTGTATCACAATGCAGGCATCACAATTCCACGTATGCAGGCTATCGCTGAGAATGGTGCATTAAGTCAGTCTTCTACTGAGCATAGATCCTGTCAATCGTTCGGCTGCTACTGATCATATGGACCAATCAAAACACTTGATTTACTTCCGCGTTTGAACACGACCACACCTTCCTTAATCTGTTTTGAATTTGAAACCCCATATTTTAATTTGGATTATAATTAAGATACTTCGCTGCAAGATCAAAGTCGACGACTGTGGTGCGTCCTTTTTAGTAACGTCGTATAAATCTGCTGACATGGTGACGCTGTTCTAATTACCTCCCGCGAATAACGGTATCGGGTGGTCAGGCTCATAATGATTTCAACCATTGTATTGTCTGGTCCAAACTCGACTATTTAGAGACGGCCGTCAATTAGCTGGAATATTGCTCAGTGCAGCGTTGAACCAATAAACAAACAATGCAACACATGTACACTACAGTCAAAAGGGATTATTGCTAAAAGCGACATAAACATCAACTCACTCACGAACGTGATATAAAGTTTATGATAAACAACTTTGCTCTCAAGGTAGGGGTTCTGGCAACTAGGTGTAAGAGCCCGTCACTAAAATTTTCACGGTTCGAGGATTTTCAATTCAAAGCATATCGTGTTATAGATTTCATTTAAACCCCACCTCCAACAAAATAACTGAATATTGTTTTACGCCACTTTATTCCATCAATATCACGGCGGGGGACACCAGAAATGGGCTTCACACATTGTACCCATGTGGGGAATCGAACCCGGTCTTTGGCGAGACAAGCGAACACTTTAATTACTTGGGTACCCAGCGCTCCTTTTACATTCATCCATGAGTCATCACCGAAATAGTGTTACATGTTTTAGGATATGTTTGAAGTAAAAGTAAACTATTCTATCTAAGATGTATAATTGTACAACCTACTTGGCCAAAGTACCTCGTTTTCATTTTACTAATCTGAGCAGAAATTCTGTAAGCAATAAGAAGAGATCATCATTGATATTCATTGAGATGCCTAAATACCTCACCCCGTAATTTTACAAAGATTGTATCTGTCAGGAAATCCAGCATGTTACGTCTTTTTTCAGTAAACTTTACGTGCCAGTTGCTTTCATTCTGACAAATTGTCCTGAACCTCTAAAGATGGACGTGTAACTATAACACTGCAAAAGAAGGATATTTAACTGCACCACGTTTCTTATATAGAACGACTTGGATTAAAGGATGTTGTTGGTGGTAAATGAAAATGTTGGTGATTCTCAGTGTTTGCCCTTAACCCAGAAAAGCTGCAGGCCCTAAGGACCCAGAACCATAAAAGGTTATAGGTCCTGATCAGAATGTGTAGGCTCTATATTTTAATATAGAAACAATACTTATAGTTATTGGGTGAAAAAAAGGTCGGCCTTAAGACCTGCAGAAAACAAAAGGTGTGGGTGGATCCGAGTGTTTCAGAGGGCTTCGGGTCTAAGGAAGAAACGTAATTTCGAGTGCTGGTGATTCTTGAAATCGGAAATATTGCTGATCATGGAGGGGAACTGATTTTTGTCAGAGAATATTAACGTCAGTTAGGTATAAACTCCCTTAAAACATTTCTATTCAAGAACCTGCTGTCTCTTACTGATTTACTGGAGTATGTTTCTGGTTTAGCCAAACGTTTTAAAGCAATATAAATAAGTATACTCTCTAGTGGATGCTGAGGTCTCTTACTGTTTGTATAGACCAATCCATGAACAAATAGTAGACTTTGTATTTAGATATAGTGCAGCTTTCTTCTTTCCTTGTGCGATAAAGAGAGGCACATAAAGTCTTCCTAACGATTAGTATCGTGTGGCCTTCGTCCTTTAAACATATTTATTCACAAGAAGTGAACGGATTGGAAGGGGAGAGGGGGAGAGACATGATCTTCAAATTTTCCAATTCTGATTACCATCTCCTTGACATTTACATATAAACTTACTAAAACAGTAAATATGAGAGAGAGAGGGGGGGGATATATAGACAGAGAGTGGTGTCACCTGTTATATTGCTCTCTCTCTCTCATATTTACTGTTTTAGTAAGTTTGTATGTAAATGTCAAGGAGATGGTAATCAGAATTGGAAAATCTGAAGAATACGTATCTCCCCCTCTCCCCTTCCAATCCGTTCACTTCTTGTGAATATATATATGCTTCTAAGCCATGGTGAGACACTATTCTTGTACAGCAGTTTATCTGGAACATAACACAGCAGATGAGCAAACTGGGCTTCCATACACTGTACCCTTGTCAGGAATTAAATGTATGATGAGCAAGTGGTTGAGTTTGGCGAGGGAGTGCACTAAATTATCGTCGTCCTCAAATATATATTCATTTTCTATAACCGCAAGACAGAGAAAATGAAGCCTTTGTGTCTTCTTATCATCAGTTGACTTGTTTGGGAAGCCAGACTCAGTACATTGAGTGGGATGTTCGTTAGGTAGAACACTGCTGAAGTCTTCTTATTTTGCCATTCCATCCATATTGCTGGACTTTGTACAACAGTTCAATCAAAACATTTTCTCTGAGCATCAAATAATAATTTTTAAAGTTATATTATTTTCTGGAAAAACAACAACACCAAAGTAGCATAACATATTTATTAACAAAATACAAGCAAGTGTAAATTCAAACATAAAATCATATATGAAATATAAACATAACAACAGATTCAATCATTGTCCTGGTTTAAAACAATTCAATAGATAATGCGTTGAATGAAGTTTCATGAAGAAGTCAAATGGTCACTAGGTGCATCTCAAACCTGACCACCAAAGCTAGAGACTCCAGTTTCCTAATCAGTTAGGACAGAAGCAAGGAATAGATGAAGATGTCACAAGAAGAATAAAAAGCCTCTAAATCCTAAAATAATCAAAAAAAAGTAAAAAAACATTAAGTAAAAAAGAATCGCCAAAGAAACCATAAGTAATATTCTCCATTATATATATATATATATATTAATATTTTCTCGTATTCTCACATTAAGCAGCATCCACCATTCACTAATCATGTCACAAAATACAAGGAACATATGAGTTGAGTTTCACTCAACATTTCAAGGGAGGTAAGGTAGCCTAGCGGTTAAAGCTTTCGTTTGTCACACCAAAGGCCAGGGTTCGATTCCCCACGAGTACAATGTGTGAAGCCCATTTCTGGTGTCCCCCGCCCTGATTCTGCTGGAATATTGCTAAAAGCGGCATAACACTATATTCACTCACTCACTCAACATTCAAAATTTCATCAAAATTGTAATAAAAAAGGCTGAGTATTTGCCATAGTTGACGGCTATTATGCATCAGAGATTCCTTTCTTTCAGAGTATTGCCTTGTTTCATTTGAGAATGACACACATGATACTAACACAGTGGTCAAATTCAATGGAGCATGAGTACATATATGTGCATGCACAATATGTCATTGTCATGTATCACCAATGTAATCACAGTCAACAGGAATTTGACACGCAAGCATAGGTTGCTAGTGTGCCCAAGGGAGGCAACTCTATTCTTCCTATAATCTTTAGAACAAAGTCTAGTGTAATCATTGGTGGGTAAAAAAACTAATTAAAAATTGCACAAAAATGATTATGTATGTTGTTCCTGCTACCAAGTGCACCGTACCTAATTGTATTATATTTACACCGATCCTTCATGTGAATCCATTGCATATGTCTTAAGAGTAAACACCAACGACAACACGTATTGCCAGTATAGGAAAGATAGCCCGTCCCAACGTCCGAGACGGGTGAATTTTGTGGAGGACGGGTTAAAAATAAATCTAGTCCGTCCTCATGTCGGGTCAGTTTTAGAAAACCAATGACATATATATAATGATTATAACCTTTTTGAATATTTACTGCCGAGGGATACTAGAATAATAAAACAGATAAATTGCGCATGTAAATGATATCTTACAATAAAACAAACCAGTTTTAAGTCTTGAAATGGTGTTTTATTTATATTTGGAGGACAGGCTAGATTTTGGCAGGACTGGTAAAAAATTTGACCAGCCAGTCCTGTGGACAGGCTAGATTTTCTACATCTTTCCTACACTGGTATTGCCAAGGTTTTTTAGTATGTAAACCATGATAAAAGTCTGAATGTCAAGTTCAGGGCTTGAACTCCTCAGTAGATGCAAGCTGTTTCTTTTTGATTGACTGCCACAGCCAGTCAGGGGTCACGACCTTGGCCTTGCTACTACCGGTTCTAATCTGGAATGGAAACCCACAAGTGAGAGGTTGGGAACATTTAGAGCAATGAACATTATGATTATCTCATTAGTCCACATGTAGACCACATTAGACTGGGGAATGTGTGAGTGGACAGGGTGGAATCTTATATGCCAGGCTAGAAAAAACAGTGGTTGTCAGAAAGGGAAGATGTCAATATTTCAGGTTTACAATGATATAGTTTCCAGGCTAATGTCATTATATCTCATTATATACTTTCTAAGTTTGTTGGAATGATGACATAGGCTCTATAAATTGTGTTAGTGAGTGAGTTAGCAATATTTCAACAATATCAAGGTGGGGGACCCCAGAAAAGGGCTTAACACATTGTGCCCATGTGGGGAATCAAATTCCTGTTTTCCTCATCACGAGCGAACGCTTTAACCACTAGGCTACCCCACTGCCCCTATAGGCTCTATATATTGCATGAGATTGCCTCTGGTTCTTCAGGTGATTTCACAGTGTCTTGTGTTAGTTATAATCATACAGACACATTGACTTACCTTTCCTTTAGAAGAGACAATATGTGTAGCTGATCCCTTGCTGGTCTCGTCCAAAACTTCCCCGTCAAAACTAACGACAGTTAAGGTATCCTCAAAATCAACAGAACAACATGTTCCAGGAAAATATAATCTGAATCAGGACATGTATGTTTAATGTGGGTCGAAATATTACATGTGCTTCTGTTCTACTAACTACAGTAATGATTTAATGTTTATACAAAGGCAGGGTGTTACCTTGACCAACAAAATTAGGGGTACATTGGTCCATAGGAGCCCCACTTACTAATTTCAAGGGACCTTACATGAAATACATGGGGTCCTGTAGCGTGATGTAGCA